ACGTACGTCGTTACGTAGTACTACACGACTTGTTATGTTTACCGAAGGAAAACATATTGTTTTTGCTCAGTTTCCTCCTCTTCTTCTTCTCCAAACAGTGACTTCTGACCTGACCAATGGCATGATTTGTTGACGTCTGTCACCATGGTGACTGGTGTTGGGTTACATAATGTTGCAATTTCATGGTCTGCTCTGCTTCTGTCACCATATACTAGTAGTACATGTATGTGGATGTGTTTGAGTAAGAATTAACAGAGCAGACCATGCCCGAAGGTAAACATTAATGCATTTGCTTAAAATGCAAATGTTACTTCTCTAGTTACACTTAACCCATGACAATGCCCCTACTGTACTTGGTGACAGCGAGTTCCACTCTGCGATAGCTCTTGGTTGATAACTTGGTTGATAACTCTGGTACAAACATGTACTTGAAGGCATGACTATTTTGTTCTTTTCTGAGCTGGTATAAGGTACTTAGTAGTTGATATGTCCACCAGTTTATTAGTAATTTTGTACATGTAGATTTGTATTATGTATAGCTTTTGTATTTTTAGATCTGACATCTATTCTGTTTCTCGTTCCACAGGAGAGGCCACGCGGTCCTGAAGTCGGTTCTCCCGCCCAAGTTCGAGCACGTTCTGCTGGTCAGGATGTCGGCCATTCAGCGCCAACTGTACGCCAAGTTCATGACCGCCTTCAGGGAGTCAGGCGCGGCTGGCTGGAGCAACAACAACCCGCTCAGGGCCTTCTCTGTCTGCTGCAAGGTTAGCTGTTGAATGTTCTGTATCTGTATAGCCGGTATAACTGCCTTTTGGTGTGGCACACCAGCTTCGCAGGCACACAGAGCGGCGGCAGCTGGCTATATTACACCCATCGACTTGTTACACCTAACCTAGCCTTGTTACCTCTAAACAGTGTCATAGCTATGCCAAAAAACAGTTACTCAAGCAACTGGATATGATTTTGAAAACGTCAGACATTTCAGCTAGTATCCACTAGCTTTCGTCAGTGACTGAGAGACCAGAGGGGAAAGCAGGTTTATATACACAACCTGTTGATTGATATGCAAATAAAGTGAAGACAAATTTTTGGAAGTCGAAAAAGGAACAAAAGTCAGACAAGTCAAGACAAGATGATGCAAATTAGTCTGAAAGCTCCTGTTATACAGGACAGGAGCTTAAGTCCAAAAATTTGTCTTCACTTTATTTGCATATCAATCAACAGGTTGTGTATATAAACCTGCTTTCCCCTCTGGTCTCTCAGTCACTGACGAAAGCTAGTGGATACTAGCTGAAACGTCTGACATTTTCAAAATCATATCCAGTTGCTTGAGTAACTGTTTTTTGGCATATCGTATTACCTGGATGTCTAACCTTCATCGACGTAAGTGTCATAGCTAGCATCTGTCTTTTGACAGAATTTTGCCCTTCATGACAGACAAAAATTTGCCCAATCCATTAACTTTGATAGACAAAAATCAATGTGTAAAGATATAGAAAAAGCTGTCATTGAGCTTATAAGCTTAGCCCACCAGCAAAATTTGTCCCTCAAAATCAGGAATTAGCATTTCAGAGGCTAACGATTTTAAAACTTTCCCGGGGGAGCATGCCCCTAGGATTATCATGACTTTGCTGCTCAACACGATGTAACGTCAAACAAAATTGAGATGACAGAAAAAATTTCAGGCTGGTTAGAACACTGTCTCAAAATTTAAATCTATTTTTTTGGCAGCACCTCAGGACAGGAGCCAATAACATCTCATGTCTGTTGTTCTGCCTTTCTAGATCTGGAACCATCCAGACATATTGTACGAGATTCTGCAGAAGAAGATGACAAACGATGACCTTGACATTGAGGACGCAGAAGGCTTAGGGAACAAGTCAAGGTCAAGGTCAAACACCCCGACCCTCCCAGATGGGTCCAAGAGGTCAGGGTCACCGGCAGTACCATTGATAGCTTCAACCTCAGGGGTGACAGGTCAGGAAATTTTTTGCTTTATTTTAGAAACATTTTCAAATGTGCTATATCTGCTTTGCAAGTTACTGTAGCTTTCAAATAGTTTTGATCCAATGCCTCTCTGTAGTCTTGACATTCAGTGCCAAAACATTATTAAAATGATATTGAGTTGTCCTTAGAGTTAAAAAGAAAAAAAAACTGAACATGACATGTATGAATCCCTCTTTCAACACATAATCTCCAAAACCTCAGTGGAATCCCACTCACACTCAATATCTGGTTAATCGTCTGATGTTCCCCCTCTTCCAAGGATTAGACGTGCTTTCACTGCAATACTGAGGCTTGATGGCAGCCTGCCACTTGCCTCTATCCTGTGGGTTGACGTTATGTAGGTCAAGTGGCGGAAGTCCTCCCTTACGACGTAAACAAAATGTAAATGAATAGGCGTGTTGTTCTAACTATATAATTGTTTCTGAATCTCTCTCCCGTTTAGATGAGAACAGTAACAGTAACAGCAGTCTGAAGGATCGCAGGTTTACTCCGGACCTGACAGCGTTCCAGGAGAAAGCCAACCAGGGCACCAACTACAGCTGGGCGGAGGACTGCATGAAGGACTACAGCCCCGGTGTACTGGAGAACGGAGGCAAGATGCTGCTGCTCTTCAAGATCATAGAACAGAGCATCAGGGGAGGAGACAAGCTGCTCATCTATAGGTATGTATTTCTAGCCTCCTGTACAAACTTTCTCTGCATGATCGCCTGATTGTAGGATGACCGACAAAAGAAAGTGTTAAAAATTATACAAAACACTGTATCAAAACTCCCACCTGCCTGGAGGCCTGCACAAGAGGCTAGAGTATGCCTCTGTATGAGAGAGAATGCTGCTTAAGTCTTGAGAAAGAATATCAAAGTGTTTTGATTTTGATTCATTCTTTGATTTGGCAGACTTTTTGCAATTGTCATATAAACAACACATTAGGTTGAAACCTTTTCATTAGTTTGCAAATAAATCAGAGTGTTGAACAATTTTCACACTAAATTAAATGTAGTCTTCTATTGTTAGATATTGTTGGCATTGAAACAAAGAGCTCATAGCTGCCATTAGTTTCCAATTTTTTAAATACAAAAAAGACATTCATACATACATTATATGTGGTACCTAACATGACATGTGTTGTACATCTTGTCCTATGCAGCCAGAGTCTGAACACCCTGTCGCTGATTGAAGAGTTCCTGGCTAAAACCCCGATGCCAGAACCTCCGTCAGGCTTCCCTCACAACGTACCTCTCAGATGGGCCAAGAACAAGACATACTACAGTAGGGACTGGTCTATATGATATGGCTTTTGAGTTCCTTAGGCCTAGGAAAAAAATGTTGTGTTTCCTGTTTCTTGGCCAACCCTAGAAAAATCTGCCGAGTGCCGACCCTAGCCTTATTTTTAGTAGACCCCAGCAAGGGACATAAATTTTTAGCTCCATGATCTGACACCTGAGAGATGAAACATTGTACAATTGCCAAAAAGCAGTTACTCAAGCGACTGGATATGATTTTGGAAACGGTCAGACGTTTCAGCTAGTATCCACGAGCTTTTGTCAGTGACTGAGAGACCAGAGGAGAAATGCAGGTTTATAAGCACAAACTATTGATTGAAATGCAATAGTGATCAAGCACTCAGCCGTTATGCCACACGACCTCACAATTATTCCTCAGTGAAGATCACTACTGTTGTGTTGCCTTGCAGGGTTGGATGGCAGCACATCAGGGCAGGACAGGGAGAAAATGATCAATCAGTTCAACGCCCCCAACAGCCCAACATGGCTGTTCCTGCTCTCTACAAGGTAACATTTTCATGACCTGTGCCCAGTTTAATTAACCTGTGCAATGGCCAAGTGGGTAGAGTGCTTGCCTTGCATTCGGTAGGTCGTGAGTTCAATCCCCGGCCGAGTCATACCAAAGACTTAGCACTCAGCATTTAGGAAAGAGCATGGGAGTTAAACCACTACCAGTGGACTAGCCCCCTGCTGTAGTGATTGCACTGCTGTGCAGCCCAGGACTATTGAAAATGGAGATGGGCGCCGCTCTATGTGTCACTTGATGCAGGAAGGCTCTTTAACTTTTAACTGTGCCCCCCTCCCCCCCAGGGCTGGTTGTCTGGGGGTGAATCTGGTGGGTGGTGGTGTTTGATGCGTCGTGGAACCTGTGCCATGACTGCCATTTGATTAAAACTAGTCTTTAGTTAGTAATTATTCTAAGATTTTGCTGACTTGTGCCCCCCTCCCCCCCATGGCAGGTTGTCTGGGTGTGAATCTGGTGGGAGCTAACCGGGTGGTGGTGTTTGATGCGTCATGGAACCCATGCCATGACTGCCATTTGATTGAAACTAGTCTTTAGTTAGTAATTTTTCTTAAATTTTGCTAACCTGTGCCCCCCCTCCCCCCCAGGGCTGGTTGTCTGGGTGTGAACCTAGTGGGAGCTAACCGCGTGGTGGTCTTTGATGCGTCATGGAACCCATGCCATGACTGCCATTTGATTGAAACTAGTGTTTAGTTTTTGTTCTAAGATTTTGCTAATATCTGCCCCCCTCCCCCCAGGGCTGGTTGTCTGGGGGTGAATCTGGTGGGTGGTGGTGTTTGATGCCTCGTAGAACCCGTGCCATGACTGCCATTTGATTGAAACTAGTCTTTACCGGTAGTTAGTAATTTTTCTTAAATTTTGCTAACCTGTGCCCCCCCTCCCCCCCAGGGCTGGTTGTCTGGGTGTGAACCTAGTGGGAGCTAACCGCGTGGTTGTGTTCGATGCTTCGTGGAACCCATGCCATGACTGCCAGGCTGTGTGCCGCGTGTACCGCTACGGGCAGACCAAGCCCTGCCACATCTACCGCCTGGTCACGGACAAGTCCCTGGAGAAGAAAATCTACGACAGGCAGGTTAACAAGCAGGGCATGTCAGGTGGGTGTCAGCTTTCCTGTAGCAGATAGTTACTTAATAGTTCACCACAAAACAAGGCTCATTGGAGTCACTTAAATATTTTGGGTTACTGTACAGACAGTGTGGACAGATGTTCGTTAAAATTAGACTTAAAATGTTTAGGGTTGTACCCATGTGGGAAACAATCTACAGTAACATTTTCTGAAAAGTTACTCCAGTATTGGTGATTTTATTTTCATAATGACACAGTAATTATGCATTGCCATTGTATATCTATTGTGCTACAGAATAGTTTCAACCGTAAAACACTGCAAAAACCTCTCTTCCCCTCATGCCTATCAATTAAGTTTCTGTGAGAATAAAATGAATTTGCAGTTCTAATTTCACTATGCCAGAATCTTCAGAATCTGTATAAAATTTACTGCAAACGTTTTAAAATTGTTTTTTTAACACTTGCTTCCTAGCTATAGCGTTGCTTGGAAGAAGTCATCATGATAAGACATAGGAACATACAAAATTAATGTAGACCACACTTACACTGCTGTACTGTAGGATTACAATTTGATTTTTGCTGACTGATTTTCCTCCACGCAGATCGAGTTGTAGATGAGTTACAACCAGAATCCAACTTCACCAGGAAGGAAGTAGAAGACCTCTTTAGTTATGATGTAAGTACCAACCAAACAGCTACTAAGTAGATATAGGTCAAATATACTAGTAGGTGGTCTGACAAAACTGCCTGGTAGCAACGTACATTGTACTATGTCCACTACCCAGATCTAGGGTTGTGAGCCTCATTTAGAGAGGTTTCACTCAAAACAGGATTGCCCAGTAACCAGATATGTACGTTGTGTGATGAGTTACTTTAAATTTTCTTACCCTCCAAGCAGAGATTTAGGCTTCAGCTGATTGTTGGTGTGTTTTTGGGCATTTTTATTGGGCTTCTGTTTTGTATCTCTTTTTACGCTAATCAAATAGATACTGCCTTGCCAATATCATACTGTCTTGCAGCCACCAAAAGATTTGGTAGGAGGTTTACTTTTTCTGGTTTTGCCTCAGGATTCAGACCCTGTGTACGAAGACTTTTCCCAGGATGCAGCTAAGTTTGCCGACCCCATCCTGCAGGACATCTGTACAGAACACAGCAGACTCATCACCAAGGTAACCAACCTCTAACTTCACAAAACTGTAATGCCTTTGATGTAGTTCAAACCTTTATTTACTGTACTGGTAGATTCTTGTAATTGATAGAGCTGAAGAGCTACTCTTCCACTGGTTGTGACAAAGAAGACAGACACTATGTACAGTATTCATAGGTTCATCGTACCAGGGAAGTTCCCCTAGCTCTTTTTGACAAGCACAGTGAATAGTAGACCACGGTTTAATGTCCCGTCCTAAGGACTGCGACCCTAAACAGTAGCATGCATGTCAGGTGATCGACAACAGCCGGGATTTGAACTCCAAACCTCTTAGTCCAGAGGCAGGATCGCTAACCACTAGACTACGCACACTACGCTACACACACTATGCTATTGCTGACTACTTTCTTCTTCTTTTTTCAGGCTCCATTCCAGCACGAGTCCCTGCTGATCGACAGGAAGGACCACAAGCTGACCAAGGCGGAGAAGCGAGCGGCTAAGAAGAGCTACGAACAGGAGAAGCGCATGAGCATCAGTAACTACTCCCGCCCATCCTACTCCGCCTTCTACCCACAGCAGCAGGCAGCGGGGACACCTGGCAGCTCGGGAGGAACTGCATCCATATCCAGCCTTATATCGTTTGCCAGGGCACAGACAGGGTAAGAAGTCTGACCAACTTTAAGTCACTATTTTAAAATGATACAGTCTCTCCCTACTTGAATTTTTCAATGTAGAGTAGTAGTAATACATTGTATCCAGTCTTTTATTATACTGCTGCGGGGGTCCCTGACACATGGGTGGGCAGCAGTTGGCTAGTCTTCACACCCACGCTTCCAAGTGATTCTGTACAGTGGGTCCACACATTAGGAAGGCTGCAATCTACAATGTCCTCTAGAGCTATGATGAAGGCTCATCTGTGTTGGTAGTTACATAGATCCAACACGAAGGATTGTTCTCTCACCTAGAGCTTTCGACCAGTCACTCTGGTCTTCCTCAGTAGACTGACCCTGTGAGGCTTATCACGTGGCTTCTTTGAAGTGTGTCGTTCTGAGCTTTTCATGCTTTTCCCGCAGAATGCCTCCGATGATCCACCGCCCGGTGGCGAACGTGCGGCCGATCCAGTCCACGCCAATCCCGATGCAGCCTCGGACGTCCGGCAGCAGCGATGTGCAGGTGTTCCAGCGCGGCGGCCACAACATCATGGTCAACCACGTCAAGACCACCATGGGTGAGGCCAACACTGATGACTTTACTGAATTTTAACACTAATATTTTAGGCATTGTCTGGTGTAATGGTTAGGCAGGTCAGTAGGTAGGGATTATCTTTTAGACTTCAGTGATATTTATTTATAGGGGTCCAACTTATACAACACAGTTTAACAAAGTAAAACTTGCATGAGGACACTTTTATTTTCAATGTCAATGTTAGAAAACCAATTGTACAACCCAACATCACTCAGGTGTCAGATCAAGGAGCTAGAAAAGGTTGATCAGTTCGAAAAATTTATGTCCCTTCCAGGGGTCCACCCCCCAAAAAAGGTTAGGGTCAGCAGTTTTTTCTAGGGTCGGTAGGGAAACAGGAAACAACATTTTTTTCCTAGGCCTAACCCCTGCTTCTCCCCTATTCTGCAGACATCCCCATCCCAGGCAGTGCCAGTTCCAGCTCCTCGGTACAGAAGATCCCGGCCGGCACGCAGATCACAGTGATCCGGACGCACCGCGGCATGTACATACGCACCAACGACGGCAAGATCTTCGCCGTAAGGGCGGGAGCGCCAGGTATGAGCCAAACTGTATATTAATTTTGTCTTTTAAATTGAAATTGAAATTGAAATACCTTTATTGTACATTCATGCCACGACGGGCTAGGTACAGGTCAAGATACTGAGTATGACAGACACATAACAAACGTATATAGAAAATTGGAGACAAAAGATGCACTACTTGACTTATACATACATACATAAGGAACATACAAGGGTACTATACTAGGCTAATACATAGTGTTCTAGTCACTGAGCTAATACAGACAGGTCAACTTCTTCTCGCTTTTTTGTACAGTGAAAAATGTGGGAACAGATCATGTTTGTGATACAGGGTTTGTCTAGACGCATCAAAAATATAAATTTATCATTTGCGCTTAGGTGTTCAAAGTATGGGAACTTCTCTTTGATATAATTAAAAAGGACAGATCTTTCATTAGAATATAAAGTACAGTCTAAAATAAAGTGTTGTTCATCTTCTATTCTATTCATGTTACAATATTGACAGAGTCTGTTCTGGAGAGGAATGCGGTTAAAAGTGCCCAATGCACTTTTAAGGGCTCGAGTAACAGATTTTTCAAAGTCAATATTCTAGTCACTTTCCCAAAGTACATACATTGACATTCATGGAGCAAAAATGCCTGAAATTGTGACATGAAAAGACCTCTGATATGCCAAAAAACAGTTACTCAAGCAACTGGATATGGTTTTGGAAAGAGTCAGACATTTCAGGTAGCATCCACTACATTTCCTCTGTGACACTAAGAGACTGCAGGAGAAATGCAGGTTTATAAGCATGAACTATTGATTGATGCACATTTGTGCACATAATGAACTGGGTAACTTTTTGTTACCTTTTCTGCAGGAATACCTGTCCAGCCCAGCGGGCCATCCCTGTCTGCCACTGCGGTGAACGAGGCCCTCAGCTCTGCTACTGCCTCCTCTGCGCCTGCTGCTCAGCCTCTCGGCCGGTCCGCGGCCACGTCAGCTCCGATGGTCAGCGCCCTGCTGGCCGGCACGCCCGCCCTGGACTCGCCTGGACTCGGACGTTCGTCTCCCGTGACAACAACAAGCACTACAACGTCTGGCAACAACGTGGCGAGTTCAAGTTCGTCAGAAGCTTCGGGGACAAGGCAAGGACACGGGAGCGCGTCTACTGCAGAAGTCTCGCCGTTTCTTACTACCACGTCGAGTAAGGAGGCATCTGCGGATGGTAAACAAGATGGGAACAGTAGCGAAGCCGACAGGAGCGCGACGCAGAGACCAGAGTCCACGGGAGGGCTGAGTTCGGGGAGCTCGCAGTCCCGTCCTGCGAGTCAGAGCCTGGACCGGACGTCCCCGATCTCTCAGGCTGCCGACAGCAGCGTACCGGCCGTTACATCGTCCGGAGTTCCCCCCTCCATCCCGCAGCTAGCCTCCACCACGCAGCAGAGCAACGGGGTTCCTAACTTCTCTTTCCCCACCCCGGCCCCGAGCCAGCCTCTCAACATGAACATGAACATTCCAGGCGTGGGGAACATCTCCCCCTCCCCCTTACAGAACCTCATGACCTTCGTCCCCAGCTACCTCAATCCCGGCTCCACCCAGCCCCAGCCCGGCATGATCCCCGCGGGCATGTACAACTACCCGGGCATGATGCCGCCGTTCGGTTTAGTGGCGGCACCCCTGCCGTTCCTGCCCTCCGCCCCACCCTCCAACATGCAGGCAACGCTGGGTAGTGCTGTTCCACTCAGCGGGTACCCTCCCCAGCCTGGCATGGCTGTTCCAACTACTAACACAACCTCCACCAGTACCTCTCAGGAGGTGCCTAAAAGTACAGAGGACATGAGATCGTCACCGTTCAACTTTGATGACATTGTCCAGCTTGACTGAATCAGTTGCTAAAAAACTGGAATATTAGATAATTAGTCCTGACCATATCAACTGGCAAGGATTTTTGCAACAAACTTTGCAGATTTTGAGGAAAACATATAAAATGATATCGTTTGAACTGGCCATGTAATGCATTGACAACTTACCCGTAATATCGTGTCTTTTGTGCTCAATGTTGTACCTCAATGTGCTGGTAAGTATAATGTAAACAAAGCATTAACCCTCTTCCTACTGTAACCAAGACAAATTTAGATACATGTACATAGTAGGGAGAAGGTTAATGTACAACAATCTAACTCATCTAGTGTAGTTAACCTTTATCATACCGAAGGCCAACATTCGATCTCTCACAAGGGTCGCTTAGTGGTGTACACATTGGAAACTAAAAGTCAACATTGTGGCTGTGTTTTACTGGTAATTTCTACTTTCTATAACTTGTGGTTAGCAAGAGGGGAAATTTTTCACAAACACTTAGTGGTATACGATAAATCATTGATCCAATACATATTTTGAAGGTTGAAAAAAAAATGAGAAGTTTATATCGAACACAACAAACATTGTATTTGTGAAGGGAAAGATGATACTAATTATGAGGACATCATGTAAATACATGTGTATGTGTGTAGTGTACTATTACTGGCTACTGTACCATATGTTTGGGAAGAAATATATATTCACTTATGATGAACTAATATTTGTTTAAAGTTAAAACTTTTGTTCCAACACAAAAATTCTCTCACCTAGAGCTTTCAACCAGTCACTCTGGTCTTCCTCAGTAGACTGACCCAGTGAAGCTTGTCACGTGGCTTCCTTGAAGTGTAACGTCAACACTGGGTCAAAGGTATCTGGTAGACGTGACAAGCCTCACTGGGTCAGTCTACTGGAGAGTGACTGGTCAAAAGCTCTAGGTGACAGAACTTTGTGTTGGACCAAAAGTTTTAACTTTAAACATGTAACTACCACACAGATGAACTTTCATGATAGTATGAACCGATATTCAGAAGATTGTAAAGTTGGGTGGGTGCATTCATTTGTAAGATGTTCTCCTTGTTTGTAAAGCATCATATCATGATCAGTATTAAAAATCATGATCAGTATTTGCAAAAGGGATCCTAGGATGTCCCGGGGACAGGGTTACCTCTTTAAAGTAAACTGCAATGTTTCAGTTTTGCTCAAAATTAAGTGTACAAAATACACTCGTAATCAGACTTAGTAAGGGACTAGACAGTGCAAAGTTGCAAACCTATCAAGTTTTAGCCCCCAGATTTAGCCTACCTCGAGATTTGACTTACAACGTTGGGTATGTGAGAAAGAACACCATGGATTGTTTACCTCCCATGGCCCTTAGTCATTTCATAAAGAAAACTGCAGGGACTTTATTGTGCCCTTAACATGAATGATTTCCATCACCCACATTGCAATGAGGAGCAATGTTAAAACCCTTGTCCTGCGGGACCATATATATATATGGGTTGCACATACAGTACCATCTATATAGTGCCCTGTGTATGTATGATTTGGGGATGTTTCTCGTGCAATGCATCTCGTGTAATGCGGAAGTAACTACGCCAACGCAGGGAAAAAAAGTCAAGGGTCTGTGATCTGATTAAGACTTCAAATTACTTGAAAATATTGTGTGAAAATGTCCAGCAGGACAAGGGTTAAAGACATAAGTCTCTAATGATGTCATATGCAAAAAAAACATTGCTGAGTTGTTGTGCAGAATCTTTTAATCCTAAGTTCTGGAATCAACGTACAAATCTAAACAACAAAGGCACTGGTTCTAGTTGCTCTATAAAAATATGGTGATCTGTGGAAATTTTTGCTATTTGTTTGTTGCCTTCCCTATTGTGAGTTTAACCAGAGGTCCCTTGTATTGTGAGTGCAATAATACATATCTACTTAGTTCATGTGTAGGCTTGCAAATAGCTTCATCAGTTACATGTATTAGTATTAGCTTACTGGAAAATGATGGACTTAATCTAGAGAAAACTTACCTGGTTGGCATGTCAGAGGTATTGACACTTCCGTTGTCCTGCGTTTCTTCCCTGTTGCATTCCTTGTCAAAATGAGTCTTCTCAACGTCTTCCCCAGAACAAATTGTAGCTGGGTTTTTATTTCTAATTTTATCTTCCTTTGCCTGTGTCATGCCTGATTATATGGTATTTTTGTGTTTCAATGTCAATTGTGACAATTTATTTGGTTGTTGCGATGGAAAAGGGAACCGCCTTCAATTCCTAGTTAAAACGTTGGCACTTTCTCTGTACTACTTTTGCTAGCTGTGGCAGTGCTGTTTTTGTTTCGTTTTTTTGTAAACTGTATTCTTCCATTGTAATACTCAATGTTCTGATGCATATTCAAGGCTATATTATTGACTTCAAGTTTGTTCCTGCAATTGAGATTGTACAGAAAGCTGGGAGCTAAGTGCTTATTTATGATATAAACTGTATGTGGATGTATGTTTTTGTGAAAAAGATAACAAAAATGAATTTGAAAACACTTCCAATTTTGAGATCTGGGAGAATCTAATGCAGTTACTTAGTATTCATTAGCTATTTTTAAGTTAAATGAGTTGGAGAAACTTGATGTTTTGATTATTAAGTAGTTTGTATGCATAGTGCTTGTAGCAAGCTTTGAATTGGTTCTTATTGTATTCAGAAGTCACTGAGTAATAAAATATGATGGAAACGTAAGAAAACAGGTCTTCTTTGCTTCTTGGCAGTTGAATGTACATGAATAACTAGAAAGGTAACATTTGCAAAGCAAATGCGTAATGTTTACCTTCGCATATGGTCTGCTCGGTTAATTCTTACTCACATTCTTATGTATGGTCAGACAGGACCCTAAATCCCTCCTGCTATAAAATTGCAACATGATGTAACCCAACACCAGTTACCATGGCAACAGATGTCTGGTTCAGGTCATTGACCTTATTGGTTTGGAGAAGAAGAGGAAAGGTTAACGTTAGCAAAACGGTAAACATTATTGTTGGAGGGGGCATATATGGCCCACACCATGTTGACTTAATGGCAAACATCCGCTTGAGTATTTATTTTTCTACCCAACTTCGGGTCAGCCTTGATTTTTATAGCTTTGAAAATCAGTGAGCCGCTTTGATTGTTATATCTGATAATTTCCAGGTTACAAAGAGACGTGCAATGACTGAATTGAACACAATGCAAAGAAAGTGTCATTTCAAGTTACATGATATTGTATAATCACTTTCAAAACAAGGAGGTTCATATAACATTATTGAGTAAAAAGTGCGTCGTCAACTGTGTACGTTAACGTGTAACTTTTCAGACTAGCTATTGAATAAATATTAGCCAAGTTGGTATTCATTGTGTCCTTTGAAACTCGCTCCGAACATGCGCAGATCCAAAACAATGACTGTGCGAACATGACGTAATCACAGTATTCGGTGCAAAAACCATCATGGCGGCCTGACAAACATTAGAAACCGTACCGCGCGTTGTTGTAACGGCAAGTATTCCAGCCTTTCCGAGTTTTGCCAGCCTGTCACTCCAATCTTATATCTTAGAGACATGTCTACGCTCTTAGAGAACGACGACAGTTTTGACTTTCTGTTTAAAATTGTGCTCATTGGTGACGCTGGAGTGGGAAAAACCTGCGTGGTGCAGCGGTTCAAATCCGGTACCTACATGGAGCGGTGTGGCAGCACCATCGGAGTCGACTTTACCATGAAAACCGTCACCATCGACGACAAGAGAGTCAAGGTAAGTGGAAGAAAAACACCACAGCCACCAGTTGTGTCAGTGTGAGCAAGAATAAAGCGCTGACAACATCAGATTTTTAGATAGGACCACCCGGAATCTCCAACCCGGAAGTGAGGCTGAGGGGAGGGGGGGCAAAGTCGACATGTAACGTAACTACAGGACTGTTAGCCTCTACCAGGCTTCGGGAGGCGGCTGGGAATATTAGAAATCGGCCAAATACAGAGCGATAACAAGCGGCAAACTGTACTCTCTAGCGGACTAACTCCCCCGCCATGTTATCTCTCTATTTGCCCGATTTCTACTCTTTCCAGCCGCCTCCCGAAGCCTGGTAGAGGTTACAGAACTCCCACACAAATTATGGACACAAAAGGAGACGGGAGTACGAGTTGTTCAGGATGTTGATTGCGTCACGGCATTGATTTTTTTCCTTCTGACTCGTTGACACGTTTCTGGGTTTTTCTCCGTGCCCAGATCGTGTTTGGAGATACAATAGAACGTGCTTGGTTGGCACCGGTTTTATGGCATAAAGACTGATAGCCTCCGTAGTTAATTAAAGTAGAACTGGGGGTTTGGTGGTCTTCGGCTGTTTTCTGATTAGCCCAGTTCTAAAACGGGGGTAATTCAACCAGGCTGGCTATGTTGTCTATATGCAATCAGAAAATAGCACATAAAAGATCCCAAAGACCCCCCCCCCCCCAATACCCCAGTTTTTGGCATGCTATGGAGGCTAAAAGACTTAGGCGATTTGAAGTGTTAATAATCAAATTAAGTTTTAAAATTTGTGTATGTAGCGTTGCCAACCGCCCATTACGAACGCTAATCTAGTTAAGAACAATGCAGTGGCTGATGGTTTGAGTAAGAGTTTCCCATGGGATTAGCCTTAGGATATATAGAGTTACAACACACCAGCCCCAATACTATTTGTACAGTTAAGCTGTTACTACATATCAGATGCCCTTTGTACCAACTAAAATACATCTGACTCATAAAAGTGATGAGTCATTTTGATTATTCCAAAGCACCTGCTATAGTCAACTTAAGTTTTGCTGTTGTTCGAGCAATTAAATCTAGGGGAATTGCTGCTACATGGAACTTTGCAATGGGTTAAAAATAGCATATGGTTACAGGATAATTAAATACAAATTGAATGTAGCACAACATTTAATGTTGCAATCCATAAGCCCTGTATTTTAGTGACCTCTAAATGTTGTAGACCCCTTGAGTATCATGGGTAGTTTCAAAGATGAATTATAAGATAATTATAGATACTCAAACATGTGACATAAAGAATACATGTACATGACACACTTTACCTTGGACATCTAACTCTAAACATTTTTAAAGCTCTTTAGTGACAATGCCCCTACTGTACTTGATGACAGTTCCACTCTGCATTTAGTAATCTATGAAAAATTAGTTTTTGAACACCTCAATCCTTGGTTGATAACTCTGGTACTAAAATTTCTTGTTCTTTTCTGACTCACAGTTGGCCTTTAAGGTACAGTAACTGGAATGACACTCCTTCTTCAACACAAGACCAGTGGCTTTAATTTCGCAGTAAGCGGCTGTCTTGTTTATTCTAGCTCCAGGTATGGGACACCGCGGGCCAGGAGAGGTTTCGCACCATCACGCAGAGCTACTACCGGAGCGCCAACGGTGTCATTATCGCGTACGACATCACCAAGAAGGAAACGTTCGACAACGCGATACGGTGGCTGGAAGATGTCGGGAAATATGCAGGGCCGAATGTCGTCAAGCAGCTTGTGGGTAGGTGAAAGTTACATCAAAGTTTGGCTAGTAAACTGTGGGAATACAGTCCTTACGTATTATTACTGAGTTATCACCGATTGGCAGCCACTCCAGACCATTGTGATTAAGCGACAATATATTGTAAGCTCCTCACAATTCAGCCCTCGGCTGCAAAGAGAGAGTGGCCAGTCCACCAAATAAAAAAGAAAGAAAGAAGATAATTCCTACCTGCCAACCCTAATTTTTTCAGGACTGAAACAGGAAACACAACATTTTTTTCCCAGGCCTCAGGTTAGAAGTTTGGCTGATGAAATAAGCAACACAGTAATACAATTTATTTCCCAGTGCCTCAGAATCTAGTATCCACGTGCCTGTACTGAAGTGGCAGGAAATATCAGTGAAAGGTCATGAGTTACACGTTGTGTACAGAACAAGTTAGTTTTAGTGTGTGGAGAGGTTATCAAACAAGATCTGTGCACTGAATATAGGCCATGGTAATTTGGATTATTAATTTACCAAATTATCAAGACTACAAAACAGTTATCAGATGTTCGTGGAGCCACAGTTTTATATTTTGTAACTCTAAGCACTGTTACAGTAGTAGCTTATTCATTCATTCATTCATTCATTCATTCATTCATTCATTCATTCATTCATTCATTCATTCATTCATCCATCCACCCTTACACCCATCCATCCATCCACACATCCATCCATCCATACCATTCATCCATCCATTCATTCATTCATTCATTCATTTATTCACCCATTTTTTGCTTCAGGTTGCAAGAGAGACTTGGAGGAGATGCGTGAGGTGAATGTTACAGAAGCCAAGTCCTTCGCCGTGCAGCACTGCATGTTCGACGCCTTGGAGACATCTGCCAAGGAGGACACTAACGTCGAAGAGTGCTTCATCAGGATAGCCAAGGAACTAAAGAAACAACATGGCGGCACCGCGCTACAGGGGGACAAGGACGGTGGGAAAATCGTGATGGGAGAGTCCAGGAGGGTGGACGGGGGAGGGTGGGGGTGCTGTGGATAAAGCTGTGTGAACATTGTTGTGATATAGTTAGTGCTGTGTACCGGTTCACTGGACTGGTTCCAGACTTGTAAAAATGTTTAGGTTCAAGTCCAAAAAAAAACACACAAAAAAGACCTAAAAGTCAAGAACCGATTCCGGATTTATTTTTTAAAAAAAGCCCATGTCACATACCCCTTTTCTTTCCAAACCACCTAAAACCTTCTATAGATTGCAAAATCTGTGCTGCAAAATGAGGAAAACATTGCCATTGGGCATCGTCAAGTGTCAGCCTCCAAGTTATGTGGCCAAAGTTTTGCCCAGACAACATTGCAAGGTTGCCACCATGCAATTTTGTACATGCCATGGGTTTACGTCCAGACTTATGAGTCCGGAACTGCACCTAAACCTCTGGACTTCAATCCGGACCTGAACCTAAATGTGGATTTAGGTACACAGCACTAGATATAGTTAGGAAACAAGAGGTTACATTATATTCTGAATAGCAGGTATTGAAGAAGACAAGACAGCGACAATGGTAATAATTTATATGTCAAGACTTATTATATGCCAAAAAAACAGTTACTCAAGCAACTGGATATGGTTTTGGAAACAGTCAATATTATATATATAAATATTATGTCTTTGGTTTACATAGCTCAATTAAAACAGGTTTGAATGTTGGAAAAGGGATAGATTTCTGTTTTCAAAGGACAGGCAGACTGAAAGGCCATTTGTTTCTTATAACCGGTTAACTGCCTTTAGGCGTAACACACCTGGTCCAGTTTTGTACATGTACGTACAAGTACAAGCTGCATAAGACCAGACTGTAAGGTTTGAACCACTAACAACAGGAAGGTCCCCTACTCTTTTTGATAAGTGCAGTGGGTTCTTTAATATGCCTGTGTCTGTTACTTTGCCTTTTGTCTCCCACATAAATGTTTGCCATCTAAAATGTGCCAAATTTTGGTAGTGCTGCTGCATGGAAATTCTTTGAATGTGATGTCTTGCTTTTTGAGTGTCGTTGATGAACAATGAGTTGTCAAAAATTCTTGTATAATGCTCGTGTGGTTTCATAAATGCTGATTTGTTCATTGTTGAGCTATTGAAAATGTTGGTTGTATCATAACATTAGCAAATGCCTCCATGTCTTCACAAGTGCCAGTATGTACATTTGTATCAGCAATATTTGATATTTCCAGAAATTTCCCATGTATTTTGTGGCAAGTGTTGTTTACCTTATAACTTAAAAGGTTGTATGTCCATGACCGAAAAAGTCTTCTTCGAAAGTGCCATGTTTGCATTTTAATTGATTTTTTTGTGTATATTTAGATTGAGTTGAGTTGTTCTTTGGCTTAATTTTTATTAATTTAATTTGCTGCTGGTGGCAATAAATAAGGTGTTTGAATTATTTTGTGCTGTTGCTTACATAAATTTGATAAAGTTTATGTTACTAAGCAAATTATTTTCTATGCAAACTATGCTTTAGTCTAGCTTCAGTATGTTGTTAATGGAAATCCAAATGAAATGTGGAACTACTTTTTTGTTGCTGATTATGATGATGAAATGGTATGTCCTAATTTATACCATATATCAGTAATGGGTTAGAAACACCCAAGTTGTTGGAAAATTTTAAAATTATTGGTGGAATGTGTTTGTATATATCTATCTGACATCATACAGATTTGGCCTTAAATGTTATGGTGAAGAAATATATCTGTCAATCATATAGTTGTGGACTGTTTTCTTTGTAATCATTTAAATGATATCGTAGCCAAATGATATCTTACATCTACTATAGCTGGATGCTTTTTCCTACAGTATACAGTGAGTACACATCTCAGCTGATGTTAATAGTTTAAAACATTTTTATACAACATACATCTACAGTGTCTCATTACAGAGGGACCAAATCAAGAGACCACACATTGCTAGTTTACTACGCACCTGTTTACTAATCTGGGTTGTTGTCCATAGTAACCACAAAAATCACATAAAGTGACGACTAATTGTGGTTATTTCCGGCAAAAGTTGAATAGACACCACCTTACAAATTGGTTCCATTCTAAAGCCGCAAAAAGGTACAAACGGTTGATAATCGTCTATACAACACAGCACATTTCTATCACTTCATGCACACATGTATATTAGCCTGACTTGGTGTCTATGGTAACCAAAAGAAATAACATATTAAGTGACCAAGGACATTATACTACAGGTCCTTGAAGCGACTAATTTTTTTGCCACAATTGAATAGACTTGCCGATTAGTTCTATTCTAAAGCCGCAAGAAAAGGGCAAACGGCTGATAAACGTCCATAGAACAAAACACAACACAACTCATTAAAGTTTGGAGGTTGAACACACACACATTTTGTTTTTACATTCTGCTTAAAACAAAATCATGGGAAACTGATGACATTACATTTTCTGCTGGATCAAAATCATAGAGAACACTATCTTGCCATTTACAACATCTAGTAAAGAATTATAAACCATGTACTTTCCACTGTTGTCCGCATGATGTCAACAGGTTGATTTTCTGTGTAAAGCTTCCTGAGCTCTATTAAAATTCAGTCAATCTCAACAATGGCATGACTGTCTGCCATACCGTGGATACAGCGAGTTACCTTCGGTCCCGTAGCGGGCTGGGTTGTAGCGGGCCGGCCTGTGGCGGGCTGGCCTGTGGAGAGCTGGCCTGTCCCGGGCCGGCCTGTGGTGGGCTGGCCTGTAGCGCCGGGCTGGCCTGTTGCCATGTTCCGTTCACTCCCAGAAGCCGCCCCGGCACCGCCAGGCTGATTTGGGGCCGGGATTTGTTCGTCCTGTGGGTTCACGCGGTTTCCCCGGCGTACCACCGTGACAAGTGCCCGATAGACAGCCGTAGCATCTTGGCGGAGGCTCGCTCGCAAGTCCGGTGAGCGGATGACGCTCGCGACGGGATTAATCGCCGAGTTCAACACCATCAGCAGACCCGCTCCGGACGGCCCGGTTGGAAGTGGACACTTCTCTCCAGCCCAACGGCACACTGGGATGAATATAACGGGGAACAGCCAAAAGATAAAGGCCACTACTACCTGGACCATAACAGTCCTGGCCTTCAGTGCACTTTCTTGGTATTTTCTTTCTGCTGCGTCGTTGGGCTGATCTTGCGATGCGCTGTTTTGTACCGGATCGATGTGTCCCCCTGGCTGCCCAAGCCTTCTCTTTTGCCGTTCTTTGATGGCAATGAACACACTTGTATTCGTGAACAGCATGACAGAGGCAAGCGAGAGGATTGTGGTAAATACAAGATAGCCGTACCCTCCATGATGTAAGTTGAAGCACTTTAAGTTTGGCATATCTAGACAGTTCCAACCCATACTGGGCGCGAACCCAAACAAGGAAAGAACAAGCCATGAAGAAACAATGGCCACGCCTGCGTCGCGTTTTGCACTGTGAGCATGGGTGTAGGAAAATATAGGATGTCTTATAGCAACGTAACAGCTTATAGACAGTAAACATAGTGCTGATGCAGACATCATCTGGCTATATGCTAGGAACGCCACAATGTTCATTATAGAATACAGTCTGGCCAGTAATACTCCGTCTACAGCTTGACATCGTACGACAATCGCAATGCCTGCTAACAGGTCTGCCACGGCGAGGTTTGCCATGAAGAGGTAGAGTTGTTTGCCGAGCTCTGGTGTTCGGACGATTGCCCAGAGCACCACCAAGTTAGAAATGATGATATAGAGTCCTGTTAGCCAAAAGACGACAGTTGTTCCTGCCCCCGTCTCCGTGAGGTCCGGGTACGCGGAGCAGGCTTCCTGGACTTGGGCTTGGTCGTAGGACGAATTGTTTTGTAAGTGCCACAGGACACAGGGAATCTGACTGGTGAAGTCTCCTTCTGATGTCTCGTTGGCAACGGACGGCAAAAGAGAGCTGTTGTTGAACATGGCTGGGTTGGAAGGGGCGTAACGGCAGAGTGTTCGGCTCAGAGATCCCGGGTTCGAATCCAGCCCGATGTCACCGATCTTGTCACCGCACTTTACACGACTTTCCTCACTTCACTCAGGTGTAAATGAGTACCTAGCTTTGGTTAGGACGTCCCTCGGATAGGACGTTAAATGGCGGTCCCGTGTTCGGTACAGCCACACCCCACGCACGTTACAGCACCCACCGCACTTTAAACAACGTTACCGAAAAGAGTAGAAGTCCTTCCCGGTGTGTGTGGTTCAAACCTTAGTCCGGTCTTAAGCAGCTTGCACTAATGTACGCCTGTGTGTTACGCCTAAAAAAGTCGGTTTACCGGTTATGCGAAACAAACAAACAAAATACGCGGCTTGAAGAACAGACTTCAGCGGGGCGGACGACCAGTGAGTGGCGGACATCTGCGATGAAGTCGGCAGCCAGAATAAAGCGAAGCAAGAGACTGCGTCTTGTCAAAAGGGCCGTTATCTATTCAACGTGTGCCAGGAGAAGCCGGAATTCTATGTGATTTCTTTTGTTTACCATGGGCAAAAAAATGGAATGATAATTGAGAGTGGAGAGTGCGGTATTTTTGTAATTTGTACTGACGTCAAACAGCCGTTTCTACTTTTCATGCAGCTTTAGAATGAAACCAAATTCTTAGTCTGATTGGAAAGAGTCAGTCTATTATACAGGCGCGATATGAAGTGATTTGTTGTATGGATGTTTATCACCCGTCTGTCATTTTTTTTGCGGCTGTAGAATGGAACCAATTGGCCAGTCTATTCAACTGTGGCAAAAAATCATTAGTCACGTATGTTAAACATTTTGGTTACCATAGACACCAACTCAGGCTAATATACATGTGTGCATGACGTGACAGTAATGTGCTGTATTATATATTTCCGTAAATAATTTCATCAGGTTGGTGAACGACTGAATAGCAAAGTTCTTTTTATCACAACCATTTATTTGTCTGATGTCTCGTTGGTAACGGACGGCGAAAGAGAGCTGTTGTTGAACATGGCTGGGTTGGACTTGGGGCGTAACGGCAGAGTGTTCGGCTCAGAGATCCCGGGTTCGAATCCAGCCCGATGTCACCGACCTTGTGCCTTTGGGAAAGGCGCTTTACATGACTTTCCTCACTCGACTCAGGTGTAAATGAGTACCTAGCTTTGGTTAGGACGTCCCTCGGATAGGACGTTAAATGGCGGTCCCGTGTTCGGTAGAGCCACGTACACCCCACGCACGTTACAGCACCCACCGCACTTTAAACAACGTTACCGAAAAGAGTAGAAGTCCTTCCCGGTGTGAGTTGTTCAAACCTTAGTCCGGTCTTACGCAGCTTGCACTAATGTACGCCTGTGTGTTACGCCTAAAAAGCCGGTTTACCGGTTATGCGAAACAGAATACGCGGCTTGAAGAACAGACTTCAGCGGGGCAGACGACCAGTGAGTGGCGGACGTCTGCGATGGAGTCGGCAGCCAGAATAAAGCGAAGCAAGAGACTGCGTCTTGTCAAAAGGGCCGTTATCTATTCAACGTGTGCCAGGAGAAGCCGGAACTCTATGTGATTTCTTTTGTTTACCATGGGCAAAAAAATTGGAATGATAATTGAAAAGGAGTGTGCGGTATTTTTGTAATTTGTACTGACGTCAAACAGCAGTTTCTACTTTTCATGCAGCTTTAGAATGAAACCAAATTCTTAGTCTGATTGGAAAGAGTCAGTCTATTATACAGGCGCGATATGAAGTGATTTGTTGTATGGATGTTTATCACCCGTCTGTCCTTTTCTTCCGGCTTTAGAATGGAACCAATTGGCAGACATATTTAATTGTGGTAAATATCATCATTCACGTATGTTGAATATTTTGGTTACCATAGACACCGACTCAGGCTAATATACATGTGTGCATGACGTGATAGTAATGTGCTGTATTATATATTTCCGTAAATAATTTCATCAGGTTGGTGAACGACTGAATAGCAAAGTTCTTTCTATCACAACCATTTATTTTTCAAGCCGACGTTTCGATGACCTTCTGTCATCTTCATCAGGGCAATTCTGACTGGTTTACTGTGCACTGACACTAGATGTTACTTGGTGCATAGTGCATTGTAGTGTATTAAATGTATATATTGTTTATCAGCCGTTTGTGCCTTTTTGCGGCTTTAGAATGAAACCAATTGGCAAGTTAAGTCTATTGTGGGAGATGCCAATGTACATATCAAGCACATACCAGTTTGGTTTTGCTTGTACAGCTGTGTATGGAGGGTGTTCATCACCAAGGACAGACATGTTTACCTGTGTGTGGATGGTGTTCATCACCAAGGACAGACATGTTTACCTGTGTGTGGATGGTGTTCAGCACCAAGGACAGGCGTGTGTATCTGTGTGTGGATGGTGTTCAGTACCAAGGACAGGCATGTGTATATCTGTGTGGATGGTGTTCATCACCAAGGACAGGCGTGTGTATCTGTGTGTGGATGGTGTTCAGTACCAAGGACAGGCATGTGTATATCTGTGTGGATGGTGTTCAGTACCAAGGACAGGCATGTTTACTTGTGTGTGGATGATGTTCAGTACCAAGGACAGGCATGTTTACTTGTGTGTGGATGGTATTCAGCACAAAGAGATGGTTTGACAACAAACTGCCAAAATATACATGTTTGTGTGTTCGACTCCCACACTTTTTCAAATACTGAGAGTAGTGTTGTCCTTTCTAAAAGAGTTTGGTATGACCATGAAAAGTCATCACACTATGTTCCGACAGTGTCGGTGCTTCTTATTCTAATACCTTAAGTCATCTAGGCGTAGACTTGAGTGTTTGAAAGTGCATTGAGTGATACAAAATACACCAAGCAAGGTCTAGCTTCAAAAACTACTGCTCTCTCCTTTTCAATTACTAGTAGTATCATCCTGAGTTTTTGCCCATGGTGACCAAACGAAAGCACATAGAGTTCCGGCTTCTCCTGGAACAAGTTGAATAGACAGCCGGTAGCCCTCTTGCCAATCAGAGAAGAATTGTTGGTTTCGTTCTAAAGAGGCAAGAAAAGTACAAACGGCTGTTAATCGTCAGTATAATACCGCACACTCCTTTTCAATTATCATCCCGAGTTGCCCATGGTAGCCATAAGAAATCACATAGCGTTTCGTCTTCTCCTGGCACAAGTTGAATAGACAGCCCTCTCGCCAATCAGAGAAGAATTGTTGGTTTCATTCTAAAGCTGCATGAAAAGTACAATACCGCACACTCCTTTTCAATTATATCATCCTGAGTTTTTGCCCATGGTAACCAAAAGAAATCACATAGCGTTTCGGCTTTTTCTGGAACAAGTTGATAGACAGTCGGTAGCTCTCTCGCCAATCAGAGAAGAATTGTTGCTTTCACTCTAAAGCTGCATGAAAAGTACAAACGGCTGTTAATCGTCAGTACAATACCGCACACTCCTTTTCAATTACTAGTATCATCCTGCGTTTTTGCCCATGGTGACCAAACGAAATCACATAGAGTTCCGGCCTTTTCTGGCACAAGTTGAATAGACAGCCGGTAGCCCTCTCGCCAATCAGAGAAGAATTGTTGATTTCATTCTAAAGCTGCATGAAAAGTACAATACCGCACACTCCTTTTCAATTATCATCCTGAGTTTTTGCCCATGGTAACCAAAAGAAAGCACATAGAGGTCCGGCTTTTTCTGGCAGAAGTTGTCTCGCCAATCAGAGAAGAATTGTTGATTTCATTCTAAAGCTGCATTAAAAGTACAGACGAATGTTAATCGTCAGTACAATACCGCACACTCCTTTTCAATTATCATCCTGAGTTTTTGCCCATGGTAACCAAAAGAAATCACATAGAGTTCCGGCCTTTTCCGGCACACGTTGAATAGACAGCCCTGTAGACAAGACGCAGTCTCTGGCTTTATTCTGGCTGCCGACTCCATCGCAGACGAACGCCGCTCACTGGTCGTCCGCCCCGCTGAAGTCTGTTCTTCAAGCCGCGTATTTTTTTTGTTTCGCATAACCGGTAAACCGCCTTTTTAGGCATACATTTAAGTACAAGACCGGAACTGACTGGACTAAGGTTTTAACCACTCACACCAGGAAGGGCCCCTACTGTTTTCGATAACGCGGTGGGTTCTTTAACGTGCGTGGGGTGTGGCTCTCCCAAACACGGGACCTCTTAACGTCCTTCCGACCCGAAGCTAGGTACTAGGTATTGATTTACACCTGAGTGAAGTGAGGAAAGTCCTGTAAAGTGCGGTGACAAGATCGGTGACATCGGGCAGGATTCGAACCCGGGACCTCTTAGGTCTGAGCCGAACACTCTGCCGTCACACCCCTTCCAACTCAACCATGTTCAACAACAGCTTTCTTTTGCCTTCCGTTACCAACGAGACATCAGAGGGAGACTTCACCAGTCAGATTCCCTGTGTCCTGTGGCACTTACAAAACAATTCGTCCTACGACCAAGCCCAAGTCCAGGAAGCCTGCTCCGTGTACCCGGACCTCACGAAGATGGGGACAGGAACAACTGCCGTCTTTTGGCTGGCAGGACTTCATATCATCTTTTCTAACTTGGCTGTTCTCTGGGCAATCGTTCGAACACCAGAGCTCGGCAAACAACTCTACCTCTTCATGGCAAACCTCGCCGTGGCAGACTTGTTGGCAGGTATTGCGCTTCTCGTACGGTGTCAAGCTGTAGACGGAGTAGGATTGGCCAGACTGTATTTTATAATGAACGTTGGGACTTTCCTAGCATATAGTCAGATGATGTCTGCATCAGCACTATGTTTACTGTCTATAGGCTGTTATGTTGCTATAAGACATCCTATATTTTCCTACACCCATGCTCACAGTGCCAAACGCGACGCTGGCGTGGCCATTGTTTCTTCATGGCTTGTTGTTTCCTTGTTTGGGTTCGCGCCCAGTATGGGTTGGAACTGTCTAGATATGCCAAACTTAAAGTGCTTCAACTTAAATCATGGAGGGTACGGCTATCTTGTATTTACCACAATCCTCTCGCTTGCCTCTGTCATGCTGTTTACGAATATAAGTGTGTTCATAGCCGTCAAAGAACGGCAAAAGAGAAGGCTTGGGCAGCCAGGGGGGCACAACGATCCGGTACAAAACGGCGCATCGCAAGATCAGCCCAACGACGCAGCAGAAAGAAAATACCAAGAAAGTGCACAGAAGGCCAGGACTGTTATGATCCAGGTAGTAGTGGCCTTTATATTTTGGCTGTTCCCCATTATATTCATCCCAGTGTGCCGTTGGGCTGGGGAGAAGTGTCCGCTTCCAACCGGGCCGTCCGGAGCGGGTCTGCTGATGGTGTTGAACTCGGCGATTAATCCAGTCGCGAGCATCATCCGCTCACCGGACTTACGAGCGAGCCTCCGCCAAGATGCTACGGCTGTCTATCGGGCAGTTGTCAATGTGGTACGCCGGGGAAACCGCGTGAACCCACAGGACGAACAAATCCCGGCCCCAAATCAGCCTGGCGGTGCCGGGGCGGCTTCTGGGAGGGAACGAAACATGGCAACAAACCAGCCCGCCACAGGCCAGCCCGCCACAGGCCGGCCCGCCACAGGCCAGCCCGCCGCTACAGGCCAGCCCGCCACAGGCCAGCCCGCCGCTACAGGCCAGCCCGCCGCTACAGGCCAGCCCGCCGCTACAGGCCAGCCCGCCACAGGCCAGCCCGGCGCTACAGGCCAGCCCGGCGCTACAGGCCAGCCCGGCGCTACAGGCCAGCCCGCTACAGGCCCGAAGGTAATTCTCTCTATCCACGGTATGGCAGACAGTCATGCCATTGTTGAGATTGACTGAACTTTAATTGAGCTCTAGACAGGAACCTTAACACAGAAAATCAACATGTTGACTGTGAGTCATATGGACAACAGTGGTTTATAATTCTTTACTAGATGTTGTAAATGGCACGGTAGTGTTCTCTATGATTTAATCCAGCAAAATGTAAATATAAAATGAATGTAACGTCATGACACTGTTGTCATCAGTTTCCCATCGAATGTAAATACAAAATGTGTGGGTGTTCAACCTCCAAACTTTAATGTGCTGTGTTGTGTTTTGTTGTATGGACGTTTATCTGCCGTTTGTCCTTTTCTTGCGGCTTTAGAATGCAACCTATTGGCAAGTACATTCAACTTGTGGCAAACAAAATTAGTCGCTTCAAGGACCTGTAGTATAAAGTCCTTGGTCGCTTATGTTATTTCTTTTGGTTACTATAGACACCAACTCAGGCTAATGTACATGTGTGCATGAAGTGATAGAAATGTGCTGCATTGTATAGTCGTTTATCAGCCGTTTGTACTTTTCGTGTGGCTTTAGGATGGAACCAATTGGCAAGTTAAGTCTATTCAATTGTGGCAGATGCAAATGTACATATCAAGCACATACCAATTTGGTGTTGTGGCACAAATAGATTCCCCTGATACCTGATGATGGTTGCACATTGTTAGTAATTAGCAATAAAGATGTGAAAAAGCACTTCAAACTAAGAATGCCTTTTTGCCTTGATGTCCCTCTGTTGTAATGTAGGTCAAAGTCCAAATCCTTTCTGAACCAGATAGCTCGGTACCCACATCATTGGCCACACAGCTTTGTGCAATCTCCATAGAAGGGACTCGTCCACTGGTAGTGTTGTGTGCGTGTGTGTGTGTGTGTGTGTGTGTGTGTGTGTGTGTGTGTGTGGTGTTCAGCACCAAGGACAGGCATGTTTACCTGTGTATGGATGGTGTTCAGCACCAAGGACAGGCATGTGTATCTGTGTGTGTGTGTGGATGGTCTTCAGTACCGAGGACAGGCATGTGTATCTGTGTGTGTGTGGATGGTGTTATACAGAATACACCATGCAAGGTATAGCTTCAAAAACTACTGCTCTACCCACTTGGCCATTGCACTACTAGTATTGTGTGGGTAGTGTTGTGAGCAAATTTTAAACAATGTTCAATAATCAATAGATGATTATCAATCTGAGAAATCGCTAAAAATTGCTTTGGCTCAATTTGAATGTTTCCACCAATCAAATACACTAACCAATCAGCACCAAGGACAGCTATGTGGGCATAACCCAAAATCCTTTTATTGTTAGTTTTTCTGACATGCAACAAACTATTGTCGTTTTTTAAAATAAAATACAGACAATGTTATTTGTGCAAACACAAAGTATTTAATCAGGAGTTACAATCTGTGAGAAGCAGCAGCAATGCTGTCCTCCCGTGGAGCAGTGAGGCCCTCTATCAGTTCACAACAAAACTGCAGAGGTTTATGCATTAATTTACCAATATATCATAACAAGATGATGGCATACCACCCACACCCAAGTTTTTTGATAATTGATTTTAAGTTTGCAATTTTTCACGTACACAAATGAAATGTTTTTCAAACTTTGTCACTTGAGAAGAAAAAAAGTTGTTGTCCCAGTGAATTTTTCTTTAAACGCTAAAAATGCAAGCTGCTCCTGTGTCACTAAAAGAATCTCTGCAAAATTCCACAATTTTGCTATACTGCTTGAACAGTGACATTAATATGATATAGTACAGCTTAATATACACATTACAATACTATACACAGTGATAATCTCAACTTGGATGATGTGCAGTTTACTTCTTCTTCTTCTTTTTCCCTTTCTTTCCACTCTTCTTGCCCTTTTTCCCCTTCTTTCCCTTCTTCCCTCCCCCATCATCCTCATCGTCCCCTTTAGCAGCCTTTGCTCTCTTCTTCCCCAGTGGCGTTTTCTCATTCCAGCTCTGAAAAGTGGGGGGACAATAAGTTAGTTCATGGACGATATAGAAAATTCTTATGTGTCTAATGCTCTGGTATTGATTTCCTGAGTAATTGTGTCAAGAACCTGACAAATATTCAACTTGAAACACTGTTAAAGGCATCCGGTGCAGTTTTTAGGGCTTGGGAACTGGATTTTTTAAAGCTAATATTCTAGTCATTAATTTTTATCTATATACTGAGTTGAAACCACACTATCCCAGTGTATATTGACCCTCATGGAGCAAAAATTCCCAAAATTCTGACGAAAAATGGTTACTGAAAGGCCCCTGGGCTGATTTTTAGGGTACCACCTAGAAAATAAAGGACTTATCTTGGGGATTGTTCCTGCAGTTTTGAATGCCCAAAGTATGAAATGCTGACTCAAATGTGCTAATGTGAAGCAGCATGTGTCAATATCAGACACATTTCCTTATCCAGAATATTTCCAGTTTTGCCGCCCAGAAACTGCACTGGATGCCTTTAAAACTGTCTCTAATGTAGCTCAACAAGATCAATGAGTAAATTGCAGGTATCTGCCTGTATGGTACCACAGAAACAATGAGATTAGACTAACATCAACAGAACATATAGACTAACAGAAAACCTGAAACAATTCAGCTCCAAACTTTGAGCCAATCAAAACTCTTTTGTAACTACGGTAACCACCTGCCTGACCAATCATAGCTGAGCCTGCCTATTCCTGTCTATTTCTTTTTGCCCTTTTTCTTGTTCTTGTCGTCTTCTTCATCTTCGTCATCTTCTGCCATGGCCGCAGCCTTGGCTTTAGAGAGAGGGGTGACCTCAAACCAGTCCTAATAAGGGTTCAACACAGCTAAAGCTGAAGCTAGCCCCCAATAGACCAGTTTGCCTTTCACTGATCACAATGTAATGGACCTATACCAGTATTACGTCACAGTTTGTTTACCTGTTCTAAAGAACATTCTAGAACGGTCAGTTACAGAATAAAGATCATTTCAAAGTTTTCAAAGTAAGGTATGTCAAATTTTTGCTGCGTCTAGTTGTGTTGACAGTCAGCATTGCATGCCGCATGGTTGATTTATTTGTGACATTAGACGAAAGTAGTACTGTATTAAAAGAATTATACATGTATTAGGCTAACGCTACACAAACACACACTGCGTTACGCACCCCTGTACAATATAAACGTTGATTGACCGGCATTCATTGCGGTAAACAAACTGTGACGTAATAATGGCATAGGTCCATTGCTTATGTCACAGGGGGGATATTTCAGATAGAACACCATTTTAGAACAGGCTTTCGTTTGTGTTGTCCACCCTGGCAGATTTACTGACGTGTGTAACTCTGATTTCCAAAAGTTCCTGACCTGATGGGCGCCTACAATAAGTGTAAAGCTTATTGATACTTTGCTGAAGGATGGCCGTCCCTTTTTTCCTTCCACCCAACCTTACTAGATAGCCAATTCTGGTATATGAGAGCAGAATGCAGACCATTACAGTGATCTGCCAGGGAGGACACTGCAAGCTTTAGAGAGAGGGGTGATCTCAAACCAGTCCTAATAAGGGTTCAACACAGCTAAGACTGAAGCTAGCATCTAATTCCCTGACTAGCTATACTGGTAGTCATTGACTTCAGATACTCAAACTAAGCCATGCCTATGCTTGAAGAACTGAACTATGCTTGACTACACATTAATTCCTACTGCAAGGGATTCAATGTGAAATAAAGATCTTGAGAAATTTCAAAAGATGCAAATTGAATAGATCTAAACTGTATGTCTTAATAGGATCAGTATTGATAGTAATACAAAGCTTATTGTTGTTCAACCTCCTCCCTGCTGCCTAATCAAAAACAGATGTGATGCTTACCTTAGCAAGTTATCAGTTATTAGGTTCATTCAGAACTTCTGTGTCTTGTTATTTGATGTTGTATAAGGAAAGAAAATCCTATAATATAAAGGTGAGGAATGGATGTAAAGTGTGTGCAGTACCTTGAAGGCCTCCTCTTCCTCCTTGTATATCGGATCTATCCTGGCTAAGGGACTGATGAACTCCACAGACGTCAGCGGCCTCTTGGACAACTGCAACAGAACAAATATAAATTGTTTCCCTTTTTTATCGATCCCATCAAACTAGTCATGCTAACTATGCTGACATCTTGAAAAGGTGATGTCAACCCTGGAAGGATTGACAGTGTAAATCTTAGAGTGAACAAATAAAGAATTGTATTGTGACATACATGTACACGAGATAGATATTGTTAGCTTCAGTGCACTGTGAGCCATGTAACACCTATATATATATATATAGCTCCAATGCACAGTAAGGTGACAGATGGCCACCAAAACATTGGCTCATGTAAAACGAATGGTCATGAATTCTATGGCCCCCAACAACTGTGGAATAACCTGTCACTAAAGCAAGGTATGACTTTGTGACTGGTAAAATTTATTCAGGAATTGTGATGTCATGATCGAATGGAGAGCTGAAATTGTGTGAGGTTTCCGTGCTTTGTATACCCAGCATACCCTGAAAATAGGTTGTTATGTACCTGAGTGTTACTGCTGGTGAAATACTAAAACAACTTGAATATCCAGGTGTCTAACCTGTTGGACGCGTCTGTCTGTGAGCACCTGCTGCACAGCTGTCCACATCTGCGCAGGCGTGTACCCGTCCGTCACCTTGGACAGCGAGCTGACGTCCAGGTGGTTGGTCAGGATCCCCTGCCCCTTCTGGATCATTGACTGCCACATCACTGCAAACACAAGCATGGACAGTTATAAACGCATCTGATAGCATAGCCATAGCATGTCGGCAGAATGTACTGTGCCTGTGTGAAACCCTGATTTTTTTACGGTTTTTGTTTGATCATGGAATGCCACATCACTGCAAACATCAGCATCTGATTCAACAGTTTTAAAAACTACGAAAGTAACATTGCAAAGTTCTGTTTATTCTTACACATTCATATGTATGGTGAGCAGGCTCTCCAGCTCAGTACTACAAAATGTAACCCAACACTGCTACTGTAACAGTACTAGTTGCCATGGTGACAGATATCTGGTTCAGGTCGTTGACCTTATTGGTTTGGAGAAGAAGAAGAGGAAACTGAGCAAAAACAATACGCTTTCCTTTGGTAAACATAATCAGCACCAAGGACAGGGATAACATTGGGCAGAGACTGACATCTTCTGGACACTGTCCTTGGTGCTGAATGGTTAATACTAAAAAGTATATGTTGCTTTATGAAAAAAAAAACAGTTACTCAAGCAACTGTATATGGGTTTGAAATAGTCAGACATTTCAGGAAGCATCAGGTACCCTTTGTCAGTGACAGTACTGACACTGGAGACTTGTCAGAAACTGCATGTTTTCAAAACCATACAGAGTTGCTTGAGTGTTTTTTGGCATATCCCTGGATGTCTCTGACGTATACCCTGTTTTTTTTCACAATTTGCCTAACTTCTCTACTACAAACTGAAACTTACAGAAACGTGAGGCGTAGTCTGGCCGTGGGATGAGGATGATTTTCTGGTACGAGCCTGTCAGTCCCTTCAGCTCACAGTCGAAGGGCTGGCGGGACGTCCCGACTATCACAACACGGTCCTCCGCTTTCATACCTTTGATGGCTTTCGGGAGGTCCTTCTTTAGTCTCTTGGGGTCAGTCTGGGGGAAAAACATAATAAGAATGCTTTAGATAATAAGAATGTTGACACTGTGTGGTTGGCTGGTGAAGTTGCTGAGACTCTAACCCACAGGGGTATTAACATTTGCTGTGCACAAGAACCACAGGACAGAGGCAAATGGCAAGCTGCCATTAAGCCCCAGCATCAGTGTGCAAGCATGTGTCGTCTAACCCTCAGATGATGGGAACAACAGACTATAAACCAGAGAGAGAGTATTTAGATTTCTTTGATGGTTCACCAAGACATTTCAAAATCCTTAATAGTATTTTGCTCCATACCCTATCTTACTAGTAAGTCATGTTATGGACTACATGAATTTTACATGACTGTTGCAATGAAAGCAATCGTACTGTGCAGTTTTTCTTCTAAATTCTAAACAAGAATCATTTGGAGGTTGGAGGATGACGTACCGGATCAGTCTTGGGGACTTTCTTCAAAAACGTCTTCTCAGCGTCTCCTATGAAGATAACAGAGGGCTGCAACTGCCGGGCAACCTGGGAACAAGAACAACAGAGCAGAAATTAAAAATTATGTCTTGTTCCCACGCAACTATTCCATCAATAAATACATGATTCAAGTCATTGTAAAAGGTGGACTTTGACCTAGAGCTTTCAACCAGTCACTCTGGTCTTCCTTCCAGTAGACTCACCAGAAACCTCTGACCCAGTGTTGACGTCACACTTCAAAGAAACCATGTGACAAGCCTCACTGGGTCAGTCTACTGAGGAAGACCAGAGTGACTGGTCAAAAGCTCCAGGTAGAGGACTTTTTGTGTTGGATCGAAAGTTTTAACTTCAAACAAGACGCAGTTCCTTTAAGAAAGCAGTCGTACCTTGAAGACCATGTGCATCATCATGGAGAGGCCGCTCTTGCCCGGGTACTTCCCGGCGATGTTGGTGCAGGTCAGATCAAACAAGTTGGCGCCGGTCTCCGTGCAGATGGCGTGAACAAGCATCTTTTTCCCGGTGCCCCGCGGCCCGGTTAGAAGGAGCGATTTCACCAGAGGGGCCTTTTCATGGACAGCCTGGGATCCTGGTGGGGTACACGTGTGGGCAGTGAGTAAAGGTTTTTACACAACCAAGTCTTTTATTCAGCCGATGTTTTGGTGACCGTCTGTCACCTTCCTCAGGGCAATTCTGACTGGTTCACACTGCACTGCAGCACAGGAGTTGCTGCTATAGATGCATTTCAAAACGCACAATATTTACATATCTACACAAATGCGTGGTTACAAGGAACTGTATCCACAATGCGGTCCCAAAGATACATGTGTGGGCAGTGTTGTGAGCAAAAACAATGTCCAACTATAAAGGTAACATTTGCAAGACCAAATACATTAACCAATCAGCACCGAGGACAGGGATGTGGACATAACCCCAAATCCTTTTTTGTTTAGTTTCATCTGTTTTTTTAGTTTATTTTTCAATTCTAAGATATTATCAGCACAATGGTTTAAGAAGATAATGACCAGCCCACACTACAACAACAAACATTCACCCACCCAGTGGAAGGATGCCGTACTCCGTTACGACCCTGCGCACGTCGTGTAGAGACGGCATGGGCTCGATGTTAGCTGTGCGCAGGGTGGTGCCGAGGTAACTGTACTCCCCAAGGTAGTCCGACATGTGCACTTTGGGACACCGGACCAGGATTCCCTCCTGTACCAACTCTTCATACAGCGACTCGATAGTCCTGGGGAAAAAAGCAACAAGAAGAAGGAATTATGTCTGATTATCTGTACCTGTAAGAATATTGGATACTGAACAGGACTATTTCCTGAGAGGGCTATTTACATCATGGCCCACCACCCTTCACTCAACCGCGACAGGGGCCAACATCGTCTACCAGCTACCTTTGACCCAGTGTTGACATTACACTTCAAAGAAGCCATGTGACAAGCCTCACTGGGTCAGTCTACTAAGGAAGACCAGAGTGACTAGTCAAAAGCTCTAGGTGAGAGAACTTTTTGTGTTGGATCTAGTTTTAACTCTAAACATGATCCATACCTGTCAGCAGTGAGATCCTTCTCCTTCTTTCCCTTCTTGCCTTTCTTCCCACTCTTCTTCCCCTTCTTCTTCTGTTAGAGGAAAACAGAGAAAAAGAAATGTTACTATATGATGGGAGTCAGCAGTTGTAGATATTGTTTTTTTGAAATGTGTGAAGTTTCAGCCAATCAGAAGATGCAACCAGAGGCATGAACCAATCAGCACCATTAAACAATCAGCACCATTAACCAATCAGCACCAAGGACAGGGATGACTTTGACCAATCAGTGCAGCAAACAGTAGTGCACATTTGTGATGACATAACACCATACAGCAAGACATTTTACACCACTTTTGGAGTGCGTTGAAATAGAAAAGTTTGCTATACAACATACATGTGGTGCCTGTGCTAAGTTTCTCATCATCATTTTGCTTTGTAGTGCAGTGTTTGAAATTCATGGTACATTCATGCGTGTTTGGTGTACAAACTTTTCTCTGTGCAACTGTTTCTATCTGACCTACACTTAAAGCACTAACTAAAGACTGACCATTTTTTTTGTAGTTTCTTAAGAACAGTAGTGATAAGAGTAGTGGTATATGGACACATTACCGGCGATTTCCTCCTTTTCTTAATGGGAGTACCAAGAAACGAGTCATAGGAGTTTCTACTCCTACTTCTAGATCTACTCCTTTTACGCAGCTTGCATCGAGATGGGAAAACATATTAAACGTCGGAGTAAAGACTGTAGTACAGCGATACATGTTCAACTTGTCAAAGGAACTCACAATACAGTCTTAGGCCACAACAATTCATTTTGCGGACATCATAAAATGAGAGGGCTAGGAAGAAAACTCGAATATGGCTGTATTTACTACTTAACACTGAGTCCACTGAAGCATCAACCAGGTCCTCAGACTTTGCTTTCATTAGGCTTTTCTAGTTAACCATATTTTAAAAAATCCGAGAACGGTTAAACAAATCAAATCAAATTGGTGTGGCCTTAAGTTAGAATATACATAATAGAAACTTGAAAGTTTTCTTTTGGAGTTCTACCAGTTCTGAAAGACCTCTGTAGCAACTCTGAGTTGTTGTACAACAAATACGTGTCATTTTACTAAATGTTGTCACTGAAGAATTAGAGGAATAACACAAGAGACTGGAACCTACCTTCTTCTTTCCGCTCTTCTTTCCTTTCTTTCCCTTCTTCCCCTTGTCTCTTTCCACAGCCTGAAAAATGGATGACAAGTACATGTATGAGCTAAAATTCTAGAAAAAGGGATATAATCTCAAACATTGATAATTCAACATTGGAAACCATAACTGTTACAGAAAGCTAATAGTCACAGAAATAAAACTAGATGCTTTAAAAACTGCTGTGTTTCCTTGGGGAGTATTACTGTATATTTTCAAAGTTGCCAGGTTTGAAAGCAATCCATAGAAGAAGGGCAGTCTGACAGAGCTGCCTGTATCTGTATCACTGTTATAACTTTCCTTTGGTCTGTTTTATCAGTATAGCCGGTTTAACTTCCCTTTGGTGTAACTGACCAACTTCACACGCATATGGTGGGCGGCAGCTAGATTCTGATACATCACATAGAACGACCTGTTACACCCAACCTTTGCACATTTAATTGCAGGAGTTGTTTAAAGCTTTCTAGTGATGCACAGCACGAAAACAGATATTTAAGCAAAATTTACGACATCCGTATTGAGACTTTAAAGACAGGGAAATATTTAAGCAGAATTTAAGATCGATTAAAGTGTACTGAAAAAGAAATCTAATCTTTACGAAGGATTTTCGCAGTTGTAAATGTAACGTATTACGGCATGTTTCTTTACGCACGGTTTACAGATACTGAAATATTCAGTTCCGACAAATATGTTAAACTTATATGTCCCAGAAAGGTATAGGAAATGTTTCGTATTTCTGTTTGAAAACTTAAGTCAAATTTGAAACATGAGTAAATCAATCAGGTATATTTTTGATTGTTTTTTCTACGCACAATTTAAAGCAGGACGGAAAAGACGCCGCATAAATCATCGAGAGCCTGTGCCTAGAGCTCTGTTTCCTTTCAACGCCTGACATGAATTGTAGCAGACCTCGGTGCACGCAAATACAAAAATTTTTCGCGTTGTGTTTTTATGGCTTACCAACAAACATATGACGTGTTTAATCTTCCTCTCCGCACACTTTCAGTGTACGGTGGTCAGACTTTCCCTCTTCAGCTTATATGTTCCCAAAAGTTTTATTCAACAAATATACGGCACGTTTAATCTTTCTCTATGCACGTTTTAAACGAACGGGGGGATAGCTTATATGCTTCCGAAAACAATATGAAAGGTAGCGTTTATTCAACAACAATACGACGACAATACGACGTGTTTAATCTTCCCCAACGCGCATTTTAATTGATATGTTTCCAAAAGCTATGGATGATATGTAGCGTTTTTTTCAGCAAACATACGCTGTGTTACATCTTTTCCTACAGGTATTTTAAGTGAACGGGGAGGTACCTCTTCCCTTTAGCTTATATGTTCACAAAAACTATATGAAAGGTAACGTTTATTCAACAAATATACGACGCGTTTAATCTCTCTACGCACACTTTAAGCGAACGAGGGGAGAACCTCCCCCCCTTTAGCTTATATATTCCCAAAAGCTATATGAAATAAAGCGTTTATTCAACAACAATAAGGCGTGTTTAATCTTTCCATACGCGCATTTTGAGTGACGTTGGCTAATATATTCCCAAAAGCTATATGAAACGTAGCGGTTAGTCAACAAACATACGGCGTGTTTAATCTTACCTTACGCGTATTTTAAGTGACGTTGGCTTATATGTTCCCGAAAGCTAAAGGAAATGTAACGTCTATTCAACAAACATACGACGTGTTTAATTTTTCTGTACGCGTATTTTGAATGACGCTGGCTTATATGTTCCCAAAACCTCTATGAAACGATGCGTTTATTCAACAAATATACGACGTGTTTAATCTTTCTCTACGCACGCTTTAACCGAACGGAGGGAGAACCTCCCCCTTTAGCTTAATATGTTCACGAAAACAATATGAAAGGTAGCGTTTATTCAACAAATATACGACGCATTTAATCTTTCTCTACGCACACTTTAAGCGAACGGAGGGAGAACCTCCCCCCTTTAGCTTATATGATCCCGAACACAATATGAAAGGTAGCGTTTATTCAACAACAATACGGTGACAATACGACGTGTTTAATCTTCCCCAACGCGCAGTTTAATTGATATGTTTCCAAAAGCAATGGATGATATGTAGCGTTTTTTTAACAAACATACGCTGTGTTATATCTTTCCCTACGAATATCTTAAGTGAACGGGGAGGTACCTCTTCCCTTTAGCTTATATGTTCACAAAAACTATATGAAAGGTAACGTTTATTCAACAAATATACGACGCGTTTAATCTTCCTCTACGCACACTTTAAGCGAACGAGGGGAGAACCTCCCCCCTTTAGCTTATATATTCCCAAAAGCTACATGAAATAAAGCGTTTATTCAACAACAATAAGGCGTGTTTAATCTTTCCATACGCGTATTTTAAGTGACGTTGGCTTATATATTCCCAAAAACTCCCTGAAACGTAGCGTTTATTCCACAAACATACGACGTGTTTAATCTTACCTTACGTGTTTTGTAAGTGATGTTTGCTTATATGTTCCCGAAAGATAAAGGAAATGTAGCGTTTATTCAACAAACATACGACGTGTTTAGTTTTTCCATACGTGCATTTTAAGTGACGTTGGCTTATATATTCCTAACAACTCCATGAAACGTAGCGTTTATTCAACAAACATACGACGTGTTTAATCTTACTTTACACGTACTTTAAGTGAAGTTAGCTTATATTTTCCCGAAAGCTATATAAAATATAGCGTTTAGTCAACAAACATACGTCATGTTTAGTTTTTCCTTACGTGCATTTTAAGTGACGCTGGCTTATATATTCCTAAAAACTCCCTGAAACGTAGCGTTTATTCAACAAACATACGACGTGTTTAATCTTACCTTACGTGTTTTGTAAGTGATGTTTGCTTATATGTTCCCGAAAGATAAAGGAAATGTAGCGTTTATTCAACAAACATACGACGTGTTTAGTTTTTCCATACGCGCATTTTGAGTGATGTTGGCTTATATATTCCCAAAAGCTATATGAAACGTAGCGGTTAGTCAACAAACATACGGCGTGTTTAATCTTACCTTACGCGTATTTGAAGTGACGTTGGCTTATATGTTCCCGAAAGCTAAAGGATATTTAACGTTTATTCAACAAACATACGACGTGTTTAATTTTTCTGTACGCGTATTTTAGATGACGCTGGCTTATATGTTCCCAAAACCTCTATGAAACGATGCGTTTATTCAACCATGGAGGTAGAAAAAAGAGACCTCCATGATTCAACAAACATACGACGTGTTTAATCTTAGTTTAGGTAAACGGGAAGTGATCTCTTCCCTTCAGCTCATATGTTCCCAAAAGTTGTATATAATTTTGCGTTATTCTATTTTGTCTCTGTATTCAAACTGGCAAACACTGTCCGTCCGTAACATGTTTCTGATGTTACGTACTCCGTCCTGGAATTTTTAGGCGGACAATTCGGGTGTGAAAGTACGAGACCGTTGTTTCAGGATGCACAAATCAGTTGTCGGCGGCGAATGTAATGAGAAATGAATGTAAATGTAAAAGTTGTTTATAAAAACATGAAACAAACAATATCTGCGGTGTGTTTCGGTAAGATGCGCTGAGAAGGCATGGTGTTTTTCAAAATGTAAATTTATTCAGTGCCAAGCTGTGAAAAAACAACCCAGGGATTCAAATGCAAGTTAATCGCCATATGGGGGAGCCGATATCTGCCAGATGGTGTGTCATGTGACAGGGTATTATCCAATGACAGACAACGGTGGGATTTTGAAATCTACTGGATATGCAAGACGCAAGCACCAGGGCTAGCATTTTACAGGGCGCCTTTTTGAAGACAAGTACGGGATAGAAGATTGGACCAATTCCATCAGGACTCACTGCAGGTTATGTACGAGATTCACTTGGGTTTAATCACCCTGAACCCCGACGGAACGGACACAAAACTAGGGCACATGGTCCTCGTTCTGTACAAGTGTACAACGGATTGGAGTGGAGATATGGAACACGGCACTGCACGGCACGGAATGAGAAAACATCACGACCGTATATCTGTATCGGCGACCAAGACCGGGAGTCATATCGGTATCTGTATTCGCGAAACTGAGCGGATTACTTCTCCAAGCCTGCGGTGGCCAAATGGACAAGAGTGCTCTTTTAAAGTAAACTCTACCTTTGCCTAACGACGTTGGATTCGGAATTCTAGACTTGGATACAGCGCAGAATCTTGAAGGAACTTAAATTGCACGGACACAGTGACTTATCGCTCGAGCTCAGCCGGCTGCATCAACGGGAACAAAGACTACACGACTTGGTCACTAGCCTGGTTTCCAGTCTACCGGGTATGGAGCGGCTTTCTTTGGGGATCCAGGACCTCTTCGCCGCCGGAGTAAGCCAGGCTCCCCGGTACGTTTCGCATCGATATCGTGCCGCTAAACTCTATCCAGGGAGCCTAACTTCAACAGGACGGCAGGCCCGAAGATAACCCACCCAAACCACGACAGGACTGGACACCAAAATGCCACAAATACCTCTGACATACGCAGAATAAACGGCAAGTAAATGCAACAGAACACGCCAACGTTACGCACACTTAATGGGTAATAAAGACGCAGTTTAAGCTGCTGAAAGTCAACTGAAAATCCGAAAAATAAGCACCATATACGCAACAAATGATTACCTTTACACACACGTATATTGGCCGTAAAAGTGCTTCAATTAGAAATAAACGTGAACTTTAAATACGTTATAAGAGCATTTTAAAAAGTATTTATGACAACTTTAAGCAGCTGAAAGGCTACGTGAAAACCGGAAAATACGGATCAATCCGCACCTTTCCGTCATCTTTACACACACTTATATGAGCCGTAATAAATGCTTGAAGAATGAAAATACGTCAACTTTACTTACAATTTAGAAATATTTTCATCCTTATTTAAGACATCTTTAAGTGCTTAAAGGCTACGTGAAAACCGGAAAATAAGGATCCATCCGCACCTTTCCGTCAACTTTACACATACGTATATCATCCTTAAAAATGCTTAAATAATAAAAATACGTCAACTTTACATACAATTTAAGACTATCTTTATCATTATTTAAGACATCTTTACACACACTTATATGAGCGGTAATAAATGCTTAAAGAATGAAAATACGTCAACTTTACTTACAATTTAGAAATATTTTCATCCTTATTTAAGACATCTTTAAGTGCTTAAAGGCTACGTGAAAACCGGAAAATAAGGATCCATCCGCACCTATCCGTTATCTTTACACATACGTATATTACCCTTAAAAATGCTTAAACAATAAAAAAACGTTAACTTTACTTACAATTTAAAAATATTTTAATCATCATTTAAGACATCTTTAAGTGCTTAAAGGCTACGTGAAAACCGGAAAATAAGGATCCATCCGCACCTATCCGTCATCTTTACACATACGTATATCATCCTTAAAAATGCTTAAATAATAAAAATACGTCAACTTTACATACAATTTAAGACTATCTTTATCATTATTTAAGACATCTTTAAGTGCTTAAAGGCTACGTGAAAACCGGAAAATAAGGATTCATCCGCACCTACGGAAAGACCACGTAACGTTGATCTTTACGTACTCGTATAAAACGTGTATAGATGCGTAAAGACGGAATATACGTTGACTTTAAGCATAGTTTAAGCATCCGTAAATACCGTTTTTCGTGCCGTGATGATGCCCCAACTATGCTTTTGGTGGCAAGGATTTCTACTCTACAATAGTTCTTGGAAAATATGAGTAACAACAATCACTCACGGCTTTAAGATTCTTGAGCTCCTCCCTCATGAGTTCGTCCACCTGCAGCCGGACCTCTCCCTCCACCTCCTTCCGCTTCTCCTCCTTGATCAGTTCAGCGTCGTGCTTCTGGCTGAAGTTGTCAGACTCGTCGCGCTCCTTCCACACACCTGGGGAGACATGTGTTAACCAATCAGCACCAAGGACAGGGATGGCACTGGCCAATCAGTGCAATCAAAAAAAAAATTGGTAACCAATCAGCACCAAAACAGTCAGAATATGCAATGAATGCATTAGCAAATCAGCACCAAGGACTGGATAGACTTTGGCCAATCATTGCAACTATATCAACAAAAGAGGTGTTGGTAGCCACTCAGTAACAAGGACAGAGGTTACAATCAATCAGAATATGCAAACAAATGCATTGAACAATCAGCACCAAGGACAGGGATGACTTTTGCCAATCAGTGCAATCAGCAAAAACACTGATAATATAAACAACAGAAGTATTAGTAGCTTTCAGCACCAAGGACAGAGGCTCTTACATGCAATCAGGTCTTGGTATATGAACTGTTATTATGAGAAATATTGCAGATGTGTTCTCACCTTGAAACTGGGTGTTTCCCTCTGAAAGGGATGGAACAAACTCAGATGGGGCCAACTTGAAGCCTGGCTCCTCCTCCTGGCATCATGGAGAAAAGTTATAGGAGTTAGACACCAACTTCTGTACTGGACTGTTGTTTCCTTCATTCATAAAACATAACACTGAAATAAATATGCTAATAAAAGTTTTGAGCTACTTCGGTGAAGGTTAGACATCCAGGTAATACGATACGACAAAAAACAGTACTCAAGCAACTGGATATGATTTTTATCCAGTTGCTTAAGTAGCTATTTTTTTTTGGGGGGGGGGGGCATAAGATTTGAGCTACTTTAAGGGATAAAGCACTAAGAATCACATAGATTTGCAGTCTTACAATCTTGTATCACATATTATGTGTGTTATTCATGAATATAAAGACAGGACAAGACATCACAATTGACACCACATTGTGAAACCATTGAGTTTTACCTCTTGCTTGGAAAGTCCTCTAAAATTGGAAGCAGTATAGGACTGAGCAAAGGGATACATCTTTAGAATTCAAGCCTACTTTACACTAACTCACATACTCTATTTTCCATGAAACCATTAGGTATTAATTAATTAAGTATCATACATTGCATTACTTGTATAATCATAACAGAGAATTACAGAATTCATGTTTCTTTGTTCTACTTTATTTTTTCAAAAGATAGAGGAATGCAATTCTTATCTTTCTTAATATATTTCTATTTACTTTCATTTTATTCCATAGATTAAGGCCACATCAATTTCAGAAAACAAATTAGAAATTGTGTGTACCTCTTCATCGTCTCCACCTTTCTTCCCCTTTTTGCCTTTCTTTCCCTTCTTCCCCTTCTTGTCCTTCTTGCCTGACTTCTTCCCTTTCTTCCCTTTCTTGCCCTTTTTCTTGCCTTTTTCTTCAGCCTTGGCGGCCATCTCAGCTTCAACCTACAGAATGAATGAAAGGTTTATTCAGGCACTCTCAGCTATTTTGCTGAATTGTGAATTTCATTACAATACTTGGTACTTTCTGAAAGACAATGATAGCATTTACATTTCTAATATAAAATATTACAGTCCTTTTCATAAATATTTAATAACAGCAAATGGTAAAATAACATTCAGCACAGAGCTAAAAATCTATCATTGCCACTTTGTAATATCAAAGCACTGAAACAGTTCAAATACATTGTATCATGTTCCTACATGAAAATTGAAATAGAAAGTTGATGTTAAAGATCATCTGAAGATTCAACTTCATTAAAAAGTATGATTAAGAAACAATGACTTGTAGATGATCGAGCAATTCTAGAACATCTTACAATAGTAACCAATTCAGCATAACAAAGGTTATAGTTCCAGAACATGGTGGCTAAGAAAAGTGCTCAACACATTTTGAAAACATTGACTATTACTAGTAACCTTCTCCCTGCTTCCTAACCCCATAGCCTATAGAAAATTGGTAGCCAAATGGCTATTTCAGTGTGTTAAAGGTTAATCTGCAGTACTGTAGAACAATGCATTACAAAATCTAACCTCTAGCATTCTGGTAGCTTCAGAAACATCTAAAATTGTGAAAATTTATGTTCACAAAACTTTCATTAATAGGGCCTTCCTCTCCTCACCTCTTCTGGTGTTTTTTCTTTGAAGATCATAGCAGAACCTCCTTCATCTTCATCTGGGTAGTCTGGGAACTTCCCCGTGGCATCCCTGGAAAGGTGCACTCAGTTAGGACATTCTTACAATGACTTATCAACAGATGGTTTGTTTTTATACTTACTCTGTAATTTTTAAAGGTTGTTTCAAGGTAGGAGACAATATCTGAAAAACGAACTAGGAAGTGAAATCCATGAAATATCAAAAAGAAAGAAAGTGATCTCAAACCAGTTTAGAAGAGCTAATCTTCCACTGGTCATGACAGAGAAGACAGACGCTATGTACAATATTTACAGGTTCATCGTACCAGGGAAATTCCCCTGGCTCTTTTCGACAAACACGATAAACAGTGGACCACGGTTTAATGTCCCGTCCTAATGTCCCAGACTGCAACCCTTTCCAGTCGGGTGAGCGACAAAAGCCGGGATTCGAACTCCCAACCTCTTAGTCCATTGGCAGGTTTGCTAACCACTGAACTACAACACTAAATAGTGTTGTACCTGACTTCGATGAACCACTGCCTGATCTGGTCCTGCATGCTCTCCTTCATCTCTGGCCCCTCCACCTCTCGAAGCTTCTCCTTGATGGTGACCAGAGCCTGCTGGTACTCACGCTCATGTTCTTCCTGGGTTACTCTGCGCGCGGACTGGACATAAAATAGCATAAGTTACACCAAAGACAGGGGTAAAAACAAAACATCACATGTTACTTACAAAAGAACATGTGTCGCACACAAAATAACACACGTGTTACACATAATAACAAATATTTTGCACAAAATAACAAATGTTTCATAACAAAATTGATAACAAATGTTACACACCAAATAAAACATAACGTTGCACATTAAAGAACACAAATTACACATAAATATTGTGTACTAATGCAGTCCTATATTTTGGATCCAAGGCTTAGTCTTAATCTAATATTTGAACAGCTAGCCAATCAGCACCAAGGACAGAGGTAAGAACAACCAATCAGAACTTGCCATAGTAGCTTAAAGAGGCTGACCTGTTGCATTCAGTAAATTTTTTATGTTCTAGAACAGCCATACAGCAAGTATTGCAAATGCTAGTCTAAAAGAGTGTAATCCTGTAAAAACTGTGTTTACCTCTGTTTTAGTGGCTAAAAACTGTGGCGTGTTCTTAGCAGGCTGACTTGGTATGGGAGTCTGTGGGGAAAGAACAAGAAATATCAGCAACAAAAATAGCATAAAGAACAGACAATAACTTAGCATGAAAGTTTATCTGTGTTGGTACAAGTCATTATGAAATAAAGACTAAGCTTTAACTTCCAACACTTACTGAAATTTGGGGCAAGTCCCATTTCTGTCGTCTAAGTGTTGGAAGTTAAAGCTTAGTATTCATTTCATAACAGACAATAACACTAAAACATTACATGATACAACTCCAGAAATAGAATCAAAGTGTTACAAAGGATTCTGAACACAGAAAAACAAAATTTGACCTACCATCCCGATAAACATCATTTCCTCTTCCCTCTCTCGTTTTGTCCGCTTCCTCTGTGCAAAACCCTTCCACACCTGGAATTGGACAAAATTATGGACATTTGAATGTTAATACACATAAACAGTGTGCTTGTCTGTTGAATATTACAGCAAACTATAACTGTTGTGTTATCTAAAGCTATCTGGTGACAATGCCCCTACTGTACTGTACTGTGTTCCGGTGAGTACCACTCTATGATAGTTCTAGGGAAATACACGAGCATTTCTCATGAAATGAAACCCCGCTCACCTTCTGGATGCGTATGGCAGCTGTCACAATTATTATTATTGTTATTCTGTTGGTATTTGTTATTTCTTTTCATGCCCTCTTGTTATTTTATCTTAATTTGGGCATAAAAGGATTGTCCTGCTTGCCTAATGGCCATTTGCATCTGTGTAAAAAAAGCTGAAATAAATAAATAAACCCCTCTCACCTTCTGTATGCGTATGGCGGCAGTGTCTGGCTCTATGGTCGGGGCGCCGCGGTTGGCCGCCTGTCTCTCGCGCTCCTCCTGCATGCGGATTTCCCGCATGAACTTTGCCCTGAGACGACCCTGCCGCGCCCGCTCGTGCACCTGGATAATCCGGATGGACTCCTCCAGTGACATCGGCTTCTCCTCCTCTTTCTGACGTGACAGAAGAAAAAAAAAAAAAAACATGAAGAGATAGTTGGACTACTGATGCCACAACATTGAGAAATAGTCGGCTTATCCTCCTCTTTCTGATGGGAAAGGAGCAAAAAACATGCTTTAAATAGCTGGACTATCAAAATTGTAAACTAGCCCAGCACAACACGTTGGCAGCACACACTGCACCTGTGTGAAACTCTGATTTTTCACAGTTTCCGTTGGATTTTTGGTCACCGTTGCATCAGAATTTTGCCTGTTGCAGAGGTTCCGCGCAGGTGCAGTACATTCTGCCAACATGCTAGTCAGTAACTTACTTACATTGTCTGATTCCCAGTCAACAAAACAATATCACGAAAAATAGATCCTGAGCTTTTCTTCTTTTCAGCAATAAATTTTCTAATAATTTTGAATTAAAGGTCATATGATTGATTGTTAATGATGCCAATTTTGGGAATCATCTTTAGAAGTTTGGGGATTCTGGAAGGGAGTATACAACAGTATGTCTCTGTTTTGTCGTTAGTCTACTATAGCCAGGCCTGGGTTTTCCACAAACCCTTTCAACTTTGTACATCAATATCTTAGTTCTATTACACAACTTACCAAGTCCTTGTCCTGTGGCCCCAACTTGGCCAGGATTTGTCCCAGAAGTTTCTCTCTGTCCTTCAGGATCTTGGACCGCTCCAAGGTGAAATACTTGGGGATCGGCATCTCAATGTCATTCTGCAAAGGACGGGTAAAAAATAGCCCTCAAATTCAAGTTCAGCTTGTAAAAAAAAACACTTTCCTAGCATAAAACTTTCTGATAACAAATACAACTAGAAAGGTAACATTTGCAAAGCAAATGTATACTGTTTACCTTCACATTTGGTCTGCTCTGTTAATCCTTACTCAAACAGGAGCCTAAATCCCTCCTGCTGTAGAATTGCAAACATTATGTACACCAACACCAGTTACCATGGTGGTGTTTGGAATGGAAGAAGAAGAAGAAGAAACAGAGGAAAAACAATATGTTTTCCTTTGGTTAACATAACAAGTGTATATTATAAAACAGAAAAGCAAAAATGCTCACCGGGGTGAGTTTTAAGTCTGACAGGATGTCGTCAAAGTAGTGGAACTCTGAGAACTCCAGGCCCGTCAGTTCACCCTTCAGCTCGAGAATACGGCCGATGGTGCCGTCCAACACATGCCGCAACACGCGTCTGCAAAACAAGACAATGAGTAATGAATAACGTATAATTGATTTGATTTGATTTGATTTATTGAAATTGTAACAGTACAAATGTACAATACACGTGGGACACACAGGCAGCTGTTGCTGGTGTTGTGCCCCACACGTAGAAACAAAAACAGGACAGACAATACTCATTTTCACTTGAGTTATGCGAGTTAAAGTCGTGTAAAGTGCTTTTCCCAAGGGCACAAGATCAGTGGTTAGGACTCAAACCCGGGACCTCTTGGTTCCGAGTCGAGCACTCTGCCATTGCGAAACACGACCCCACAATTGTATCATTCTGTTTATGCTTGATGAAGACCATGAAATTTGAAAATGATGTTTGTGAGGTAAATGATTTTTTAAAGTGATATTTACCTTTTCTGCGGATGGACAATCTGGTCGTAGGAGCTCTCCAGTTTGCGGAATATCTGGATGTATCTGACGTACATCGTGGCCACATTCTGGAACGCTGTCAGACGGTCCTGAAACAAGACAACAGGAATTTGTCTTATTTCATGGCAGTTATCATGTAAAATTGAACTGTTGCAGATTCAGAAAAAGTTTCTGATTTTTGATTTAAGGGACAGAGCTCAAAGACCTATGGAGAAACTAGAAATATATTTTATAATGGGTAAAACAGAAATTATGCTAATGTGACATATTTTGTTGAAGTGATAAGTTACATTTTCACAAAATGCCCCCTTCCTTTCTGATTTATTGTTAAATGAGATTGGACTTCACAGTTTTTAAAACAGTCATTGTCAATGGTCTACACAGGGAGATTTAACCTTGTTCTACACTACAAAACATCCTATCATCACAACATCACAAAATACTGCTGTCCTTCTTGCTATATGCATGTTTTGAAGAAGTAAAAACAGTTTCTTTACAAACTTGGTTACGTAAAAGCTCAGAGATTGATTTTATAACGTTACCCACCCTCTCAGGCTTTGGTGGTTCTTCTGGTTGTTCTATCTCCAGCAGGTCTGTGATAGTTGTGTGGGCCTGCCGCCACAGGGTGTTGTACGTGCTAAAAAATAAAAGGGGGGGGGGATGATTTATACTAACGCTGGACTACAAAGTCAAAGTCATGGCAGATAATAATATTACTAACGTTAACGTTAGTTGAGTCTATCAAAATTCTACATATCGGTTCAACGGGTCTGGCAAAATGTTGAATAGAACTACTGCCTAAGAACTGAGTACATCCTCTAACGTTACACGTACGTTCTAAGCTACTCTATAGTACATTCATAAAGAGTGCAATGAGCAGTCATATATTAACGTAATACATGAAACTAGAAATTGCACTCTTGTGTCTTATCAAATAACGTTACAACGACTTTAGATTTTCGTGCTCCTACGTTACATTTTCATGCCATTCGACATCAACAACAACACAGAAACAAGCAACACAATGTAGTCTACTTACTCGTGCGACATCTTGATAAGAATTCGCCTCGCTATCTAAGGCAAAATCAGGGAAAACCGCTCATTCTTGCTCGAGCCCTTGCACAGTTTGTTTTAGTGCGCCTACAAAGATGGCGCATCTCCCTTTGGTGTTGCTGTTGTTGTTGTCATGGAGACATGCGCGCCACCTAGCGGAAATATTACAAAGTGCAATGCTGGGCTGCTTTCTACTCTCCAAAGCAGAGGTTTGGGTTTTGGCTAATTTTTGGCGTGTTTTTAGGCTTTTTTCATCGGGCTTCTTTTTTTTTTGCACTGATATCTTTTTTTACGCTGTTGGTTTGGCGTAAAAAAACAGTGCAAAGAAAGAAAACCGGGTAAAAAGCCTAAAAACACGCCCAAAATATAGCAAAACCCAAACTTCTGCTTGAAGAGTAACTACAGTTTTGGTTGGACGGAGCTTCCAGTTTTCCACTTTCAAATTGACAAAAAATTGAAGTTTATTGTAGATGTAGATGTAGATTCCTTCAGGCCAGGTAGGAATATCTTCCAGTTTGGGCCGCTCTTGGCTTCAGCCGACAGTCATCTCAGGTCGCATGGGATGATCCAGGGCTCTGTAGTTATATACTACAGGGTGTAGTCTCATATGCTTATCAAATCTGGTTTTGAAACAGTTCACGCTGGGAGCTGTAATCACTTCTTCAGGTAGACTATTCCACCAGCATACTGTTCTTATGGTGAAAAAATAAAGTCTTGTGTTTGTTTTTGCTGGCATCCTGCTTAGTTTCAGCTGGTGCCCTCTTGTTCTTTTATCCGATACAGTAGGTATGGGGCATTTAGTATCATACAGGCCATGGGTGTATTTGTAGACATTAATCATATCGCCCCTCAGTCTTCTGTACACCAAAGTAGGAAGCTTTAGTGATCTGAGCCTGACTTCGTATGGAAGTTCATGTAAGCCCGGCACTCTTTTGGTCGCTCGCTTCTGTACTTTTTCAAGTTCTGTAGCAAACTTCCAAGTATGTGGCGACCATATAGGAGCTCCATACTCCATATGTGGGCGTATGATTGATTTGTAAAGTGTAAGAAACATTTCTTTATCCATGTACTCAAAGATTCTCCATGTTAGCCCAGTTATCTGATTTGCCTTTTTTACAATGGACATGATGTGGTTGGCAAAGCCCAGGTTTTTGTCTACTTTGATTCCTAGATCTTTTTCTTCTTCTGAGAAACTCAGAGGTATAGGATCTGGATTCCCAATTTCAGACATGTTGTAGGTGTAATCTGGGTGTCCATTTCCTACTCTCAGGACCATACACTTGTCTGGGTGAAAATTTAACTGCCACTTGGTGGCCCAATTCTGGAGACTGTTCAGGTCTTGTTGTAGGACTTCGCAGTTTCTTAATTCTGGAACTGGGCTGAATATCTTCGTGTCGTCTGCAAACAACTTCAAAGGACAGCTCACCATATCCGGCATATCATTAATATAAATAGTGAAAAGAACCGGTCCCAAGACGCTTCCCTGTGGGACTCCACTATGCACCTCACCCCACTGTGAACTGCTTTCGTTAAGGCATACTTTTTGTTCCGGTTTTTGGAGAAAGGATGCTATCCATTTCAGAAGATTTCCTCTGATTCCGTAACTTTCCACTTTGTTTAGAAGTCTTAAGATGGGTACAGAGTCAAAAGCTTTACGAAAGTCCATATAAATTATGTCAACCGGAAGACCCTGGTCCATCCATGTTGTCCAGTTTTCCATGCATTCGAGAATTTGTGTAACAGTTGATCTCCCAGGGAGAAATCCATGTTGTTGAGTTGTAAAAAGATTATTGCTCAACATATGCCTTAAGATTTCATCTCTAACAATCCCCTCCATCAGTTTTCCAGTTACAGATGTTAGACACACAGGCCTGTAGTTACTAGGGCTTTTCTTGCATCCCTTTTTGTAAAGAGGTGTAATGATGCCGGTCTTCCACTCTGTTGGAAGTTTGCCCTCATTCAGGGACTTCTGGAAAATAAGGCTCAGTGGATAAGCCAGTGTATCTGCAAGTTCTTTTAGGACTCTAGGATGAATTCTGTCCGGCCCCATGGCCTTATTATGGTTTAGTTTTTTCAGTCTTTTGCAGATATCTTCTGGGTTTATCTGTATGTCTGTCAGTTCTTCTTCGTAGTCTCTTTGCTCTAATGTGGGGATAAACTGTGTGTTTTCCTTTGTGAAGGTACTTATGAAAAATTTGTTTAGTGCCTCTGCTTTTTCTGCATCTGTTCTGGCAGTTCTGTCGCCGTCTACTAGGTCAGGGATGCTGTCTCTAGTCTTTGATTTTTTATTTACATATTTCCAGAATAATTTGATGTTTCCTTTGATGTTCATAGCCACTTCTTTCTCGTGTTTTTTTACTGCTTTTCTTGACGCCCAGCGCGCCTGGTTTCGCATTCTTGTATATTTTATGTAGTCTTCTTTTTTTCCTGTTTGAATATACATTTTCCATGCTTTCTGTTTCTTCTTCATTTTTGTTGTAGTTTCATTGTCTTTCCATGAAAGCCTTCTTCTTCTGTTTGAGGGTTTGGCTATGGGAATGTTCTTGTTCGTTGTCTCTTTTAGGGCTTTAGTAAATGTATCCCAGCATTCATCAATGTCAAGGTTACTAAAGATTTTCTTCCAGTCTTTTTGTAAGTCCTCTTTCATATTGTCATATAAGCCCTTATGGTATAGCGGGATTTCCTTTCTGATGTGATCTTTCTTTGCGTAGCATTTAAAAGACCACACTAACATAGCATGATCACTCTTTCCAACTGGTGGTCTCATCGTAACCATGTCTATCATGCTCATCTCATTTGTGAAGACAAGGTCTAACACATTATTTTCTTGATTAATTTGGTACCTGGTTGCGAAATCCACATGTTGGTACAAGTATACATCTCTAGTGGCGTCTAAGAATTTCCCAGCATCACAGTTTGGTTGGTTGATGGAACCATCTCCATTTGACCACAGAATTTTAGGATAATTGAAAATCCCCAGCTATAAGTACATGAGAATAGCCTTTGATGTTACGTATTAGTCTGTTGAGTCTATCGTTATTCTCTGCAGATAAGTTTGGACTTCTATAGACTCCAAGAATCAAGAGCTTGTCGTTTTTGTCTAGTGTCATCTCTACTGGTATCACCTCAAGGACATGGTCCAGTGGTAAGCTTCGTTTCTCAGCTTCCATGGAGTTGTAGTTTTCCTTTACATGCACAGCAACTCCCCTCACACCTTCTGTCTCAGCATTTGTATACAAATTATATCCAGGAATATATAAGTCAATTTTTGTCATTTTGTATCTTGGGTTTTTGGATTGGTCTCTGTCGTAATAATAATATCTGGTTGCAGTTCGTCAATAATAGCACAGTATTCATGTTTCTTGTTGGTAATGCAATCAATGTTCGTATAAATAACCTTCAACTGTTTTCCCTTGTAGAGTTCTGGCATGTCTGCACTTGTATTAGAACTTTTACTTTCACAGTTTTGTCTTGTTGTATTGTCTTTTACTTGTCTTCCTTTGTCTCTTTGGTTTCTAGTTTGTTGTCTTTTCTCTGTTTCTTTCTTACTATCTGTAGCTTTGGGTACGTTCCCCGGACAACATGTATCCATTCCCCCTTCACTTCTTGCTGTGTTCTGTTTTTTGCCTCTTGTACTAGTTCTTTTATCTTTTCTCTCTCATCCTTGCTCAAGTCTGCCGTCACACTTATTCTTCTGATTTTGTCTTCAGCGTTTTTCAGCTTTGAGAGTCTGTTTAGTATGATTGATCTGTCTTCTTTGTTTTCTAGAGTGATTTTAAGCGGTCTTCCTCTTTTTTGGTTAGTGTCAGGTTTTCTTCCTAGTCTGTACATTTCTTTAACCTTCACATCGACTTCAAGATGAACTTTTAGGAGGGATTCTACAAACTCCTTATCTTGTTTCTTTCTCGTATCTGACTGATCAGCTTCTTCAACGTTGTATATGATAAGGTTGTGCTTCCTCTTTTCTTGTTCATCCTCTACTTTTTTCTGTCATTATTATTGGTATCGTATGATCATGTCATTCTATTTGTCTATCTTTCTATGTTTTTTTCTGCCCTATTTTGGTCATGAATGATGTTATCTACTCCTATGGAGCCCTATGATGTAATGGAATCGTCCAAGGTCATGTGACTGGTAAAATGGCCGCCGTTTGTTAGTTAGGCGTAATTTTGGCGTGTTTGTCACCTTTTCAGCCGAAATAAAGCCTCCAAAAGGAACAAAAAAAATCGTCCATCGCAATGGCAGGAGCTGCGGAAGACTACAGCGAATATTTGGGCGCGAAAACAGTTCGGATAGTTTCGGCAGAACAGGTGGAAAACTATACGGTAGGTGTGCCCCGATTTCTACTTGTCTTGCCAAGTTCGTTGATGGCCGTTCAAAAATAAATAGTTACGTGTAAATGTAAATATTATTGCAAAGTATGGAATAGGAACAAGTGATCCTAAACCGTTATATAGCACTCCGATCTTGGTTTTTTTTTTACAAGCCCACTTGAAAGAGAAGATAAAGCTTAATTTTATAGCTAGGGTAGATAATTTATTTGGAAGGCTCATTCGAGATATTTGATTTAATGATGGGCGTAGCCTCGAAAAACGGCCACGTCAAAGCCAACTGCAAACTCCCAAACTGCTCTGTGTGAAGATACATAGACTCCTTAGTGGGGTCTATGTTAGGAGTAAACAACTACTAAATTATTGATGTGATAAGATACTGAATTTATTTCAGGTTCATGTTTATATTCTTTTAATAGCTATGCATGTTAGATATTAAACAAGATATTATTCAGACATTGTTTTCCCCCATTTTGAAATTTTAACATATTTTGTATAATTAATGATGACGGAAATGATTTTAACGTTCTGTAACCATTTATTACTCAATCGTGTGAATGTCAGAGCAATTCAGCAACAAGTGACAAATAAACCATTACTAGTATTATGATTATTATTATTATGTCACTTGTGCCAGGTGTACATAATCGAGGTGACGTCAGGTACAAACACCTGGACAGTCAGACATCGCTACAGTGAGTTCAGCGAGCTACATGAAAAGGTATAGTACCATATTTGTAACATATATTTTTTTTTACAGTGATCAAAAATTCACATAATGATAAATGATAAGACTAATTCCAGTTCTCACGTACTTGTTAATTATCTTCTTAATTTGAGCGATTGTCATGACATCACAGTCAGTGAGTAGACAACAAACGGGTGATGATTGGCTGATATGCCTACCAGTAATTTGCATATGTTTTAAACTACAGGTAATCTACATGTTTATGACGTCAACAAATACAGTGATCGCTCGTACATGTATATTCGTGTCTTTTTGAAGTCATCTTGAATGCTCACACTCACAGATTTTGTTTTGCTTGAAAAAGGCCCTTACCTTATAGTTCTGCTACATTTTTTGTCAATGATATACATGTATAGCCCTGTGAAATGACACAAATTAATTTTGTTTTCCTCAGCTTTTGTCAGAGAAGAAAGTGGACAAGAATGCCCTTCCACCCAAGAAACTTCTGGGGAACATGTCCAAGTCCTTTGTGGAGAAGAGACAGAAGGAACTGGAAGTTTATCTACAGTTATTGTTAGAAAAACACCAAGACTGCATCCCCAAAGTTTTAGAACGGTTTTTAGACTTCCATTTGTATGTAAGTCTCACACATTTTCTTTTTATCCACATTGATGAAGCTTTGCCTAGTTAATAATGACATGAAATGACAGAAAATATAGGTCTCGCAAGTAAGCTCACAAGGGTGTCCAGTTGAGCCTAATTACATTACCAATGGACATACCAGTACTAGTAATTAGATTTTGAAGTAGAGACCTCTTTTGTAAATTGCATAGAATCGACAATTAGAATCTATACCCTGTCTGCTTTGATATTTTTGGCATTGAAATTTGGCACTTCAACTCATTAGTCTACAAGAAGTAGATGTTCTATAGGATCTTCATCTTTGAAAATTTAATAAGGAAAGATTTCATTTAGTCAAGCATGGCTCTTTTTGAAAACAACACAAATGACTAATAATCTACACAATATGGTAAGGAACTCTGAGTGAATGCTTAGGTAGTGTGTTTTGCATAAAACATAGCATCAGTAAATTTTCAAATGTAAAAATAGCATCTTTGTACATTGCCTTTCATGGTTGCAAGGCAAACATGCACAGGAAGATAACCAAGATTGGGATATAAGATTATAGACTGTCAGAAAAGATAAAGTTCGAAACTATTTAAGCCAGGAAACTGCTGTAGGAGTTAACGCTGTATCATCGAAAATGGCAGAGCCCTTTTCCTTTGTATAGATGCTTGATTCATGGTACATGAAGATATAATTATATATATATATATAGGTTTGGTATGACAAACTGTACTTGTAAGTATATTGCAGTAGAACCAGCTGTTGACCTCTTTCTACATAGCTGATGTGGAAGAATTTGTGCCTCAGGCAGTTACACTGACTAGTAGGTCAACACAGATGAAAAGACTGGAATATTAGCAATACATGATTGAAGCCAGAGGGATGTAGGATTGAACAACTACTAGTATTTATACCTAGTAAATTAATTATAGTCTAGTTATAAATGTATTTGATAATACCCCACACATGCCTCAAGGATACTTTATAACATTTTTTTTTCATATTTCTAACACTTTATCCTTTCTACAGGAAATTTTTGGTGTGACCCATGCTTTGGCTGAGGAGCTCTTCACTAAAGGTAAGTGACAATACATGTACAGTACATAGATGTACTGTATGTGTACTCAACATAAATAATTTATTCATTTTATCAGCAAAAAAAAAAAAGAAAACTATTTTCACCTTGAAAACTGTGGTCCAATGCAAGGCGGAAGAGTTTCATTACGGTATGGTTAACTTGGTACAGGAAGGTGTCTGATAGACACCAAAACATCAGCAAGGTAAACTATCTTGGTTGTGTAAAAGAAGACTCCTGTATCCTATTGTTAACCAACCCGGTGAGTCTATTTTTGGGGGAGTGATTAACTGCTTCTGCTTGTTTCCTTACACTACAGGTGACATGATCCTGTCTGCAGGTGAAGTGTTCCACATGACGCCCATGCAGCTGCATGCCATCTCCACCAGGCTACAGATGCCCATATCCCCATGTCGTAAGTGTAATATATGATCCCTCATTTTAAACTCTTTCATACCAAAAGGTGGTATTACCGGCTATACAGATACAGTGTAACAAGTCAATCGGTGTAATATAGTCAGCTGCTGCCGCGCCGCATGCCTGCAAAGCTGGTGTGTTACGCCGAAAGGCGGTTATACTGGCTATACAGATACAGAAGCTGGTGGGTTATGCTGAAAGGCGGTTATACCGGCTATACAGATACAGAAGCTGGTGTGTTATGCCGAAAGGCGGTTATACAGGCTATACAGATACTTCAGACCCCTGATACAACAAGAAAACAACAGTTTAAATTTGTTTGGTGTTTTTTTCGCATAACTGGTAAACCGCCTTTAGTCATAAGACACCCATTTCGCACAGAAGGTACAAGCTGCGTAAGACCGAAGTAAGATTTTAACCCCTCACACCGGGATGAACCCCTACACTTTTCAGTAAGTGTGCTGGGATATCAAACACAGAACCTATGTTGTTTTGACGCTTGGTTGTTTTGTAACTTTATGTATTGTTTAATGTGTCGATTTCATTGTTTTCATGTGTAAATTGTTGTCACGCGTCAGGGCCTGAAAATCAGTGTTTTTAAATAGCGCTGGGGTTTCTACCCTGTTAAATAAAACAGAAATAAATAAATACCTATGACTTTACATCCCATCTGAGAGAACATGATGGCATGAATGTGAGTCAACAGATTTTTCCGTACTTCTTACTGTCTTAAGATTTTCTTTAATGTTTTTCCCCACCAGACTCAGAAGACGCTCGCAGTGACCTCAGCCATGTCTTAGACTTTGTCTCCAAGTTGAAATACCTCCAGGTGAGAACATGGGCACATCACACTGTTTTCGAAAGTTAAGTCTTTTATTCAGCTGATGTTTCGGTGACCGTCTGTCACCTTCCTCAGGGCAATTCTGACTGGTTCACATTGCATTGCAGCACAGGTGTCGCTGCTATAGATGCATTCCCAAACGTACAATATTTACATATGATTTATCTACACATATGCGTGATTACAAGGAATTGTATCTACAATGTGGTTCCAACCATACAAGAGTTGGATATGTACATAATTGTGGTCGGTAATTAAACATGCCGTTTTGTTGTTTTTACCCAGGTAACTGGTTCTGATGGCAATCTTGGCAGCAGTAACATCAACGTGAGCAGCCTGTCATTTGATATGGCCATGTTCAAATGTCTACAGCAAGTACAGGTTAGTGGTTTATTATTTATTTGTTTACCGAAGGAAAATGTGTTGTTTTTGCTTTGTTTCTTCTTCCTCTCCAAACCAATGAGGTCAATGACCTGAACCAGTCTATCACCATGGTAACTAGTGTTGGGTTACATCATGTTGCAATTTTATAGTAGGAGGGATTTAGACTCCTGTCTGACCATATATATGAATGTGTTTGAGTAAGAATTAACAGAGCAGACCATATGCGAAGGTAAACATTATGCATTTGCTTGGCAAATGTTACCTTTCTATTCTATACATAATTTTTATTGATGATTGTATTTTTCCCTCAGATTAACCAGTGCAATGCCCGACTGGTGACAGGACTGGACTCCCTTAAGAAGTCTTTAGCGACTCTGGGTGTGCATCAGTCTACAACAACCATCAAGGTGAACATTTAAGCTGTGCACCCAATTTTTTTTTCTTTGGGTGCATGGTAAAGATGTCAAATGTACAGCATATTCTTAACATCTAGTAAGTGTCAGAAAACAATAACATCATTGTCTAAGTACTTTGGAGAAGTAAGAAGAGACTTGAGGAAAGTTGTGTAAAGTGCCTTTCCCAAGGGCACAATGTCTGGGTGCATGTCCAGACATGTCCCGGGTACAACTCAGGATCGAACCTGGGTCTCCCCATTTCAGAGTTGAACGCTCTACCACTATGCCACCGAACGCCACGTTAAGAAAAGAAAACAAGGTTAATCTATGCTGTCATATTTTCAGGATGTGCTGATCCCAGCAGCCTCCTCCATCACCCAGTGGAAGTCAGAAGAGGAGACTCAGGACTATCTACTGTCCACGGTGGTGCCTGTCTGGGGTGTCATCACTACCGCAGACTTCAGCCACAACCAGATCAAACACATCGACGAGTCACTGGTAAGGGATAGGCCACACTGACTTAATTGCATGGATGGCATCCTTTGAAGACCCCCAAACTAGTTCAGTCAGGCGGATAAAAAAAATTCTGGCCAAAAAGAAAAGCTGCTAAGCCACAGGAATACAAAACTGTTATTGTGAATTTGCGGTACTACATGACAACTTTTATGACAACCCGGCGCATGCTGGACTTTTGCAACATTTATGAGTTGGCACTGTACTCTGGAGATCTGTGTAGCCTGGGTGCCATCCTCTGTAGTTACCCCCGGCTCCATATTGTCACTAGCTACTACATGTATGAGAAGCGATCTTATGAATTCATCCAGAACCCTTTCTCTAACTGAACTTTTTTTCTCTGTACAGAAACTGATTCCAAAAGTGGAGTTCCTCAGCCTGAGCCACAATGTCATCTCAACACTGGATCACTTACAGGTCAGTCATATAGATGTATCTGTCACCATTGTAACTGGTGTTGGGTTACATCATGTTGCAATTTTATAGCAGGAAGGATTTAGGGTTCTGTCACCATATATATGAATGTGTTGTGAGTAAGAATTAATAGAGCAGACCATAGGGTAAACACTATGCATTTGCTTTGCAAAATGTTACCTTTCTTGTTCCTAATGTTTCTTGTTACCTTTATAGCACCTGTCGTGTTTAACCCACCTGGACCTGTCCCACAACCACCTAACAACTGTGGAGGCCCTCCACACCAAGATAGGCAACATCAAGACCTTAAACCTGGCAGGGAACAAGCTGGAGACACTGGAGGGCCTGTCTAAGCTGTACTCACTTGTCACACTGGATGTGGGACACAACACTATCTATCAGGTGGGTTAGGGCTATCCAATGTGTCAAATTCTTTTTAAAAGTTCATATATTCTATAAACATAGCATGACATTTACAGAATGCAGAGAGAAGTATCATCTTTAAAAGCTGTGTTGTGTAAAGTAATTAAAATTGAAATACATGTATATAAAATAACTTCTGCTGCTTGTTTATTTAATTCCTGAGCTGTTTTGATTTGCACATTTTTATTTCTATTTTAAAAACTCAACTGTGGTACAGTCATGACAGTTTGATAGTTTTTTGCTCTATCAAAACTGCTGTTTGATGTTTATGCCTCCATGTACACATGGTTTAATACTATTCTTCCTGGAGTACACTACAATACAATGAGATAAAAGGTAAAGAATAAAACTTAATATACAATTGGTAGACAGAAAATAAAGAAAATCAAACCCTGTTTTTTTCAGGTGTCTGACATGAAGCATATCGGCACCCTGCCGTGCATCGAGTCTGTCCTTCTGACAGGCAACCCTGTAACCATGGTTACAGACTACCGCACCAAAGTACTGGCCGCTTTCAACGACAGGTCAAAAGAGGTGAAACGTCTATATCTGATTCCTTTTTTTGGATGCTGTTTTTAGAAATGATAAGACACTTAAGATGATTCTGAATTGGTGTTAGGGTGTGTGGGCCAAATAGAGGGCATTTTCTTGGTTATATCGATGCAGTAATACAGGTACATAAGAAAACAGTTACTCAAGCAACTGCTCTGTGTGTGCATATCTTTCTTTATTCTTTATTTCAGGCACGAGTCGCCCATATAAAACATACAGATAAAAGTACACATAATAAAAATAGTAACAATATGTCTATAAGTACATGTACAGATGGGCCCAGATATTGCAGAAGAATCTGTTATACGGAATATTACATCAGATTTGAGAACAGATTGTTGTTTGGGGAGTTGGGGATATGAAAGAATATTAGATGATGTCAAAAAAATGTCAAACTTTTCTTTGTTCTCTCAGGTGTGCTTGGATGGTGAGCCCACAAGTCAGAAGGAACAGGTATGCAAATTACATGACATCATGTCATATTATCATTTCAACACTCTACAGTGTATGTAAAAATAAAATACTGTGGCAGTGAATCTCACTGGAATATGTAATTCGTCTCTTCTTTATTTTTTCCCAAGGACACAGTTGCAGTTCTACAAGCTATACAGAAGGCAAAACTGGCAAAAGAGAAGGATTCCAAGAGGCACCACAAGGTAGAACATACAACTATTGTCCAAAGTCCTGCAAATAGTTAGACAATAAAATTATATGTACCAAGGAAAAGATATTACATGTAGTCCAAGAATTTTGCTAAATGCTCCATCTTTGCATTCTTTCTATATTTTTTTTTTTACTATCTATCTGTAATTTATTTTTTTTAATTACATATTTCTGTAAATCCTATTTTTCTTTGAAGTCTTTTTTTTGTAAGTTTGTTGCTGTGTTGTGGAAAAGCTGCTGTGGCCAAACTAACCCGTGTAAAACTTTGTGGAGGTGCAGTGCTGGTGTGTGTGCTCTTTTTGCAGATGGAGAACTAGTGCTGTGTACCTAAACCCACATTTAGGTTCAGGTCCAGATTCAAGTCCAGAGGGTTAGGTTCAGTTCCGGACTCTTAAGTCTTGACCTAAACCCAAGGCATATACAAAATTGCATGTTGGCAACCAGTTGCAATGTTGTATGGGTGAAACTGTGGCCACATAACATGGAGGCCGACACTTGACGATGCCCCATGGCTGGTGTGTTACGCCGAAAGGCAGTTATACCAGCTATACAGATACAGATACAGATGGCGATTTTGCAGCACAGATTTTGCAATCTATGGATGGTTTTAGGTGGTTTGGAAAGAAAAGGGGCATGTAACGTGCCCAGAATCGGTTGTTGACTTTTTAAAGTTTTTTTTTGGACTTGAACCTAAACATTTTTACAAATCCGGAACCAGTCCAGACTACTGGTACACAGCACTGGATGGAGACCTCCGAAACTTCTTCCTCTGCCCCTCTCTCTCGTTCTCTCTCTCCACAGAAGCTGCATGCTGCGTCCATAGCGGACGCTGATTCCGCCGACACGAGCTCCACTGCCTCCTCCGTCAGCCAAGGTACTAAATGTATGTGGACTCTCCTGTTGCCTTTCCTGTGTCTGTGCTGTACTGTACTAGTGTCGGCTGTACGTGCTTTGCTGCAGTGCAGCTGTTGTCAGCTGCATTTTGCTGCAGTGCTGTTGCAGGGTTTGCATGCAGAGTGACGCAATCCAGGAACAAGCTGCCATGCAGATTTGCTTAAAGAATTACTTTTGCGGTGGATTTATTTTGCAGTAGGAGGGAAAGATTGTTCTTGAAGTGTTTTAAGTTCACAGTGGAAACAATTCAGAATTGTGGACAAAACTGATTGTCAGATCATCAGTCCCAACAGTCAAATAACTAAGACTAAGGCACATAGATGACTAGTACTGAAGTATCATGAATTGTCACTGTGTCATGAAGTTTTCAGGGGAGAACCCAGGGCAAACAGAATGAAAATAAAACCACCGCAAACATATCAAGATTTACATTTATCTTTCTTTCTTTCAAACTTTAGCTGTCTGTGTTTTACAACTTTCCATGTGGCTAACTGATGCTTCTTTTACCCAGCTTATAACTAACATCTTCAGATACAGCTGGTACAGGATACAGGAGTTTTCTTTTACACAACCAATTTTCTTGAGTGCTGAACGTTTCAGTGTCTATCAGACACCTACCTCAGAGCTTCTGACTGGGGTTCTGCTTCTCGCCGCTATATGGAGCCAAGAAAATTGGTGTAAAAGAAAGCTCCTGTATCCTATACCTTACCAACCCGATGAAACTATGTTTGAAGTTTCATGCAGATGTCTCCATTAAAGAACTTTCTTTCAAACTTTCAAACTGTCTGTGTTTTAAAACTTTCAATGTGGCGTATAACTGATACTTCTTTTACCCAGCTTAATTTATTAACTAACTTCTACAGACACAGCTGACATATTTGAGAGCAAAATGCTCAGCAACTGAATTCTAAAGAGCTGCCTTCAACCGAACGTCTCTTTGTGTACAGACCCTGTCTCACTCTAATAATGCTAACTTTTGCTCCCTGCACTATTGCTTGTATGTTTGCCATGTGCTGTCCATTCCACTCGGTCATATTCCGATATATGCTGTAGTTCTTAATCTATAGTTTTAAAATGTGTAACAGTAATGTGTAATTACAGTCACTGTGTTTAAAGCCTGTGTAACCGTATATTGCTGCTACATACATACATACATATATATCAAAAGCTTAAACAAGAACTACAACAAAGATATTATTATTTTTCTGACATTTGTAGGAAGAATATCCGGTATACTATCAACAAAATATTTGGGTGCACAAGTGCACCCACAGAAAAAAATTGCGTGCACAGCACCAATTTGGGTGGACTAAGGTGCACATGCACCCAGTATTTCGAGCCCTGCAACAGGTTACCTTGGCATACAATGTAGAGAAGGTTAAGAAGTAGTGTGTAAACTGCTGAGTTCCCCTCTGCAGGAGTAGATGTGTTGTCCACCAGTGAAGAGTACTTACGGTTTGAAGTTGAGGCACTCCGACAACAGGGGGGAGAGAATTGGTTGACAGCATTCAACGTCAGGCAGGAGGATCCACAGGTGAGATGTTCTGTCTGTGTGTGTTTGTGTGTGTGTGTGTGTTTGTGTGTGCGTGTCTGTGTTTACCTGTGTGTTGATGGTATTCAGCACCAAGGACGTGTGTTTACCCATGTGTGTGTGTGTTCATGTTGGCGTTTACTTGTTTACAGGTGAGATGTGCTAAATGAAGATGTGTATGTTTCTATATGTATATGTATCTGTACATGAATCTGTATCTGATTGCAAATAAAGATTGAGTAATTGCCATAGATAGATAGATGTGCTCACTTGTGCATAGATGGTGTTCAGCACCAAGAACAGGTGTGTTTTTATGTGGATGGTGTTCATCTGTGTTGGTGCAAGTCATTATAAAATAAAGATTCGGCTTATTCTGCCAACACTATAATAAATTGGGACTTACACCAAATTTTTGGCTGACTCCATCAACCTTGTACATTGAATGGACCTGTCTACTCTTGGAACTTGACGTCAGTGACATGCGGTCATAGTAGACGGCCATACATGCCAGATAACTTGTGTCGCCCCCCCATTCAGCACTAAGGACAGGTTTGTCTGTGTTGAGGGTCTTCAATACCAAGGACAGGTATACTTGACTGTGTGTGTGTGTGTGTGTGTGTGTGTGTGTGTGTGTGTGTGGTGTTCAGCACCAAGGACAGGCATGTGTGTCTGTGTGTGGATGGTGTTCAGCACCAAGGACAGGTGTGTTTGCCTGTGTGGATCATGTCCACACCAAGGACAGGTGTGCGTGTGTGTGGATGGTGTTCAGCACCAAGGACAGGCATGTGTATCTGTGTGTGGATGGTGTTCAGAACCAAGGACAGGCATGTGTGTGTGTGTTGAGGGTCTTCAGCACCAAGGACAGGTATACTTGACTGTGTGTGTGGATGGTGTTCAGCACCAAGGACAGGTGTGTGTGTGTGTGTGAGAGAGGATGGTGTTCAGCACCAAGTGTCATTCCAATGCTCTTCATCAGTGATATATTTACAAATCTTCACAAAGGTTCACCCTTTTCTTCATGCAAGTGCCCAGCTAAAGCACAGCCATGTCTCACTGCCTGTCTCCTGTTCCCTGCAGCCATTGCTTCTCAGTCCGTCTCCTCGCCAGTCCCCAGCGTCATCTCCATCCACCAAGCGCCGCTCACATTCAGGTCGTAGGTCACCAGCAAGGGCGCACCAATCTCAGGGCAGCAAATCAGCAGTTCCACCCACACAGCCACAGGACGTCCAGACGTCTGCCAACATCTCACCTCTCGCACGGTGCTGATCTTTTGCATTCATTCATTCACTGATTGCAAAGGCAGTTCAATTTTTATGTTTACCTTCGCAGAAGGAAACACATATTGTTTTACTTTCGCAGAAGGAAAACATATTGTTTTTGCTCTTCTTCTTCTTGCCTTGATGTAAGATACAGGAGTTTTCTTTTACATAACCAAGATTTCTCACCTAAGTGTTAATGTTTTGGTGTCTATCAGACACAAATCTTGGTTGTGCAAAAGAAAACTCCTGTATCCTATACTTTACCAATCGGATGAAACTATTTTCCATTGCCTTGATGTAGCTTTGTAAAGTGATTTGTTTCTGTCCTTCTTGCCTTGTGCAGGCCGACCTCTCTTCCACTACTGCAAAAGCCAGACCAGCCGGTAATCACTGTGGACAAACCAAAGGAAACTCCTAATTCAGCAACCCTAGGGAACGCTAAGTTTGCTGACTATCTGAGACAGGTCATCCACCAAAAACCAGGAGAAGCTGAAAATCCACCAGATGAAAGTGAAAATTTTATGCACATTCTCTTCGCAGGTTGCCTCTCCAAAGAGAGCCCTTATTCAGAGTTTCCAGCATGCTTTGTGGCAACCAGCAAAGCTGTGCACGTCGTGAAGGCTTTGGAGTTCCCATCAGCCATTGCAGGTGTACCCATGATGCAACACTTCTGCAGTGTGCCTTTGGCAACGTTGCAGCAAATGGTGGTTGGTCTGTTCGACCAGACTGTAACAATAGAAAGTACAGACACAAGAGTCACTGTGATCACTGGTAGCTCAAACAAAACACAGGCTCTCGTAAAGGTGATATCAGAAAGCTTTCAGGAGGAACGTAGCGAAAAAGCCAAGGTAGCACGGCAAGATGAGGAAAGTTTGGGCCGACTGACGAAGCTCTTAAGCATCACAGAGAACAGAGAGGGGAAGTCACCAGTGGAAATAAACAACTTTGCGGTCACCCAAGGAGCCAATCAGGAGCCTTGTATCGTCATCCTCACCAACAAGTATCTGTACATCTGCAGAGAGGACCACTCCTATTGGCCAGTGATCAGACACACACTGTCCGAGTCTTACAAGTTGAGCAGCATACTGGGTTGGAAGAGAGGGGAAAGTGGGTCGGGCCAGCTTTTTCAGACCTGTACCACAAAGATACAAGTAGAAAGTACACAAGGACTGGACCTGAATTTCAGAACGAAGGAACAACAAGCTAGTTTCATGGCATCCTTGTCACAGCTAGTCGGCGACAGAGAACATAAAGCGACGATCGACAGACCGTGGGATGAAGCGGAAGGAAGGATAACATCTCCCGTAAAGGAAATACGAACACCCAGCAAAAGCCGCAAACCTGTGAGCATCGAGGTCCTCTACTCAAGTCCTGATGTGTTAGACAGACTATCTGCCAGCAACGACTGTAGAACTCTGAGTGTGAGTGAACCACTGCTGCAGCTGGTAAGTCTGAAGGGTATGGCGTTGGTGAGGTACTTCCACGACAGGGTGGCCCAGATCAGCACGGAGACTGAGGAGCTGAAGCACGTGATGTGGAGCGTGGTGGTCCCACACGTGGACCCCAAACAGGAAATCACGTCCTGCATCATGCTGAGCACGAAAGCCGTGTACTTCCTATCGGATGAATCCATCTCGAAGAAGAAGGTGAGTCTCGGCGTGCCTTCGCACCTCCGCACGCATAAGCGAGCTACGTCAGACTACTCCGGAGTGAGGAAACTCTCAACCGCCCACGAAACTTCTCCCCATTCCAGTGGCATAGTAGAGCCGGGGACACCTAATTCCTCAAGAAAAGTGGTGAGGTGCATCCACACGCAGTACCTGGCCGACCTGAAGCAGGTGACCGTGGGGATGTTCGACCAGAGTTTCCGCCTGACGGGCGACTCGAGCGCGAACACGTTCGCCTGCATCACGCGCGACTTCGACGCAACCCACATCTTCATCGAGCAGCTGATGGGCGTGCTGAGTCTGGGCGTTGCCACGACAACGCCGACCCCTGACCTCACCTCCAGCGGATCCGACACCGATATCTACAGGGATTATCTAAAAGCTAGGAACAGTGTGGATGAGTATGCGCACCCCAGCGGGGTCAAGTTCGTCTACCCTAACGAAGAACTCGTATCAGATCTCACCTACCTCCTGGTTGAGAAGATGCCGGTGCCGAAACCGGACTACACCAAAGTGACCATCCTGATGTACATGCTAGCCTACCAGATGCAGCGATCCGACGACGTGTTCACGTTGGGAAAGTTGGAGCCGCGTTCCCTCGTCATCACGGACACGCACGTGGCTCTCTGTATCGAGGACCATGTCAGCTACCCCCTCCCTGACTTCGTCATCAGCCCCCCGGAAAATCCCCACCATGAGGTTCTGGACGTGCAGACCATTGAGAACCTGAAAAGGGTGGCGGTAAGCGATGAGTCCCCGCAGGACCTTACACTGGTGTTCCACAACGAGGGCGATTTCGTGGTGGACGTGGCAAAAGAGTACTTCAGGGCAGACGACAGGAGTCCAGGGACACCGGGAGATGAGAATGAGATGTGCTGGATACTGATCATGCAGAGCGGAAAGGATCGGGAACGGGTGGTCTCCATGCTGATGAAGCAATGGGGGGACATCCACGGCAAGGGCCTTCCACTGGTCAAGACTTAGGAAGCTTAACACAGAGTAAAGAGACTCTTTTTACACAACCAAGACTTTTGTTCAGCTGACGTTTCGGTGACAGTCTGTCACCTTCCTCAGGGCTATTCTGACTGGTTCACATTGCACTGCAGCACAGGTGTCGTTGCTATAGATGTATTCCCAAGCACCCTGAGGAAGGTGATAGATGGTCACCGAAATGTCAGCTGAATAAAAGACTTGGTTGTGTAAAAAGAGTCTCTTTACACAACTGCCAGTATACACACTGTATCTAAACAGGGATTGATGCTGTTAAACTAAATTCGTACTATGATGGAACTTGCTGAATGGGGTGGGTTTGCCATGGGTTATACTTGTTTTGGAAGGAAGACCAGAAAAAAAATCATGACTTGTAGAGAACTATTTCAACTTGAAATCGCTGTGGATTTGATAGAAATTAGAAACTATAACAGGATACTTGAGAGATATGATGAAATCTTATGATTGTGAACTGTTAAATGTATGTCAACCAATTCTCAGCCCAATGTTGTCAATGGAGAAATTGAACAGCAAAATGTTCTGTGCATTTTGTAGCATTTGTACATAATTTTAATTCCTGAGTGTCCAACAAAAACTGCCTTATGCATGCTAGGATCGACAGTTATAAGGAAAACCACAAAGTATTTTTGGTGGAAAGATTTAATACACAGTTGTACAGAAAACCAATCGGACAGTAACACATAAATTTACAATATTCGGTGTATTTCTAGGATACTTTTACTGTGAATACAAAATGTACATACAGTTTGTGCAGGTATTTTAACTTATTTTACCTTAAGTTTTGTGAATACCATTAGGCAAAATATTCTTTGTGCCAGTATATAAAATGTAGAGACAAACATGACTTTCTAAATGTGCCTCAGTGAAAAAAAAGGCTCTGCTCTTAAGCATGGCCAAAAATATGGCAGTATCATATCAATTTAATGAACATTTCTATGGTCAAAGTGCAATATGCCTTTGCAGTATAATCTACTTTTTGATCACCGCATATGTATTGGGATTACAATCATTACTGCATAGTTTAAAGTTGTTGCATAGTTATAATAAATATGTCAAAAATACATTGAATATACATGTATATTGTCCTGTTTTGTTTTCATCAAAATTCACATGGTTGTTTTTCATATATCTCTATATAAAAATTAGTTGCCTCTCGCGTATTTCTTTACATACTGAAACTGTGCAAACAAAGAATACAAAGGGGGGTTTTATACAGTTTTATCCTAGGGTAACCAAAAATGTGCATTGAGTAAAAACATGTAAATAGGAACATTGTTGTCCTTTGCCCAACAAAACACACATGGTTACAAGATTAGTCTAACAGACTCTGTAGAAAACATTGTCTCATGTATGGCAATCCTTCAGTCGTTGGGTGATCCGACTCACGGTTGGGCCGGAAGTACGGAATGCCCTGTTTTGTATTCTATAATATTTATGTACAGATACAGATTTTCCGAGTATGATGACCATGTCAGTCCCTACATTTGATGAGTGAGGAGGGTTGACCCGGTGGCCTTCGCATGGATTTGTCCCATATAAAGGCTGCACGATGCACACAATGTTATGAGATTTTCCTGACTACAGAAAGACCCTAAAACATTTCTGTCCTTGTCAGGAACTTGTCCGGGTCCTTCAGAAAGTCCTCTGCAAACTTCACGATTTCGCCGCTGGTGAAGCTCCTGTGCTGCCGCTGCCATCTCTTCTCCTGTAGGTCCGGGTAAAAAGCTGCATGTCCGTGGTCGTTCCACCTTACGATGCACAGTCTCGGGTATGTGTACAGGGTGGGGGGGTTCAGGTGAAGAGAACCAGTGTCTGTGGACTCTAGCAACTCCCGTCTGTACCCCAACGGCACAAACTGGCCTGCCCACATTGGGTAAACGTCTACATCAAGCGTGGCAAAGCTCATTGACCTATACATGCTCAAGGCTGCTGAGTACAAGTTCTTGTAGAACTGTGACTCCTGGGTGAAGTTACTGGCGTGGCCTAGCGCGATGAGTATGGGGACGTCTGTGTTGAAGAGTAGGTGTCTCCGCTGTGTATGAAAGAGCTGCTGCGTGATGTGCATGACGGGCAGCCTGGAGTGGTCCTGTATGAACCTCAGGAGGGTGTCGGTACAGATGGCTTCGTTGTCTTCGCACAGGGTGTCTGGCTGGAGGTTGTACTTGTGTGGAGAGTGGAATTGATGAAGCTGGCTCTCTGATGAGTCGCTCTCCATAACTGACGCCAGAGGCTGACCTGCCGCGAAGATTGGTGCCCTCAAGCCATCACTGCGGTAGAGGGATATACGCAGCATTGCCGCCTCGACATTTACAGCTTTCTTCGACAGGACGTAACAAGCTACCTGGCCGTAGAGCTGTTCACACAAGTACTCGAAGCATCTGAAAGAGTAACCCCTGTCTACAACAGTGTTAGCTGGCTCTGCAAAGAGGGCAACGTCCTGAAAATCAGTTCCGTCCGTCGTTGAGACATAGTGCATTGCTGATTCAGTCACTTTTGACAGCCATTCTAGGACCTTTTCAGCTCCTAACACGTCGTGGTAATCAAGCCTGATACTGTCGTATGTGGTGTCTTGGGTGCAATGTTCGACTCTCCTGTTTTGGACAACTCTGTATGCTACAAGTGTGGGGAACCCCCTTATTCTCTGCTGTTCACATCTTGCAGGATCTGCGGAACAGTTGAAGACGTAAAAGGAAACCCCCATCATTCTTTTTACCGCCTTGTGAACAAGTTCAAGTTCAGGCATCTTTTTCGTACAGGTGCCACAGTTGGCTTTGATGAATGTCACCGCAACAACTTGCACGAGACTGGCGCTTCCTGTCAGGCCGTAAGGGGAAGGGGCAGTGTGGGTGGTGCTGATGACTTGGTCCCAGTCTGAGCCAGTCAGAACCGGTATCTGTCCTGCTTTCTTTACTGCCTTGACCTGGTAACAACAAGATGCACAAAATAAGATCACAGTCAAAGCATTTGTGGATGGATGGATGAATAGATGGATGAGAACATGGATGGATCGAGAAGCACAAGGAATATCTGCTGATGTTCTATCCTCTTTAGGCTGTACCTTCCTTGCTTATACTTGGACATTTCACAACATACATATTCTAAAATTAGACTACTTACAAAGTTGTTGCTGTAGCAGCTTACATACCTTTTTCCTTCCCTTGTGAACAGGCACTTGTGTCTTCTTGTTCTTGGCTATCTGTAAGTCTCTGAGTGCTTCAATAGAAGCTGTTTCATTTTGCCACTTGACGCACATACTGTTCAAGATTCCAGGACTGAAGGGAGCTCCCATTTCACACATAGGGGTGTCCAAATGTGGAACAATCTGCACCCCTTTGTGGTCCTCTAACGGGACACCAACATCCTCCAAAAACGTCAACACGTCAACCGGTTCTGGCGAGTTGCGTGGAAACAACCTTTGTCTTGTCACAGTCTTTACATTCTGGTTTGTGGTTTTCTCAGTACTAAACAAGACTGTGAACGGAATTTGACGGACCAGAGTTGAGTCGACCCATCCCTTTGCCAAGATGTCTCTTTGTTCGGAAAGATCCACAAGTCCAAACCTGAAGGCAGCTCCCAGTGTTCTGATCCAACCTGCTGTGTGCAGGAAGGATCTGATGTAACTCAGGCTTCTCCTTTCCCTGTGGGAGTAGAAACACACCAGGACTGATCCGGCGTACCTTCGCTCAAGAACTACAGGGGAGAAGTTTTCTGAGGTCAGCTTCAAGGCAGCCTTCTGTAGTGTGACTTCTATGTGAAGCTCGATGGTGGACAGAGTTAGATCATGTCCAGTCAGATGTTTGAATGGCCGATGTGGATCCGCCTTACTCACAAGTAGGACTGCAGGAAATGTGTTCACAGCAAACTGCTGAGTGATCTTTTTTCTATCAGGCGATTCCCAACGGACCAGGAGTGCCTTGACTTGTTCTGGAAAAAGCTTCTTAAGACGATTGAAGATCTTGTGCAGCTGAGCAGACTGGTCTTCATTTCTCGCGAATCCAAGCACGGTCACATCATTAGTGTGCAGCTCTCTGTCCACAGATATCGCATGGATGTCAGTCATCGAATTCTCTGCTTTATTCTTCTGTAGGTGGAGCCAGTCTATCAACCTTGTCGCAGTGTGATCGCCATAGAAACAGTCGGGAACTCCCCTCGGTAGCAGCACAGGGACGGTCGTGCACGTGGAATGCTGATGATACTTTTTACCTGTTTTATACAGATAAATAGCAAAGATAAGATTAGCGGTAATGGCATAAAGACTAATGCCAGCAGTTTTTAAAGACATCCAATTTCAGGGCAGCAAAAATGGAAATATTCTGAATAAAGCAATCTTTGTGATATTGACACATACTGCTTCACATTAGCACATTTAAATTAGCATTTCATACTTTGGGCATTTAAAACTGCAGAAGTAAGTCACAACATGAGTTCTTTATTTCTGGGTGGTACCCTAAAAATCAGCCCAGGGCACTTCCACTATCTATTTTTTGTCAGAATTTTGGGAATTATTGTTCCACGAGGGTCAATATACATTGAGATAGTGTGGTTTCAATTACTGAAAAATTGGGTTTCCAAGCCCTAAAAACTGACATAAGTAAAAAAAGTACAATGAAGTCAATTCAGCCTATGGCTGTGATGCACTTTTGACTCATCAAAATGATCAAATAAAACATTAATTAATTCATTCATTACCTCCATCAGCGTGGGATCGTATATCTTTCCAACAGAGAATACGGAGGAAAACTCTTCCTGCACTTCTGACGTTGCCCATACTTGGAGGAGAAGCTTTTCGATGACTGACGCACCCCTTCTCTGTGCTGAGAATAAGACACAAGCCGGCTGAGAGAAGGCATTGGATATCAGTGAGTCGTAGTCTGCTGCTGTCAGCTCCTTTATGTCCCACAGCCTTGGGGAAGGGGCTGATGCTTGGATTGCATCTGTAGATACACCTGAAAGAAAGAAGAAATTTAATGTTTTGATACTTTGCTGAAGGCTTTAACATTACATCATAATGAGTAACGTTAATGTCTCAGTGGAGCTGCTTATTTATTTATTTATTTATTTGCATCAGGCCCATGGCCCATATCAACAAACACAGTACAATTATTCCAATTCTGTATGTTATTGTTAAGAGTAGAGTAGAACATTATAGAATAGGTGCATTTTGGTATTATGTACTTTATTGCGGCCTTACTGTGAAATTCCTGTATATATGATGCACCATACAAGATTAAGTAGTTAATAGGTAACCCGTAGTAGGCATTTTATTATGCCATAAAATCCCTTTCAGCCATATGATGTTATAAGCAAAAAGCAACATTTTAAAGACTTATGTCGTATTCTTTGAGGTATATCATGCCACATAGGTTTCCAAAGTAGGTTTATAGCGTTTTTTAGAACTTCTTTATATATCCTCACCTTCTTCGACACCTGAAAACGCAGTTGTTCTTGTAGGTGAATCTGTGGCACCTGTAACAGTAACAGGTGGTCGTTTTGCTTCCGGGTTTGACGTTTCAAATGAGACCGAACCATCCTCTAACGTTATCTCCAGAATGTCAGCTTTAGGGCTCTCTACAGTCACGGAGTAGGGTGCTGTATCTTGAAGAACCGAGGAGCTCTGTGCCGCAAGTAAACATAGGAGAAATCGCGAGGAAGCAACACAACGTAGCAACCATGGCGTCACTTTGGAAGCCATTTTGGACCACACTAATTCAACGTTGATAGGGGGTGAACTGAAAATATCTGTACAGAGAAAATGGAAGAATCCCATGTTTTCATAGAGGATTTAACGTTATACTAGATAGTAATATTAGCGGTTGCTAATATAGACAGGTTTGCGTTGTACATAGTCATTGTAGTGTAACTTACAATATGTTTTTTGTGTGTGCTTTACCTTTTACAGGGTTCCTTCTGGTTCCGGGTCGGAGTTTAATTCTGACCAGAGTCTAAGTAAGTGCGCAGTAAATCGCCGGAAACGTGACTTTGTATGGTATGTTTTGGCCGCGATATCCCTGAAATCGTAATATCTGTGTACATATCTTTGTANCAGTCCAAGTACGGAGCGGGCCAGTCCAAGTACGGAGCGGGCCAGTCCAAGTACGGAGCGGGCCAGTCCAAGTACGGAGCGGGCCAGTCCAAGTACGGAGCGGGCCAGTCCAAGTACGGAGCGGGCCTGCCCAAGTACTTGGGTACTCCGGATCCCCTGCACTGGCATGTTTTCTTTTTATCTGGTCAATTTCTACTCTTTCCTGGGGGGCCCGCAAGCCCTTTTCTGTAGAGCATATTCGCCGTTTTAATTCTACGTAATGCGTTATAGCCACTTGGAATTTATCGTAAAGCGTATTAAAAAATCGAGAAGTTTCCGAATTCAGCATAGATCGTTGTCGGGACCCCCCTTGCAGGCCCCCTTTCCTGAGCTGTCTCCTGAAGTCTGGTAGAGGTTATACAGCTAGAACTTAATATGTAGACTCAGACGTGCCCCTCTGGGCAAAACCTACCATTGAAGTTGACGGCTGCAAATTAGAGGTAGGAGATCGGGTCGCGCAGTTGGCTGACCTGTAGGCAAGGCTAGCTTCCGTTGAGTTGACACACCGAGCCTCGGGTCATCCCACAAGTGTATAGTATGTCGTGGAAAAATGTTCACCCACACAGAAGTCCTCACACAGAAGGAAAAGGTGTCATTTAATGGATATGACCAGAGCTATGGGATATGACAATTAGATTAGATCAGGATAGGTTGAAAGTGAGCTATAATTAACGTTTTGATCAGATACTTCAATTATGTTCCTTGGTTGGGTGGAGGACAGGGGATTTCAGACAGATGGAGAGTCGCAAGCGACGGCATTGTTAAGTTCAAGCAGCCTGAAAGGCAGGTCGTAAAAACGTTTACAAACGCCTATACAGTCACTGTATAATGGACTGGTAAGCTTGAAAAAAACTTACAATTTCCATAATGAACTTGAAATCAGGAAGTGTACTCATACCAAAACTTCATGCCACTTATCCCACCTACTAACCCCTGTACTTGAGGACAATCTGTCGTCCCTAGGCTCGGCCTCGACAAGATCCTCAAGACCACCCTACTAATACCAAAGCCTCACCATCTCATCATAAAAAAAACAACGTTAAAGTTCCGCCGCATTAGGTCCGCCAAGTTTCCTTCCCGTCATGCTAAGAAAATTACGTCAAGTGCTAAACACAATCAGACTCGCCTTTATCACGTCAAAGCCATCGCCTCTATACACTTCTGCCAAAATGAACACACAACCAGGTAGGCTTTCAATTACTGCTCTTTCCAAACATACCGCTAGGTGTCGTCCTTACACTGTAGGCCTGTGACAGGTCCCACAATGCACCTCACTCAACTTTGACCTGCCCCATTGCATGACGGGAAACAAAATGGCGGCGCCCATAAAATCCAGGTAAAATAGAACAGGTTTTGCTATCGCAAACCTGTAATTAGTCTATTTATTATAAATTTCAGGGTTTTCTATATTTTATTCAAATTTCTATATTTTGCCGTACACATTCATTTCTTACGCCCCTATTCAATATTGGACTAGTCCACTGTCATGGCGGCGCCCATGTGAAAGTTTCACGTTGTGTTGAGCTCCCAGCAATATTGGGGATATCGGTGGTACTTCCAGAGGATAAGGAACATGGATTCCGCGATGAGGAGGAAAAGGAAAAGAGGGCCGAGGAAATCTAAAGCAGAAGAACGCGCGAAGGCTTTGCGGTATTATAAAGACGTTTTCATTTCATCGACTGTGCACATGGGGGGAGGGGGTTTAAGAATTTATAAATCTTTAAAACAAGATGTAGGTCTAAACGGAGTGATTTAATAACTTTAGGTCTCTGGACTGTGCTATATAATATCTTTCGTTTGTAGCTGAGGCTGCCACCTTACAAAAGTGACAAGCTTATGTGTGTTCCGAACTTCGAATAATTTTTCATCATTCATAACGTTATACACTAATACAGTACTGTAGCTGTAGTAAGAAATTATGAAATTCACTCATTATACGTAAGAATGAATGGATGTTCAGGTATAGTCGTTCGAAGTAACACACGCGGCAGCTTGTAATGTAATAATTTGCTTAACTCTTTCTCCATATGTCAATATCAACAGGTCAATATCAGATTCCAAAGGTTCCAACGGCCAGACGACTGTGTCACGTACAGCCGTGGCAGCCGCCACCGACCTCGTACCAAACCAGAACCTGGTGAAAAATGTCAAGACAAGACTGGAAAAGAAACGCGAGAGGTTAAAAGAAATGAAACTACGAAAGGCAAAGGCTAAGACTGTGGCACCATGGAGTCATTTGGTGGCACCTAGCAGTCAGAGTGGACAACATGGAGAAACCGTTACCACTAATAGTTCTACTTTGTCTGATCCTGATTCATTGTCAACAGTGTCATCAATCTCTGTTCCTCCTACTTGTAGGTAAGTACATTATGAGACTTGATTGTTGCTCATAATTTATTGGGGGTGCTCTTTCAACTAGTGTTTTGGCATGCAAGAAAATACAGGTTCTGTAGTATGAATGATAGTATTGTAATGTGGTAAATGGAAATGATGCTCTAAAGTTATCACCTAGTCTCCAATGATTTCATGTGTACTGTTTTTTACACCTATAGTTTTTGAAAATGTAATCTTAACACAGTGAAGGAATACATAATTTTCCCTCAAAGGGATTTCTTTATATTGTATATTAGTTTATTACTATTATTATTAGTACATGTTACTATGTGCTGTTTTGCTAAATGTTGTTATTGCTTTTCTAGGGTAATTGAGCAGAAACAGGGAGAAGAGTATGTCTTAGTGATAGAACATTGCCAGGTCAGTAAAGATCTTGTATTGGTTTATTTACACAAAAAATGTTAATTCAACCATTTTCTCTAGATAGTGAAGACATACATGTATGCTTCAAGCAGAATCTGATATCTTAAATTAATTAAAGACTGCTTTGTTATTAGAAAAAATATGTGAAAAAAAACATGAGATTAGCCCACTCAATTGTAACACTATATCAAAGACAGACTTGTGCTATCCCTTGTTGTTTGAGTTATAAGGATTTATTAGGTCTTATTCTATACTTTTTTGTACTTTGTTAATTTGTTTTGCCATACATGTATATTCTACCATGTGCAGTGACGGTGCAATAAAGTTCTTCCTGTTATCTTATACTATAGGAAGTTTGTTTCCACGGAAAGGCTCTGGTCAGCTGTCTCCATGGTTCTGTGTTCATCTACGGCTGCACCCTGCACCAGGGACAGGAACCCTTACCCGTGTACGCACCGAGGACGCACTCAGCTCTGTACATCACCCCTCTACCACACCAGGGGCGAGTAGTAGTGTCAGAGCACGTGAAACAACTTTTAGGGGAGGACGTGAAGGAAGACACTGTTGTTGTGCTGGTTCAGAAGCTGAAGTGCCCAATGGTGGATTATGTGACAAGTGTGAAGGAGTATGCTAATGTCTTCTACTGGGTAAGTGTTCAGTTGTGATGTACATAGTGAGGGCTTAGTTCTAAACGGGAACTATGCGGCTCCAGATGTCTTACTGAGGGACGACTGCGTGTGCAAGATGTCGGTAGCTTGAGGAATGAATCCCCTCTACTATATACTGGCTCAAAAAGCTTAGGTTACAAGGATAGATAAAACAATATATCTGAAAAAGTTTAATATACTGATTATAGTACAAAAGTATTTTGATTCTGGTCTGATTGTGCATACGTTTGTAGTTTTTTGACAATACAAAAAGTATATTTTTCATTCTTTTCTTTACATAGTACATTGACTTAACCCTTTAGTATTCCAAAATCATACTCCTCAACAAAAAATACAACATCCTTGCTCCTTAGAAGCTTAGAAAACTGTGAATGATCTTCTATACAACCTCTGGCCAAACCGCACATATGGTACATTGTCCACTGCTAGTGGTTTGACCTACATCCCAGTGGGGTGTCAGTTGATAGCTTACCAGTTTCTGAAATACCTAACCGTTTACTAGATTTTTATCTCTTTTGAAGGGATAATGACCACAGTTTATTCATGCCCAACAAAATACTCCAAGTTGATAATTATATTCCACCAGACCTCATGTGAAAGATATGAGTGTTTTTCTAAGGAGGCTATATCTTGTCACATGTGCCCCTGTCAATCAAGCCTGGCAAGCCGGGTCAATTAGCCACCCTAGGGGGCAACCCCTGTATGTTGTTACCTCCATGAAAAATGGAGGTATTGTTTTTGGCGGCGTCTGTCTGTGTGTCTGTGTGTGTGTGTGTCTGTGTGTCTGTGTGTGTTTCCGCAACTTTGTAGTCAGCATAACTTCATAACGCCTTTATGGATTGTGATGATATTTGGTATGCTGATAAGTCTTAGGAAGACAAAGGTCAAGGTCAAATATGGGCCTCCTGGTGGATGACCTTGGTACTGCAGCAGAACTTCCGGTTTTTGTATCTTTTGTCCTGAACATGCTATGGTCTTCAATTTTTGGTGACAGATAGCTTTTCCTGTTAGGAATAAGTGGTGTGGGTTTGGTCCCCCTAGCAGCTTGTTCAGGAACTGCAGGGGACTTTCGGGCGAAATCTTTGAAAGCCAATAAGTCCAGATAGGAACAGCGTATTTTCATCATTTTTGGTGTGTAGGTATCTGACAGAGAGATGTACACAATTAACTGCAAATTATGCAAATGAGGACTTTATTTGCATAATTAATGAGGAAATTCTATAATTACAATGTTTTACATTATAGAACTTTCATACATTTAATGTATGTAACCTATGGCAGATGGAACATCAACAGATACTAATTATGCAAATGATGACCTAATTTGCATAATTAATGCAAAAAATATATGATTTCTCAATGGTGAATGATGGGAATGTCTTACTTGGGACATCTTTAAGTTAATCAAAAGTTAACATCACGATGCATATATCATGTTAATGCAGAGGTCATTTGCATAATTAAAGAAGAAATTTACATTTACATATCAAGCCCATATTTCATGGAGGTATGAGATCTCGGAACTCTTGTTGTTGTTGTTCTGAGCAAACCGGTGGCACCGGGTACCCAAGAAGGACTGTTTGAACGGACAAAATATACGTAAGAAATGTGAAATAATGACACAAATGTGTTGAAAAGTGATAGTAACTGTTAATAACACTGAAATTTAGTATAATTAGAATATTCCAAATTTTTGTGCAAAAAACTACATAGAGTGCCTTTAAGTTTTTTGCATGCTGACGAAATGCTCACAAACCGCAATTGTCCCTCAGTAAGACATCTGGAGCCACATAGTTCCCGTTTAGAACTTTTATTAAGCCTGTCACACGACCGGTTTCGCCTGTGTGGCTTCTTCAAGTGTACAGAGCCTAAATGACACAAGTAACATGAAGACTTAGTTCTCACTTCTGTACTTTTCTATTTGCAGGAAAACAAGAGTAAAGACAGTGTTATAGACAGAGTGATGACACCAGACCACAGTAAGCTCCTGGAGTCAGTAGGTGTCCATGTAGTGGACGACCCGGCCACACCGAGGCTGTTCACACCTGAACCTGTCAGGGCGGCGCTGGCAGATGTACTGGAGCAGGTGGAACAGGCAGGTGTGTGGGTTTCCTTTGTTCCTTCAAAGTACAATGTAGCCAGTCCTTTGATAATAGCAGTACAGATAGCAGTACTTTGATAATAGCAGAACTAGAATTATCGTACTCATTTTATCATAAGATTCAGACAGAGTAAACAGTAGCTACAGGTGTTTCTAACTCAGATTTCTTGCGGTATATTATATAGGATTAGGAACGCATTAGCTGTTCCTGTGATATAATATAAGTCAAGTGATATAATTGATTTGATTGAATGTGTAAGAAAATTAGCCTCATGTGTTGTTTGTGTTTGTGTTCTTACATGGACTAGTTACCAAAGGTACCACAGCACCTGTCATCCTGTTATGTGGAGGCAAGAATTCAGGAAAATCTACTCTGGCCAGGTTTCTCATCAACCTGATACTCTCCAGGTAGGAAGCAAAGTGGATTATATTATGCACTAGATATTTACTGAATTTTGAAGTCTTTGCTGCTGAAAAATACGTTTTCATCTTGTGAATTCTCTTAGTAAATTCTACTAAGTCTTTGACTATCCAAGAGTTGATGTGGCCTTAGTAAGGAGTACAGTTACTCAAGCAACAGTTACTCAAGCAACTGGATATGAATTTGGAAACAGTCAGACGTTTCAGGTAGTATCCTGACTACCTTTTGTCACAGGTAAGAGTGTCACTGACAAAAGGTAGTGATGCTACATGTACCTGAAACGTCTGGCTGTTTCCAAAATCAGATCCAGTTGCTTGAGTAACTGTTTTTTGGTGTATGTTATTACCTGGATGTCTAACCTTCACTGACGAAGTACTGTATTGACATTTTCCATGTTCCATGTTAAGTTGTGGAGAGGTGTACCATCTAGAGTGAGTACTATGAAGCAAGTTTAAACTGTAATTGCCAACACAACAAATTGGACTCACCCAAATTTTTGACTGTACAACTCCAGTCTTTGTCATTCCTTGACAAAGACTGAGTCTAATTTGTTGTGTTGGCAATTACAGTTTAAATTTGCCTCATAATGATTTCTACCAACACAGATGAACTTTCAAGATTAGAGTGAGTACTGTATTGACTTTGTACATGTACTTTCTGTCTATCCATGTTCCATGTTAAGTTGTGGAGAGGTGAACCATCTAGAGTGAGTACTGTATTGACTTTGTACATTGTACATATACTCTCTATCTTTCCTTCCTTGTTATCCATGTGAAGTTGTGGAGAGGTGTACCATCTAGAGTGTGACATTGGGCAGACAGAGTTCACCCCATCAGGGTTTGTGTCCCTGACCCATGTGACCACACCCACGCTCGGCCCTCCCTTCACCCACCAGAAAACACCTGATAGGTGAGATATATCTATCTATCTATCTTTTGCTTGGTGATACTGTTGGAATGGTAGACATTTTTGCATTGGGAGGGATGGGGCAGTGAAATATGCTGCATTTGCTTGCAACACGCTCGGCCCTCCCTTCACCCACCAGAAAACACCTGACAGGTGAGATAGACTAGTCCATATCTGATATTGGGGTAATTTTGAAATGATAGATTTTAATCTCCAAGCATGTTTCAGTGGCTGCAAAAGACAGTTACTGTATCATATTAGCCACACTGTATCCATTTGCCACCCAGGCTTTCTACCAAAGTGGTATCTTGTCACAAAAACATACCAGCCGAGAAAAGAATGTGTCCTGCCTGCAAAGACAAAGTTGAAGATGAATACCATTTTGTAATGATATGTCCTTGCTATAACAAACAAAGAAAAAAACTAATGATAATTTTCATGTAAGAGCAAAATAACGCTACCTGAGACAAGTAGAGAAATTTTCAACATGCTGTTATCATGCCCCGACTCTGTATCTGTTTATCTGGGTCAATATGTACATAATGCTATACAAAAGAGAAATTGTGTCACAGCAATGTGAAGAGTAATTTTCCATCATATTAACATCATGTACATGTATTGAAGGGGGATAAGTACTCTGGTAGACAAAAAAAGTGTTATTTGCCATACATTGTATCCAATGCAACTGTTGCACAATAAACTTGACTTGACTTGACTATCTTCCCCAGGTGTTGTTACTACGGGCACCTGAGTCCAAATGATGACCCTGACAGGTACATCAGGACAGTGAAGTATGTGCACCAAGGTTACCGGGGTGATGCACCACTCATTGTCAACACCATGGGGTGGACACAAGGTAAGGGTCACATCCGTGAATAGTTTCATCAGATTGGTAATACACTGAGTAAAGAGACTCTTTTTACACATCCTAGTCTTTTATTCAGTCAGAAATGCCCTGAGGAAGGTGACAGACTGTCATGAAAATGTCGGCTGAATAAATCTTTTATTAAAGACTTGGTTGTGTAAAAAAGTCTCTTTACTCCAGGTAAGGGACATTGTACAGCGATTTTTGACACTGAACAGGAATCAATGTATAAACACATTGTTCAATAGTTTATGCTTATAAACCTGCATTTCTCATCTGGTCTCTCAGTCACTGACAAAAGCTAGTGGATACTAGCTGAAACGTCTGACCGTTTCCAAAATCATATCCAGTTGCTTGAGTAACTGCTTTTTGGCGTAAACACATTGTTCCTCTGGTGCTTCAGTCAATTTGATAACAATCAAAGAATTGAATTCATTTGTGTCAGGGGCTTTAGAAATCTGTACATCAATCAACCAATATACTGTACAGTGTACTGTATGTAGTGATACACGTATCTACAATGTCTCCCCTGTACATGTACAAAATGTAGGTCTGGGTTTACACCTGCTTATGGACACCCTCCACCTGGTGCGACCCTCCCACATCCTGCAGCTGAAAGGCAGGAAGTCTGCACAGGACCTGCCTCAGCTGTCTCACCAGTTCCTGCACACACAGCCTGGCTGGGCGTATGCAAACATACAGGTGAGAGAAAGACTGTGTGTTACTTTGGGGATTGAGTTTATTTTTAACCACTTTTAGCTTTCCTTTAGCTTTCCTTTTGCATGTTATTCTTCAATAGCCTGGGTACGTACCATCCTGATTTTGGCTCTGCAACACTAAGAAAATAGATTTTTTCGAGCGTTGCAGAGTCAAAATTGGGCTAGTTCTTCAAGCTGTCAGGAAAAAACACTACAATACATTACTATGCAATATAACATGAAACAAAATATGCTGTAACATTTGATGATAGTACTAGTTAGATCTTAGTTACTCTTCAAACCTAGATAACTGCCAATCCAGTCTGAAATTGTCTTAATGTACAACTTGTCTTTAATTTCTGTACAGAACTTTGTGGAAATATTTTAAAATTTCTTCATGTCATCTTATTCTTCTTCTTCTGGATTTTTAACAGGTAGAGACAGACAAAGAGGATGATGCTGATGATGATGACGCTGTGCCTGTCAACCCAGAGCTGGTGTACCTACAAGTTGGGAATGACATGCCTCGACAGTAGGTCACCTCTGTCCTTTTTTCAGTAGCTTCTGACTTCCACTATCATGATGATGGTATTTTCTGTCTCAATTCCAATTTCAGGATGTACATAATGCATTGTGTGTTACCACAACATATAGCTGGTACAATTATGTTATAAGTGGAAAACTATCACTATTGTACCTGTAATAAACAGTCATGTATATATACTTGAGTCTGTCCTTTTTCAGTACATGGTTCACGGCATCAGAGTTCCGGTCCATGGCTCTAATGGCGGCCCTCAGTGCCCTCCAGCCTGACTGCCCAGTTCATCCCCTGAACACCTCTGGGGTGCTCCCGCTGAATGCCCTGACCCCCAGGGTAGTGCCGTGGAGCTCAGTGGCCGTGCATGTCTGCAACGCCGACGTCCCCCCCTCACAGGTCATGTACGTGCTGAACGCCAGCGTGGTCGCTTTGTGCCAGGCTGGGGACAGTGAGGTACGTGCCACTCATTTCGCTCTTCCTAAGGCCAAACTGATTGAATTTTATGTGTGCACATTGAGTTTTGCCTTTTCTCAAAGAAGACTAAAGATCACATACTGGGTGCCACCCTCCATAGTCCATGGTAGCTTGCGACAATAGGGAGCCAGCAGCTACTATGGAGCACGGCACCCAGGCTGCGACAGTCCACAACTCAAGAACTCAGCACATACGTACAGTGCTGATTCATAAATTCTGCAAAAGGCCAGCATGTGCTGGCTTGTCGTAAAAGTAGCTACTCTTTGAGTTTTGAAAATCAAGAGAGTACTGTGATGTACATTGTACATTTTCTCACCCTTCCATGCTGCAGTTCTCCAGGCTGAGACAGGGGGCGCTGCCAGATGGTCCAGTTGTTTTACAGGACACGCCCATCTGCCAGGCTGTTGGCATAGGTGAGGACTGATCCAGAACTTCAGAAATCCTTTACTGGCCTCTTACAAACCCTTTTGGCTTTCACATAGAAAGTAAATCATTATGTCTACCGAAGGAAAACATTGTTTTTGCTCAGTTTCCTCTTCTCCAAACACAGAAGGTCAATGACCTGAACAAGACTGTCTGTTACCATGGTAACTGGTGTTGGGTTACATCATGTTGCAGTTTTATAGTAGGAGGGATTTAGACTCCTGTCACCATGTATATGAATGTGTTGGAGTAAGGATTAACAGAGCAGACCATATGTGAAGGTAACTATGTATTTGCTTTACAAATGTTACCTTTCTAGTCTCTTTGTGTTAAAAGTTGTATCCTTCACCACCATAAGTTACTATACATTGTATTTTGATTCCTTTTGCTGTGCATCAGGTATAATCCGAGGCATAGACATGGAGAGGAGAGTGTTCTATGTCCTGACATCTGTGGAGGAGCACAGGCTGACAAGGGTTAACATGCTGATGTGTGGAGCCCTGTCCATCCCTGCACCTCTCATGTTACAACAGGTAATGAAAGATTAGTCCAGTCTACATGTACCTGTGAGTAAAGAGACTCTTTTTACACAACCAAGTCTTTTATTCAGCCGACATTTCGATGACCGTCTGTCACCTTCCTCAGGGCAATTCTGACTGGTTCACATTGCACTGCAGCACAGGTGTCGCTGCTATAGATGCATTCCCAAACGTACAATATTTACACATCTATACATATACAGGGAACTGTATCTACAATGCGGTCCCAAATGTACAGGAGTTGGATATATACATAATTGTGGTCAGTTATTAAACAAAAGTAGTAATTGCCGAAACGTAAAATAACAGACTTGGTTGTGTAAAAAGAGTCTCTTTACTCAGTGACTTACCAACCTGATGAAACTATTCACGGACAACAAATCTTGTCAACTTGACCTTGATCTAAGCTTCTGCTCCACTTAATTTGTCTCTTGGCCATCAGAGGAGCTTAATGTAGATTGTCTTGGATGGTTAACATTCAAGCTGTATATTTAGTTGGGTTTAATGGAAAGAAAAAAAGACCAATTAGAACCCGGCAAGTGGTTAAACCCTGCCGTATCATGTTACAGAACTGACCAATCACAGACGGCCAAGGTGAAGGGTGTTAACATTCCTGAGTAGAGAATTATGGGAGATTTTGTACTTTGGACAGAACAGAGTCATTGATATGTTTAAGCTGTATGTCAGGGCTCGAAATTCAATTTTGGGAATAGGTGCACTGGTGTACCCAACATGAAAAATTCTGTGCACAAAAAAATGATAAAATAAGTAGAATGTAAAGCAAAAACTGATAATGTTTCATTTCTAAAGAAAAGTAGTAAAACATATTATTTTTCTGACACTTATGTTAAAAATATGCTGTATACTACTTTACATTCAATATCTTTACACACACAAACCTACAAAAATATTTGAGTGCACTGGTGCACCCACAGAAACAAATTGAGTGCACAGCTCCAAATTTGGGTGCACTAAGGTGCACATGTACCCAGTATTTCCAGCCCTGTGTATGTTGTAGACTGCCAACTTGGGCTATTGTCTATACTTGTGTGGCCATCAGCCAATTTGGCACTGTTGCTTGGCTAAAGGTAAACCTTGACTCCAGCTATCAAATATTTTATCTCAGATAACAATACAAGGTCTGTTACATAGGCAGGTAGCAATAGGCATACTACGTGGAATGATTCAGCAGAAATGACTAAAAATGCTTGAAAAAATTTAAAAAAATTTTAAAACTTCTTATCAAGAACATATAAGTCACAAACATGTATGGAATAAAAAAATGTAATGATTTTCTTTTTGCATTTTACCATTTCTGGTTCCTATACTAAGTTACTCAGTTGAGCAGCCCACCAATAGTTGATAATAAGAAGTTTATTGCAAATCCATGCCCGAAGGCTATTTGCAGTTTGCACAAGTTACAAACATAAAAGAACATTGAAACAGAGTGTAAAATAACTTCAAAATCTACATAATGAAAGGTAATTGTCAAAACTATGGCTGTGTCTAAAACTATGTCTGAAGGGTTTGATAGTACTAAAAAAAACTACATTGTATTGCATTTAAAATGGCTAAGTTGTGAGTTTACCTGGCATTTAAGTGCATTTGTATTGGAGTTTGAGGCATGTGATACTGACTGTTGGAGGAGTCGTTGGCCCCGTGAAGCACACAGGCGAGACATGTCAATCATTCAGTCTGTTTACAGCTGTCTGGACCACTGAGGCCATCCAATCAATTAAGGCCTAGGGAGAAAAACATCGTGTTTCCTGTTTCCAGACCAACCCTAGAAAAACCTGCCGACCTTAGACCCTAAAACTTGCATGAAGTGACCTTATGCAAGTTTTACTTTGTGAAATTATTGTATTATATCAGTTGGACTCCTATATAGATATCACTGAAGTTTAAAAAAAAAGATAATCCCTACCGACCCTAATTTTACCGACCCTAAAACAGGAAACACAACATTTTTTCCCCAGGCCTTAGGTGATCCAATCAATTAAAAGCACAGTCACGACTCTGCAGAACATGACTCATACAGGGTACAGGAGTCTTTCAAAAATTCTATACAATTATTCATGTAAGAACCACATTGTGCAAATATGTTTTGATAAATTTGTACATTAATAATAGTTTCATCATGGTGGTAAGTCATTGAGGAAAGAGACTCTTTTCACACAACCAAGTCTTTTATTCAGCCGACGTTTCGGTGACCGTCTGTCACCTTCCTCTGGGCAATTCTGACTGGTTAATAAAAGACTTGCTTGTGTAAAAAGAGTCTCTTTACTAAATGACCTTGAAGTGTCAAAATTATCCAACATTATACAGGAGAAGCAAAAAAGGAAGACGTGTAAGATTAAAAGTACAAAAACTTGGTGCTAGTCACTCTATAGTATACATATAACATCTAATGTACCTCCTTTCTAAGGCTACAACAAACAGATAGACCTGTCTAGATCATCTGAAAGCAAAAAAAAACCTAGCAAAACATCCAATTGAAAATGTGCTAGAGTTTATTTTCTTACTCGCACTATTGCATCAGATTTTATCTGTATAACAAAGTCCAACATTTCAGAATCAGAATTGTTCTAAAATGGTGACTGTATCTTCCCGTTCGTCAGTCACCACTAGGTGACCCTGTGTTGCCATGGCAACAGCACAAGGGCTGCTGCCGTCCGTAGTTATGGATCTGATGAACCTGCCTGTTTCGTCAAACACTTCTAAACACCCGTTCTTACTGTCGGCAACGATGATGTTACCCGAGCCGTCTGTACAGATGCCACGGGGGTACTTCAGGCGACGTCCACCGCTCGTCCTGTCTCCAAACTTGAACCTGAAGTCTCCATTGTCGCTGTACACGTAGACACAGTCACAGAAGTAATCCGACACAAGAATGTTCCCCTCCCCGTCCACAGTGATGTACTGTGGGTGGTTCATGCCTTGTCGCTTACCCACTGTTTTAACCAGTGTTCCATCCGGCATGAACTCATGCACCACACCTTGTTGTAGATACGTTCCAACTGTTTGTGTCACAAGAATACGCCCTCTTCTTGTGTCTACAGCTATTCCCCTACGAGCTCTTGTCTTCTGTAGCTCTATCTTGGTCAGCATACTGCCTCGTGGTGTGTATTTAACCGCGAAGTCAGAAATGTCCGTATCTCCCACCACCCACAGGTTCCCATCTCCATCTACAGCCACGTCATGTGGGGACATCACCTCGTCATATCTATGTCTGATTCTTTGGAGAAGGAAGCCCTTAGTTTTCCTGCTATGGCCTGACAGGGTTGTGACCAGGCTGTTCACGAACGCTCCCTCTAAGTTGAAGACTTGTATTCTGTTGTTACCACAGTCTGCTACAAAGATGCGCCCATCCTCTGACACAGTCACACCAAGAGGTCGCGTAAACTTGCCTTTCTTCACACCTTTCCCACCAAACGTTCGTCTCTTTGGCAGATTTTGATGCTGGCTTTCACCATGATGATTACCTGTTGGTTCTGCATTAAGCATTGCAGACTTCAGAGGCTGAATAGTGACCTGTCCTAAGATTTGGGCAACACCGTTTGAGTCTGTAGGTTGGAAGACAGCCACGTGTGTTGGTATGGGAGAAGGTGCTGCTCTGTCTCTGTACTTTCCCACCACCTGCAGTGTTCAAAATACCCATCTGTAGTCTGCATTTTGCAGAGACATTTTCAATATTGCAGAAGAAAAATTAAGCAACCTGCAATTTTGAAGACTGAAATAAATCAGGCTAGGGGTTCAATGGCATGTAAAAGCTGTTGTGTCAAGTAATTTTGCATGTACTTTACAAATTGCATATAAAATATTTGCCAACATGCAATTTTGATTGTATACTAAGTATGCCATGGGTTTAGATCCAGACTTTTAAATGTGTATTTGCAGAAAGTATTTCTGAATTGCAGAACAAAATGTTAACTTTTTGCAATACTGTAATTACTCATTTTTTAACGGTACTGTTACATGTATGTTCACTGTTTTCACTGTCACTTCTGTACTGTGAACTTATCATTACAGTTAACAAATAATTCCTGGACTTTCTTTTTTCTGTACCTGTCGCCACTGTGAATATACAAAATGTATAATTTCATGAACATGTCCATTTTTCTCAGACCATTACTTTTGCTACAGTGAACGTAACAGTATTGCAGAACACTGAAAAAAAGTGTTTCTACCACTAACCTATATAGAATAGGATAGGTTAAGTTAGTAATCAGTTACAGGTTGTTGTATTTTATGTGTAGCAATAAGCAAGTGTACGTCTGTGTTTTAAGTCTGTAATGTGTTTTAAGACTCCAAGAAGAAAAGTGGGTATAAGCGTATACTCACTAATGGAGATCATTCAAATAAACAAATAAACAAACCTGTATCAGACTGGTGTCCTGTTCGAGAACCCCCATCCCTCGCTGCTGTATGTTGTGCTCTGCACTGTCACAGGCAGCGGACAGTTCGGACAAGTCCGCCAAAACGCCCTCCCGCTGACTCTGTATCCCGGCCAGGTTCTGGTGGTGTTTTTGCTCCACTTTACCGATCATGTCGTCTTTCACTTCTTGAAGTTTCTGTATGACCTGACTGTACGCCTGGGTGATGCTGCTCTCTGTCTGTTGTTTCTGCTTCTCTAACTGCTTCTCCGTGCCTCTAAGACTGATGATGAAGTCGCAGTAGGTCTCTAGTATTCCCCTGCCTTCAACAATCAACGCTTGATCTTCGGTTATCCTTTCTTCCAGAGCTTTCTCCAAGTTTACAGCACTGTGGCCTGCATGGGCCTCTCGCAAACACTCTGTACATATGGCTTTACTGCAGTCATTACAGTGCAAGTTCAGTTCTTCTTTTGGGTGGCGGCTACAGTTGTTTGTAAAGAGTGGCTGCTCTGCAGCAGTTTCTTCCGAAACAGTTGCCTGGTTGTGGATCTGGTCGCACAAGTTTTTGACAAGATGGACGTCAGGTAAATCAGGTAGTACCCTTTTGGTTGGTGGTCTTGCCTGGTCTTTTTGGCGTCGTGTGGCTGTAAAGTGTGGCTGCCCTGCAGCACTTTCTTCTGAAACAGTTGCCTGGTTGTGGATTTGGTCGCACAAGTTTTTGACAAGATGGCCGTCAGGTACGTGTACATGTAAATCAGGTAGTACCCTTTTGGTTGGTGGTATTGCCTGGTCTTTTGGGCGGGGGCTACACCTCTTTGCAAAGTGTGCCTGCCCTGCAGCAGTTTCTTCTGAAACAGTTGCCTGGTTATGGATTTGGTCGCACAGGTTTTTGACAAGATGGCCGTCAGGTACATGTACATGTAAATCAGGTGCCCCTTTAGCTGATGGCTCTGCCCAAGCATGGCAGACAGGGCATTGGAAGCTTTTTTGGCCCCCAGCCCAGTCCTGTAGACAGTCCTGACAGAAGGTGTGTTTACAAGGCAGCACTTTTGGCATGTAGAACATCTCCAGACAGATGGCACAAGAAAGCTCCTCCTTGGTTCTCCCGCATAGTCTTGACCTCACTGCTTCAGCCATGATCTTTGCTTTGAACTCCAAAAGTGCCGTTAGATCAAGGTAGGGGCAGGCTACATCAAAGGAATGGGCAAGTCCATGGCTAGGGTAGGGGCCGGGACTACTTGACCTTGACTTTGCACTTCAAACGCATGGAACGTTACAGATAAAACTACGGCGGGTAGCAAGTTTACCTCACTTAGTACTGAAATTTCGTTGGGTAAAAGCTGTATGTTCTGCCAAAAGATAGTTTTTCATGTTGAACGATACAGGGAAAGAAAAGAGGGATAGGTAATGTAAAGAACACCCCCTACATACTTGACAAAGTTGGTATGTCCCTGTGTAAAGCAATTAACCAGTAGTGCACTTTGAATCAATTACCAGTTATCATAAGTCAATGTTTGCCCACAGTTAAGGGGATAACATGACCTATAGCAATGTTTACTTTATCCAAGGCCATTAATTGAATGTGTAAGACCAGTGTAGTGGTATGTCAACAATGCTGAAAAGAGTTGACACTTGTAGTGATGTATTAACTCATCCGAGTGGGTTTTGGACCCAACATTCCTGGTTCTCGTGCTGAGTACAAAGTATGAACATGTAACACAGGTGTTCTGAATTGTCTGGTGTTCAGGCACATGTAAACTTGACTTTTGTTCTTAGGTTTATTTATAGGGATACCTTTATTGTACCGCAAAGAGCCCTGACAAAATTAGAATTTCATTGTTGTAAATGATCTTTTAATTACCACACGCAGTGAAACAGCCAAATATACATTAAATTAAATATCAGGAGAACTAACAAGTACCACTGTTACAGTAACAGTAGTTAAAGGCTTGAATGGTGGGGTCCTATAGAAATTCCTTCTGTAGCATAGAGACCAATGAAGCCAGACTTGTGCTTTACACACATGTGCATGTACTTGTCAGGGGTCCTTTTAACCTTCTATCTGCTAAGGTAGCCGTTTGGCACTGAATTTGTATTGGTTAATAGGGTTAGGCTGCAGGGAGAAGGTTAATTTGCCGTGGTATGACTGTCTAACATACCCACTTAAAATGGTCTAAAGTTCAAAGAAAAAGGTAAATGTTGAGTTAAAGCATTGTTGTACACATGTACTACAGTGTATATCATAAGTTAAGGCTGATTCCTTGGTCCCATCTTGTTTTCTGTATCTGTATAGCCGGTATAACCGCCCTTTAGCGTAACACACCAGCTTCTGTATCTGTATAGCTGGTATGACCGCCCTTCTGCGTAACACCAGCTTTGCAGGCACGCAGTGCAGCGGCAGCTGGCTACATTACACCGATCGAATTGTTACACCTAACCCTTGAACATCTTACATTGTTTAAAGCCATCTAAATGATAATTCCCCTATTGTTTTGTTCCACCACAGAACGTAGAAGGCCCCGTGCCGTACGTGACGTCAGAGTTCTCCCCAGATGGAGGCATCTTCGGCGCGACGCCTCTCAGGATCAGGAAGAACCTGCAGAGGGAGCGTCGGCAGACCGCGGGAACACCGGGCCTCGGGTTTGTCAGTCCCAATCAACAGGAACTCACATGATAGTCTTTATACAATGATCCATGAATGATACCTGCATACCATCTTCAGCATACAGTCAAGGCACCAAGCCTGTGCCAATCTGCAGGAACTCACATGATAGTCTTTATACAATGATCCAACGATACCTGCATACCAGTACGTCAGCAGAACGTACTGTGCCTGCACAAAACCCAGATTTTTCAAGGATTCTGTTGGATTTTGGGTCAAAACGTTCTATCAAAATGACGCCTGTTGCAGACAATTTTTTTCCGACATAACATTTAGAAACTACAGACGGAGTGTTAATCTTACATGTGCGAAAAAGACCTTACATGTGACCTTCCCTGCACAATACATTATGGGTTTTGCGCAGGTGCAGTACATTATGCCCACATGATGGCAAAGGGCTAAACGTGAAGTATACTAAGTTGAACACGATGACCTTTCATGCTAAGGAACTCACATGATGGGCGTGGTTAAATTTTAAATGGAACAGCACTGATATTTTTTTTTCTTTATATACAATGATGCAATGATACCTGGATACCATGAGAAAGGAGTAACTCGAAGGTTGACTTTGCTCCCCGGGATCGAACCTGCGCTGCTCGCGTGGTGTGTCATCTCACAACCAGCGCACCAACCGATTAGGCCAAAAGGGACCCAGTTACGCCGGGCCTCGGGTTTGTCAACCAACAGGAACTCACATGATAGTCTTTTATTGAATGATACCATCTTCAGCATAGTCAAGGCACCAAGCCTGTACTGTGCCAACCAACAGGATCTCACATGATGGGCATGGTTAACTATTAATGGAATAGCACTGATAGCTTTTTTTTCTTTATCAAATGACCCAATAATAAATGTAGCATCATTAATACATGTACACATATACATCAAAGGTACTACAGTATTTTTAATTTTCTTTCTAGCATCATTGTTTTCTAATTTAACACCATTAAAAATTGAAAAAGACATCCCTTCTGTGGTTTCCAATGTTATGTTGGAAAAGATATCGTCTGCAACAGGCAAAATTCTGATGCAACATTGACCAAATGTCCAACAAAAACTGTGAAAAATCAGGGTTTCGCGCAGGTGCAGTACATTCTGCTGATGTGCTCCTCATGAAGATGTACTTAGGGAATGCTACACACATGCTGTACACATTGAAGTGTGGGCGGAGTGTGATCTTGTCTGTTACAAAGTCAACTGCTGAAAGGCAAGGTCAACTACTTGCCTTGAGGAAGGTCACAGAGTTTCAAATTATCTCCATGTGTGCAACCCCCAAGTGCTTGGTACAGGTTTGCATAGGCAGGGCTGGAAATACTGGGTGCATGTGCACCTTAGTGCATCCCAATTTGGAGCTGTGCACCCAATTTTTTTCTGTGGGTGTACCAGTGCACCCAACTATTTTCGTAGGTTTACGTATGTAAAGATGTTAATTGTATAGTAGTATACAGCATATCTTAATATCAAAGGGTCAACAAAAATAATAAAATCATTGTTATAGTACAAAAAGTCATTTATTTAGAAATGAAATATAATTACCTTTTGCTGACATTCTACTTATATGGTGCACCCAAAAATGTTTTTGTGCACCCAATTTTTTAGCTTTGGTGCACCAGTGCACCTCTTCCCAAAAATGAATTTCGAGCCCTGTATACGTGTAATTCACATGCCAAGGGCCACAGAGATCACACAGGACCACAGTAAAATGATAAGCTTGTTGTGCCTATCATCAGGACTCCAGATGAACCCTACTGACCCTCGTGCCTTGCCTGGAGGAGCCTTCCTGTCACTGATGGACAGGAGTGATTATTGGAGACTACAGGACAATTGATCATCTGCCATTGGACAGGGATAAACGTTACTGTTGTGTAGTCAACAGTGTCCAGTCATGCATGCCCTGGGGTGGAGGTGGGGGTTGTGAACTTGCAGATGTAGAGATGTGTACAAGGTGACTAACCTTGTAAGTGTATGGTGCAAGGTAAGCCATAACAACATTGTGCAATGCAATACATGTACCATGATGTAGATACATGCATCAGTCTCTTATAGCTAATCTGACGCACAACATTCAATTCTCATCTATCCTTCGATGGAACACAGAAATTTATCCTTTGATATAGGACATAAGACATTAAGAGAGTTTTAATGGATATTTTTCTTAGCCTGGATATCATCCTGGTTGGTTTACATCTAACTGATTTATACTTTCCTGCATACTATCATTGATTTGTATAACATAAACTTGTTGAAATACATACCCAATGTGCCTTTTATTCCATTATTGGTGACATGATAGTATCTTCTGTTGATTTCACAAAGGAGTTTTAAATGAGACTGGTTTAAAGCTTCTTGATTTGACCTGGAAAACCAAGAAGTTCAGCATAAGGCCAGCATGTATATATCAAGATTGACAGTATTTAACTACACCACTACACAGTACACACACTGCGGTAAGAAGAACAGTAAACACACCAGATTGATGAGGTAACAGGTGGTTTTCCAAATCATTTCTCCAGACTTCTGGCCAAAAGCCAGGAGAAACAGAGGGTTTGTTTCTAAGGAACCAGATTGAAACAACATTCAAAGTCACATTGGGATTTGTTCAAATTGAGATTAGATTTTGGTCAGATCTAATTTAAGGTTAAAGGGTGTGAGAAATGGCAAACTGGAGTAGTGTAACGGTGGACTTCAAGCACTGCGCATGCTAACTAACCCATTCCAATGCGTCCGGACCTTTTGGCATAGTGGTTAGCGCTCTGGTATTGTAAGCTGGCTGCCCAGGTTCAGCGCAGGTTTGATTCCTGGCGTCCCGGAAGTCAGTAACCTGGATGCCAGACCCACAGCACACTGGACACAAAGCATCTGAGTGAGCCTGATACTTTGTGTCCTGTGTGCTATGGGTCTGGTACCCAGGCTAACATTCACAAAATCTATCTGGTTTCTATGAAACTTGACCAAGATCCAATTTGAGTGCAATTTACCAGGCCCCAATGTGACTGTGGCCTCAGGCATCTAGTTCATTGGGTGTGGTTAATTTATACTTGTTGTTCCTCTCTAAAGGAGAGGAATGTTGTATAAGGCACTGATGTCACCACAAATAGTTTCACCCTCCCACCAATTATGTCAAAATGTATCAGTCTGCCACTGCACTTCTGACACCCATATCAACATCTATTTCCTCAACTGTATGATGTCACTACAAATAGTTTCACCCTCCCACCAATGTATCTGTCTGCCATTGCACTTCTGACACTAACTAACATATCAACATCTATTTACCTCAACTGTACAAAATGTATGATGTCACTGCATATAGTAAATTCACCCTCCCACCAATTATGTCAGAATGTATCTGTCTGTTACTGCACTTCTGACACCAATTAACATATCAATATCTATTTCCTCAACTGTACAAAATGTACAATGTCACTACAAATAGTTCCACCCTCCCACCAATTTATGTCTAAAATTTAATGTATCTGTCTGCCACTGCACTTCTGACACCAATTAACATATCAAGTTCTGTTTCCTCGACTGCACGATTTGTTCCCACACTTGTACATCATCACATGTGGGTGAATACTAAGAGTTTAGCGAGTTTAGGATTGTTTTCTGCATAGCTGCAGCACAGTAGCTTAGAGGCCTAGGAAAAATAATGTTGTGTTTCCTGTTTCAGTCCTGAAAAAATTAGGGTTGGTAGGTAGGAATTATCTTTTTCTTTCTTTTTTTAGACGTACAGTGATATCTATATACTGATCTTGTACAATACAGTTTAACAAAGTAAAACTTGCATGAGGACACTTTAATTTATTTCAATGGAAATGTTAAAAAGAAAACCAATTGTACAACATTTTATCACTCTGGTGTACGTGTCAGATCATGGAGTTAGAAAAGGTCGATCAGCTCAAAAAATTATGTCCCTTGCAGGGGTCCACCCAAAAAAGTTTAGGGTCGTCAGGTTTTTCTAGGGTCGGTCGGGAAACAGGAAACACAACTTTTTTTCCTAGGCCTTGTAGCTATGTCTGGATCGATGATTCACAATTCGTGAATGTGGTCGTGGGACTGTTGGCTTAGAAATTTAATTTGCTAACTTTGCCAAGTTTGTTCTGATATACCACAGATATCTGTTGACCTGGACCCCGTAAGGTTTCGCCCACTATACTTAGAAGTACTCAAGAAGATCGCATACCAAACTAGTTATGTTTTCTGTTATGTCAACATGGTAAAATGATCATAACAGGAAGAAGCAACCCTCTAAATTAGATATTTGGTGCCAGATTTTGCTCTGATATACCACAGATATCTGTTGACCTGGACCCCTTAAGGTTCGCCCACTGTACTTTAAATTAGGACTCAAGAAGAATGAACACATACCAAACTAGTTATGTTTTCTATTATGTCAACAGGATGAAATGATCATAACAGGAAGAAGCAAATGTTAAAACAAACCTCTGAATTAGACATTTGGTGCCAAATTTTGCTCTGATATACCACAGATATCTGTTGACCCCCTGGACAACCCCTTAAGGTTTTTCCCACTATACTTAAGTACTCACTAAGATCGCATACCAAACTAGTTATGTTTTCTGTGATGTCAACTCTAAATTAGATATTTGGTGCCAAATTTTGCTCTGATAAACCACAGATATCTGTTGACCTGGTTTCGCCCACTGTACTTAGAAGTACTCGAGAAGAAACAACACATACCAAACTTGTTATGTTTTCTGTGATGTCAACAGGATAAAATGATCATAACAGGAAGACCTCTATATTTTCCCTGTACAGTGTATAGGGAGGGATATAGATATGTCTTCTTAGATCCTCAGGCATCAGAGGCATTTTGTAGTTATTTTTAAAACAAAGACGTTTGGACAAAAAATACACCTTTGTGATATTAGGGACTCTTACAAATCATCCTTCCAGTTCTTGATTTTTGCAGATGGTTCCGCCAGCATGGCATTCAGTTCAGAACCTGGCACCACTGCTCATAAATAATGTTCTTTTGACAACCAAACAATGTATAATTATCCTAACCACATACTTACATGTGTATTGCAAGTTTTTAATGTTTGCTTTTGTCTGCTGCTCAAAAGCATGTTTTTCACGAGCCTAGCTTTGGTGCCAGGTACATTGTAAAGGGGTGAGACCAGACAAAAACTGTACTTCTGAGGGGGGATGATGTGACTTTGGTGGTGGTGGGCAAGGTTCACATTGATGTATGACTCATTTATTTACCACCCGCATACCTGGACAAACCAATACCTGCCAGTCCAAGTTCCACTCTTTTGAGGGGTCAAAAAACACTGTACTTTATCCACAACCCTTGGACATGCAGATATTTCAGATGTTATGTAAAATAGTGAAAACTTTATGAAAATTCACAATTAAATGATAATGTTATGGATAGGTAGCCATACATGTAGATTTTGCTATCAGGAAGTGGTCACAGAAAAAAAATATTTGAATTTTTCCCCTGCAACGTTTAGTGTTCTGTGGAATGTTTGACAAAATATTTGTTTACTGTGCCAGATGTCAGAGTAACATTACTAACATTTCCGGGCATAAGGTACATTTGACCACCACAGGGGTACCCATGTTACACTTATAAAGCAGACACTACAGTAGACTGCACCTGAGCCATGGCTCTGTCTAAATCAGCCCGACTGTACCTCAAGATTTCTGACAGTCTGTCAGAAGAAGATGTCAGAAATCTGCGAGCCTTGGTCGTTCATGACAGGATTCTTGGCAAGTCTAGAGTCGAGCGCGCGACGCCTCTAGAAATCTTCAACATGTTGGACGACAACATGGCCATTGGAGAGGGAAATTTGGGCTTCCTCGAGCAACTTCTCAGGAGTTTGGGGAAGGGAAAGCTTGCAGACGAAGTTAGGCACCTTGAACAAGAACAGAAAAAAGAAGGTACATGTAATTATTATGTCTGAATGTTTTTTTAATGTCACATTGTCTTCGCAAAAGGAAAACATATTGGTTTTGCTCTGTTTCTTCCTCTTCTTCCTCTTTTTCAAAGAAATAAGGTCAATGACCTGAACCAGACTGTCTGTCAACATGGTAACTAGTGTTGGGTTACAATGTACATCATGTTGCAATTTTACAGCAGGAGGGATTTAGACTCCTGACTGACCATATATATGAATGTGTTTGAGTAAGAATTAACAGAGCAGATTATGCCAAGGTAAACATGCATTTGCTTTGGAAATGTTACCTTTCTAGTTTAAAATGTATTTTTCTGATGGTGGGGTTGGTGGCAATAACTTGATGGTCCCGATAAAATTACTTTTCATATCATCATTGAAGATTGACATACAAATGTATGCTTTTGAATGAAATTATATTTTCAAAATATCTTGAAATGCAAACATTCAACATTACAGGAAGGTAACTTTAATTGTCTTTGCACAATGTCATGTCTATATTGAAACAGGTACCAGCCAGTCCAATGGAGCCGAAACAAAGAAAAGTGTTCAATCAACAGACGATCAGGACACCCAAATCAGCTTAAATCGCCTCCATGTTGAGCTGAACACCCTTGCAGTAAAGCCAGACAAAGACCACCAGGACTGGGACAGAATGCTGGACCTGTACTGTCAGATAGGAGATCTCTACAGGACAAAACTGCACCTGCTCCAGTCAGCTCTAAAGTACTACCAGAAGATGCTAGAATGCTCTCAGGCCCTGTCGAAAGACACAAAAGAAGCAGAGGCGTACAACAGAATTGGTCTGACATATGAGATCTTGGGTCTACATAAGGAAGCATCCACAAACCACGAGAGAGCATTGGGTATCTTGAAGGCAAAGGGAAGGGAGACTGAAGTCTGTGCAGCTTACAAAACCCTGGCATCCTCTCTAGCATTGTCAGGTCAAGTGTCAGATGCAAAAACTCATTATGAATCAGCCTTGGCTGCTGCCATGGAAGCAAGGAACAAGACTGAACAGTTGGACATCAATAGTAAGCTGGGTGATTTACACAGGGAACAGCTAGATGAACCACGTGAATCACACTGGTACTACACAGAGATGCTGGCACTGGCTAAAGACTTGGGGAGGGAGGACCTGGAGGGGCATGCCTACAACCGACTGGGCCTGGCCTGTGGGGACATGCAGGATAACAAGTCAGCTCTGAAGTGGCATCGGAAGGACCTGACGATGAGCCTGGATGCTGGGGACAAGACAGCGCAGATAGCAGCACACACGAACGTGGGCAACGCATACAGGCTACTCGGCAAACACGACAAGGCGACATCCCACTTCAACTCGGCCTTACAGCTGGCACAGCAGACAGGGGACCTACATGGACAGATGGATGTTTACATGAAGATGGGTGAGATGCACAGGGAGCAACTCCACTTCCCACACACGGCACTACAGCACTATGAACAGTATCTTTCTCTAGCCAGGCAGTTAATGGACAGGCAACAGGAGGGACTAGCTTACAACAGGCTGGGACTGACCCACCACGAGATGGGGGAGTACGAGGAGGCTCTGAAGTGGTACGAGAGAGCCCTGAAGATGCAGGAAGACGATGGGGACAAGGCAGCACAGATCGTACAGCACACGAACATGGGAGACACGTGTAGGTTACTGGGTCAACTGGACCGGGCCAGATCTCACTACCAGTCAGCTATGGCCGTTGCCATGGAGACAGACAACAAATAGGAACTGAAGAACATTGCCAAGGAGTTGGCTAGTCTGGATTAAACCATTCTTTTAGCCACATACATGGCTGACTGTAGAATTCATCATTAAAGGAAGTGTTAAGCAATATATAATTTGTTCTTTGCTTCAATGTAATGCAAATTTACATGTATAATATAAATACAAATTAATGTGTCTGCTTACAACAGTATTACTTTTTTTTCAGTAACAGACTTGACCCCCCCCCTCCTATGATCGTTTTCCAATTCAACTGCAAAAATAAATTTTTGTATGCAACAAATTGTGGCGACCAGGCAGAGTTTGTGATGAGCACAAGGCTTCTGGCAGTTATATTATATGACCAATTAAATTATCCTGCTTTCCATAATACAAACTGCAAAAGGAATAGTCTCTAACGTCAGTACAGTTGTCAGTGACAGTTGCCACCATAAAATACAGTAATGCAAATATGAGCACCTCAATACAAAAATAGTTCAAAAGGATTTGGCAGAAAAAAAGACATTTTCCCATCATTTGTCTCCGACATCGGCGCCCGTTTTTATCAGCGCGTTAGTAACTAACAGATATGGTCAGGCCCTTAGTATTCCCACGGACCTTACTTGGCTACGATTGTGATTTCAAGGCGGCAAAACTGGAAATGTTCTGAATAAGGTAATCTGTATAATATTGACACATACTGCCCACATTCATTTGAATCTATCAGTATTTCATACTTAAAGCATTTAAAACTGCAGTAACAAACCCCAAGATAAAGTCTTTTATTTTCTGGGTGGTACCCTAAAAATCAATCCAAGTTCTTCCAGTGACTGTTTTTCGTCAGAATTTTGGGCATTTTCGCTCCATAGATATCGATATGCATTGAGACAGTATTGTTTCAACTGTATTTAGATAAGTGACTAGAATTTGGACTTTGGTTTCCAAGTCCTAAAAACTGCACTGGCTGCGAATTACAGACAAGCCCTCCCCGCGTGGGACCCAGTAATGATCGCCTTGGCGGTGGTTGTAGCTGTGCGATGTTGGAATAGCAAATTGATTTGGACCGACGGTCACCAACCCTACTCTACAAGCAGAGGTTTGGGTTTGCCTTATTATTTTTGGCGTGTTTATTATTTGGCTTTTTATCGGGCTTTCTTTTTAGCACTGGTATTTTCTACGCCAACCCATATCATCATCAGTGCAAAAAAGCCCAATAAAAAAGCCTAAAAACACGCCAAAAAAGCCATATCCTAAACCTCTGCTTGGAGAGTAGCCAACTACACGTTGGCGGTTGTACCTGTGCGATGTTAGAATAGCAAATTGATTTCGACCAACGGTCACCAACCCCGGGCCGTGCGCGGTTGGCATGATATACCGATGATGCTATCTACCAGGCTTCGGGAGTGGCTGGAAAAATAGTAGAAATTACCAATTTCTACGCTTTCCAGCCGCCTCCTAGCCTGGGTACCATCTTGGTTAGTTTACGTGTGCTCGCGCAATCGCTAGCCGCCTCCTGAAGCCTGGTAGAGGCTACGGTCACCAACCCCGGGCCGCGCGCGGTTTGAATGCTATGCCGATGATGCTATCGTCTATCGAGGGTGAAATTCTACCGTTATCCGATCTCTGTAAACTCCCCTGGCATATTATCTCAGTCTCTATTTGGCCAATTTCTACTCTTTGCAGCCACCTCCCGAAGCCTGGTAGAGGCTACGGTCACCAACCCCGGGCCGCGCGCGGTTTGAATGCTATGCCGATGATGCTATCGTCTATCGAGGGTGAAATTCTGGCGTTATCCGATCTCTGTAAACGAGATAAGGGGTCGGTACACTTGGACATGCCCGGCATAACTACTGCCTGCGCGATATGTGCTAGCCTGGTATCCAGTCTTAACGTGGTTCGGGCATAGTAGTCGGGCAGGCTATCTCTCTATTTGGCCGGTTTCTACTCTTTCCACCCACCGCCCCCCGAAGCCTGGTAGAGGCTAGGAGTGTTACGCTGATGGCATGCCAGTGGAGTTGATTTGCCCCACCACGATCTCCCATCGTGAAATGTCCACCGGGAAACCTAGCTGAAGTGGACGGGAAAGAGCCCCTGCAGCCCCGAGGAAAACCCGCCCCTACCACGATAAGACTGGGTACCAGACTACTGCCTGAGCGATATGTGCGTGCCGTGCATGCCTGTGGGCGGCCTCCCGGGAAGATACATGTCTGATCTGTCTGACTAAAAATCATGCTGGAGGAAGATGATAGATTAGCAAACTGTCCCGAATACTGGTTGTCGATTCCGCATCTTTCACTGTGCACAGTACGGCGCTTGCCATACAGATTTTCGTATTTCATTTCATACGTATAGATGATTATTCACCCTGGTGTTATCTATTACTATTATATTATACATCATGTAACACACATATGTACATACATACGTACATACATACATACATACATACATACATACATACAAACGTGACGTTACATACGTACATAGATATATGTATACATACGTACACACCCTCACAAACATGACACACACGCACATACACACACGCGCGCGCGCACACACACACACACACACACACACACACACACACACAGAGAGAGAGAGAGAGAGAGAGAGAAATGCAGATACTAACCAAAAAGGTAAATTACATTACATTTGGCGATTACATAAGGCGAAAGTAATAAGGGTCAATAATGTTTGGTCTATAGTTGTACATGTACTTATATGTACATTTGTCGCTGTGAGTCCGGACATAACCGGGACAACCTGTTTAATTCGGCTGGCGAGGTTAGCTGGGTCATGTTTGTCCAGACATTTGTGGATACACGTTACATCACGACACACAGACACACACACACACATAGACATACGTACACACACACAGCACACGCACACACACGCACACACACACGACGTACGCACATACACACACACACACATACACATCACACGCACACACACACACACATACACATCACACGCACACACACACACGACGTACGCACATACACACACACGCACATCACACACACACACACGCACACACACACACGACGTACGCACATACACACACACACACACACACACACACACACACACACACACACACACACACACACACACACACACAACACACACACACACACAGCTTTAGTCTATAACACTGAAAATGTACTTATATGTACATTTGGCGCTGTACGTCCGGACATAACTAGGACAACCTGTTTAATACGGACCGTGGGGTTAGCTGGGTCATGTTTGTCCAGACATTTGTAGATACCTGTTTAATTCGGCTGGCGAGCTTAGCTGGGTCATGTTTGTCCAGACATTTGTAGATACCTGTTTAATTCGGCTGGCGAGCTTAGCTGGGTCATGTTTGTCCAGACATGTGCAGGCAGCACGCCAGCTGCCGAGGCCGCGATTAGCGCGGGTCAATATCGCACAACCCGGGGAAAGGCCTCGACCTCAGCCGTCAGTCAATCATGACTACAAGTAAATTTCGCACGTCTGGGAGTACTGTAATACGTTACAGATACGTAATACAAGAGGTAACAGAACTATATTATAGCACAGAGGGTGCATTGATATAGCCTGGTTACCAGACCTATTATAGCTCCCGCCCGGCGGCCTGCACAGGAGGCTACAGCGCACGGTTGTTCTTCGTTCAGTATGTCCGGGGAATGAACAAAGTTCAACATAATGGTAACATTTAAGTTGGACTGGTGGGGTAGTTGATAGCAGCAGTCACGCGGAATAGACTTTGTAATTTGTCAAAGTTCAACATAATGGTATTAAAAAAAGTTGGACTGGTGGGGTAGTTGCTGTCAATCACAGGTTGACGCGCACCTGTTGAAGTTTGGTACGGACAGGTACGGATAGGTTGAAGACAGGTAAGGGCCATCTCATGTCTTCCCTTCCGTCACTCGATGGCCAGTGTACAACAGGGATTTAATTTGAAGGGGTGAGTGACCTCGGACAAGAACAAGTTGGACATCTGCAAAAAAAAAAAAGGAGGTCAGCAGTTCCAGCCTGGTCAGGCGTGGGCGTGGAGTCTTCCTGCGCAGAAACGAGAGATGGACATATTTTCAGTCAGTCCTGGTAAGCCTGGTAACTCTAGGTTGATGATAGCCTCTACCAGGCTTCATCAGGAGAGAGTGCATTTTGCCGCACCCAAACTGTACTCTCTAGTGGTAGTGGACCAACTCCGCTGGCATGTTATCTCTCTATTTGGCCGATTTCTACTCTTTCCAATCGTCTCCCGAAGCCTGGTAGAGGCTAGGTTGATGAGGACGATTTTGAAAAAGGCCAAGGACAGAGTAGGGCATGGTGGTGGACAGTGAGTAGAGCCAGGCTTCAGTTACGTTCCGCAGAAACTGGTCATCAATAAGACCAAACGTTAACTTGGCAACCCTCCTGGACACACGATCATCCTTCACCCTGTAAAGCTGTTTTCACTTCCCGGCTCGTGACAGACTGGCGAGTTCCCCCGCACGCCGTGGGAAGTTGGACGGTAGACCGTCTCAGGGCACGGTTCCAGCCAGCCGCGCCCATCTCTGCCGTCTATATAGACCTTTCCACGAATCCCAATGTATAGTGCTGTGTACCTACAAGGAAACCAGACGCGTGCAGCGCATAAGCGTTGCCGTGGTAATGATGCTGTTTACTCCCTGGGCTACCCATAGTCCCCTGCGTCTCCCAGCATGCAAAGGTATGCCTTCAAGTACCAGAGTTATCAACCAAGGATCGAGGTGTTCAAATTTCATTCTTTCCAAGAACTATCGCAGAGTGGAACTGCTTACCAAGTACAGTAGGGACATTATCATTAGATAGCTTAAAACAATGTTTAGGGTTAGATGTTCAAAGGTTAGGTGTAACAAGTCGTTCTGTGTAATATAGCCAGATGCCGCCGCGCCGCGTGCCTGCGAAGCTGGTGTGTTGCGCTGAAGGGCGGTTATACCGGCTATACAGATACAGAAGCTTGTGTGTTGTGCTGAAGGGCGGTTATACCGGCTATACAGATACAG